ACTGGGTTCAAAGACCAGGCGCCAAACAAAAGAGGTGTAGAACCAAGAGGCTCCCCATCTATAATCAGGAAACTTCCAGAATGTGGTTGAGAAGCTTTTTAATCACAATACCCTCAAACAGGCAAGTCGCGCATAGCGCACTATCGATCGAGCAGCCGATGAATGATGCCATAACATTATGATGTCTACGTATACACTTAATAATCACCACTATCTACAAGAAATGCCGCAAAGACCGCGGCAGCATCCCGTAAGGCTCGTATAGAAGCTGGCTGCAACTCGTAAAAGCCATCGATGAGTGGAGCTAGAATACGGAGTACTTTACTCTGGTGGTGTACCCGAAGCCGAGGAATCTGATCACTAATCTTTTCTCAGATCATGTCTACTAGTATACAAAGAAACTTGCCTGGCCATTTGTCAGCTATGGAGGTATAGCCCTGGTATATCAGGCTCATAGACCTGCAGTAGGTAGTAGTTGATCCAGAGTTACCAACATCAATTCAATTCAACCTAACTCAGATTCTCGCCTCGTCTTAGAAAATGTCTCTTGTTCTCATTACCGGCTCGACCGGCTTCATCGGCTCCCAGGTGGTCTGGGATGTACTGAAGGCTGGCTATCGCGTGCGGCTGGTCGTCCGTCGTGCTGAGCAGGCGACCAAGCTCGAGCGGATTTATGACCGCTATGCAGAGAAATTGGAGTTTGCTGTCATTCCCGACATGACAATTGATGGATGCTTCGACGAGTCACTACGGGGTGTGGATTATGCTTTACACCTGGCCTCTCCGCTGCCCGGTGCCGGGGATGATCTCTTAAGCCCTGCCGTCCGAGGAACTGTTTCAATCCTGCATTCCGCCCTCAAGGTGTCAAGCATCAAGAAAGTTGTCGTGACTGCCTCGGCGTTGTCAATTATTCCGTTAGGGCCAACTAGAGATGGGTTGGTTGTGAAAGGTATGGTTCTCATCCTATGAGGTATCTCGAGCACCAGTCCCGTTAACGCGTTTTGTGGTAGAAACGACGGATGTTGAAGATGTCGACGCAGCCCAGGTTGCTTCGTTGAGCCCGATGGAACAGTATCATGCCAGCAAGGTCGCGTCTTACAAAGCAACGCTGGATTTTGTGCGTGACCAAAATCCAGAATTTGATGTGGTTACTCTGCATCCAGTCTTTGTCTTCGGCCACAATCACGCACAGGAATCAGCGGATCAGCTTGGGGGCACTTGCGGCATGCTGTACCAGGCGATCACAACTGGGAAACTATTTGCTGCTCAGTACCGGGGTGTTCATGTTCATGACGTTTCTGCAGCACATGTGAAGGTTTTGGACAGCTCTATACAGGGACTTCAGTCATATCTGTTGGCCGCACCGCCAAGATCATGGGCAGATGTCGAGTCTTTTGTCCGTCAACATTATCCGAGTCTGCCAATCGGTATCCAGGCTACAGAAGGACCAAGCTATGTGCTCGACACGTCAAAGGCTGAGAGAGATTTGGGATTGACATGGAAGGGGATGGAAGAACAAGTCAGCGATGTTATTGACCAGCAATTGGCTTTCAAATGAGCATCTGTGTTGGTGCATGTTTGGCGAGGACGAAGTATGCCAGTAAGAGGAACGTGCTCTGAGTTGTGGGTCTTTAATGATTAGCATTGTACCTTTTGTTCCTGAGGATTATTAAAAAGGGTGTAACCTATAAATTCTGAATATGTTGCGCCAGTTCACAATATTGAGTGCAGTGCGGGGTAACCTACCAATTATTTAGCCAGATTACTCAGCCAAAACACAGTACATTCCTTGCAAGATAACAATAGGTCTCTAGTATCAGAGCACCACGGCTCTTGGACTGCCTAGAATACGCACTTCGCATATATGGTGAAAGGCAGCAACGGACAAATCCAAAATTGAGAGATTACATGGTGCTAATTGACGTGAAGAAGATTGGTTTGACGCGACCCCACTAAATGTCACCATCGGCCATTTCCCGACTGCTCTTTCTCCACAACCACGCAACTTAGCCCTTTTGATTCAAGCTTCTCCTCTTCTCTGCACTCATCTTAAATTCCCTTGGCACCTGAATCTAATCCATTTGTTAGTAACATGCATCCAGCCGGGATTGCTCCATTCATCCAATGCGCATTCTTAAGATGCCCACGGGATTGCCGATCCCCTGCATCAAAAAGGCAGGGATCTCCAGGGACAACGGCCGGAGTCTCTACTTTCCATTCTCGTGGTCATCAGCAATTCTCCCATTGGTGTCAGGGCCGTCTGTCAACGAGGTTGACACTTTCCACTCAGCCGGTTTTTGTCTGTCCTGCGCGATGCAGGTGGGTATGATAGTCCGTCGCAAGATGCAGGTGCAATGAGGGCTTCTCCGTCCATGCATTCCAGGCAGGCACGTGGGGGCATCATGGAGGGACAGCTGCAATTCCTCGACCCGCGACGGGTCTTCTTAAGAGATAAATAGCAAGACTCATCCCTCTCATGTTTGTATTGCTGTCACTATCAGCATCATACATTTGATATCATGCATTCTAGCGCCCTTATCGGCCTTCTGGCCTTTGCGGCCGCTGCCTCAGCTTTGCCCGGTGCTTCGTCACGGCACGCCCACTCGCATTCATCCATCAGCAACCTCAAAGACAAAGTCAAGAATGTCGTGGTGTTGGTCATGGAAAACCGCTCCGTCGACAACCTTCTTGGTGGACAGACGATCAGGGGACTTGAGAACCCCATTAACAACGGTCCCTTCTGCAACCCTTACAACGTGAGCAACCCAGCCGAGGGCACTGTTTGCAGCGCGGCATGGGACTACGACTCTGTCACCGACGATCCTGATCACGCGGTGTACGGCAACAACATCGAGTTTTATGGCACGTTCACGCCGGACAATGAGGCGATCGCATCGGGCGCATTGACTCCCAGCCAACAGGGCTTTGTGCACGAGCAACTGCGGATATACGGGGCCAAAGCCAACCGCACCCAGCTATCCACCCAAGTCATGAACTACTACACCGAAGACCAGGTGCCGGTTCTCACCCAGTTGGTGCAGAACTATGTTGTTTTCAACCACTGGCACTCCGATATCCCAGGTGTAAGTCGTCCAATGCAGCGGATGTAATGCAGCAATGCTAATCCCTGAACAGCCCACCGATCCCAACCGGGCGGCGTTGACATCGGGGACCTCATATGGCCACGGCAGCAATGACGATGCTTTCACCGTACATGCCTTCCCTCAACGGTCCATTTTCCAGCAACTGAGCGAGACAAATCACACCTGGATCAATTACTACGATACCGCGGGCGGCACGGGTCCAGATGCCGAGTTCTACGACTGGACCTACACTGCCAATCGCACCAACCAAGTCCAGCCTTTGGAGCAGTTCTACACGGATGCGGCGGCGGGTGAGCTTGCCGAGTTCACCTATCTCAATCCATCCTGCTGCGGAGTGGGCACCAACTCGATGCACCCTAGCGGTCTCATCTCGGATGGTGAGAAGCTGATCAAGAGGGTCTACGAGGCTCTGCGCAATGGTCCGCAGTGGTCCGACACGCTGTTCATCCTTAGTTTTGATGAGACCGGTGGCTTCCACGACCATGTGCCTCCTCCTCTGGCTCCTGCGCCAGACAACTTGACCTACACGGCGACCACCCCCAGTGGCGAGGAATACACCTTCCCCTTTAACCGCCTGGGCGGCCGTATCCCGACCTTGCTGATCTCCCCGTGGGTGGGCAAGGGATACGTCGAGCAGAAGGGTACAGATGTGGAAGGCGAGACGGTGTCGTACTCTGCTTCGTCAATCCTGCGAACTCTCGGCTATCTCTGGGACTTCGAGCCCTTTACCCCTCGTGTCGAGTATGCACCTTCCTTCGATCATCTGATCCAGTGGCGGGCGCGCAACGACACGCCTGCCACCTTGCCCGAGCCGGTGCCTTTCCGCAAGTGATTAGACTGCGTACAGGGGGGTTTACGATAAACCATGACTGCATGATTGAGAGTTGCTCATCGATAGAGACAATAAAATAAACCATTACACTCTTCCAACCACGAAAAGCTCCATAACATTCCGTAAGCTCATCCTATTAGAACTACATCCAACCCAAGAAAACCAAGTCCCATCACTAAAGCGCTGCCTTCCCGCCTGTCTTCCCCTCTCCATCCTCAGCAAAAGCCCCATCGTACTCCACCGCCCGGTTCTCCCGCACCCAAACCTTCTCCTCCTCACTCCGGTACGGCGGCGGAATCATCCCGTTAATCTTCCACAGCCGCCGCTCCGTCTCCTCCACGTGGTATTCGACATCGAATCCTTTATCCAGCACATGCTCCTTAAAGACCTTATCAAGCCAGTTGGTCGTGCGACGATACGCGGCGTCGCTGTCCGGCTGCACGACCGCGATGTGCGTGACGACCGCCCGTACAAAGGGCCTTTCGGCTTTGGTCGCCTCCCGGCCACCCACGTAGACATCCTCCGGCTTGAGTTCGTGGAATTGGATGACCACGTAAAAGGCGGGGAGGCCGATGGAGGTGTATCTCTTTGTGATGTCGGTCGCGAAGCTTGATTTCGCTTCTGGAGTGAACGTCCCGGGGGGAGAGTAGATTTGCCAGAGGGGCATTTTGGGATTTGGGATTTGGTGGGTTTCGAGGTGGGTAATCTGGTTGGATTGGGTTTGCTTGAGTGTACAGTAGATGGGAATAGTTCGGGTGATGAGATACTAAGTTGACTGGAGGATGGGATTTGGGCTGGGGGATCGATAAGCTTCTGACTACTATGTGGGATGGGGTCTTTTATCTCATGGTCGTGTTCGTGGCTGAATATTCTCGAGTCAAGTCTTGGCATTCGAGTAGATATGTAAGATTAGTGATCTACACCGATCAGGGCCGTTGATGGTGTGGTGATTGGCGCGGAGTTAGTGATTAGTGAACCAGTCCGTCGGGGTCCCCCCGTCCCCGCGGGATGATTAGTGAACCGGCCGTGTAAGTCGGTAGCACAAATCAAGTTGGCTCACACACCACAAAGATGGTGGTATTTAACACCACTCGTTGCTGGCACACTTAATGACCGACTCAGCATCAAGCATCGTTCTTTCACTGTCCAAATGACCGCCCCTCTAGTCTTCATCACCGGCGCGACCGGCTTCATCGGCTCCCAGGTCGTCCTCGCGACCCTGCGGGCGGGATACCGGGTGCGCCTGTCCATCCGACACGCCTCCCAGGAGGCCCCACTGCGCGCCCGCTACCCCGACTTCAGTCCCCAGCAGATCGAAACCTGCATCATCCCCGACATCACCCCGCGCGACGCCTTCACGCCCGCCCTCGATGGCGTTGACCACATCTTCCACCTGGCCTCGCCCATGCCCGGCCGCGGGTCCGACCTGCAAGCCGACTACATCGACCCGGCCGTCAAGGGCACCGAGTCGATCCTGTATTCCGCGTTAGCGTTCCCGCAGGTCCAGAAGGTAGTGGTGATGTCCTCTGTGCTGGCGTTAACCCCCCTGGATGCTCTCCGCGAGAAGGAGGTTTACGTGACGGGTACGTCCATACCATCAGCCTCCCATTTCCTTTCCTCCCTCGAGTCTTGAGAAAGCGAAAGCTAACAAAAGCAGACAACACCCACGAAACCATCCCAATCAACCTCCCCGACCCGATCCCCGAAGGCTTCTCAGGCCACGGCCTGAAATACAGCGCCTCCAAGGTGGCCGCGCACGACGCCACCCGCAACTTCCTGGCCACGCAACACCCGACATTCACGCTGATTACCTTCCACCCGACCTTCGTGCTCGGCGAGAGTCTCATCCAGACGACCCCGGAGGAGATCGGGGGCATGAACGCGTTCTTCTGGAACACGCTGCAGGCCGAGAAGCCCGGGATGGCGAACGCGTGGGTCGACGTGCGGGACGTGGCGGAGGCGCATGTGCGGGCGCTGCAGCGGGAGGTGGCCCCGGGCACGGAGGTGCTGCTGTCGGCGCCGACGCCGGGGTCGTGGGACCGGGTGGCCGAGCTGGTGCGCCGGAAGTATCCCGGGGTTGGGTGCCGGTTGCAGGGGCCGTTTGAGAAGGGGTGGACGGTGGATACGCGGACGGCGGAGCGGGTTCTGGGCATGGAGTGGCGGGGCCAGGATGAGATTGTGGAGGCGGTGTTGGGGCAGCAGTTGGCGTTGAGGGGGGGAGCTTCCGCTGCTTTGTAGGGGTTGGGGGTTCGGGATGGTGGTTTGGTGTTTGAATTGGTGTATACTATAATGATACGTGCTGCTTGTATTGTAATCCACGGGCAGAAACTGCTGTTACAAATCATAAAATGTCTCACAGGAAGTGTGATGAGTTAGAAATCTATATTTGAATGCTATTGTTGTGTAAACCAAATGCCTTATAATTCTTGGTCCTAGACTTGCGCACCCCCCCAACCCCCCAACCCCCAAGTTCGCTTCACCCAGTATACATTTCACTTAACAGTCCCAAATCCGACGGGGCCTTTTTCCATCATTAGCTGTACGGACCTCAAATTTGCCGGAGACTCTCTCACCTTGGTGCTAGCTTCGTCTGTCTGATGAGGATAGTGGAACCTCTTGTCTGGGGTTATAGTTCGATGCCGATTCGCGCTCAGACTTGACTAGTCGTGGACCTGCGCGTGCCGATTCTTGTTTGCGGTCATTGGACCGCTTCTTGAGGATGAAAGGGAGTAGGAGGCACATGATGTAGCAGGGTAAGCTGGATGATCGATGCCGTTATAGTTCAGACCCAGGTGGAGTATATGATGATAGCCGAATTTGGGGCAGTGGAGATGCTTGTCAAAAGAGGATTCCGGTCGGTTTAGGAGAAATGTGAAATTGTTCTGTTGATGGACTATTCGTGTCGCTGTGACTTTCTGGTTAGGGACTTATATATTTGAGCATTCAGTCTGCCGACCACCCGTATAGCACACTCATTACTCCTCTATTGTTGCTCCCTGACTGATTACCGAATGGAGTAATCAAGGCGATACCGAAGGGAGCGGCGATCTGATTGGCTGGTTGACGTCAGTACAGCGAAGCGCCCGTGTTGTCAGCCTCATCGCAACAACAGTGGGTCTGTGCTGACACCCAAGCCGTGGAAGCTGAAGCTTAGTTCAGTCCCGACAAGCAAATTGATTGTTTCAGCCTGGAGGCCGACCATCCCGTCTGTTGGGGCGCAGCGCTCGCGCCCTTCTGTAGTCAGCGGGCCCCAACCCAACTCGCCGCTTGCCCAATCCGGTAACCCACTCGGTGGACCTACGGGACGGACGCGATCTGCGACCACGTGGAGTAGTGAAAATTTGGGTTGTGCGTACAGACCGCGGGCGATATCTCTCAAGGGACTATTTCAGAAGAAATTGAAGGGCGGTTTGGGGGCAAAGATTTTCCTGTTAGGGCGGCAGAGTGCCTGCTTATCGCGATAGTATGCCTACCCTGCAGCGAGCCTTGCCGACAGTGTCATGGTTCCGTCTGTCACTTCCAGATGAGCGCCTACAGTAGTAAAGTAAGCGCTACCAGACAGGTTCGCCATTCTAGGAGAGCTTTTTCTAGGGTGCTAAACAGTGATCTATCAGATGCTCGATCTCTCGCTGAAGTAACTGGTTTGAATGGCTTTTTCGGAAGTGTCGCATGACTTGAGCTTTTCTTTTCCAAGAGAGGGGAGAGTTTCGAAGGCCTGTAGATTCAGGCCGTAAGTCTCGAGGAATACAACAGAACTTGCTTTTGAAGGTGTATAGTGAATTACTCCAAGGCGCTTCAAAAATGCTTGAAAGGCTATCTGAAAAGCACACGAAATTCGTCACAAGGTTCATAAGCAGTTTGCTGACAGAATGCATGGAAAAGATGTAAGTTGAAGCCCTGGACCTGCTAGGGCGCTTCAAGGACGATTCTGGCCAGAGGAAACCACCTGCTAGACAAATCCGCTGAGTGAAAACATGAATCAACCAGATCGAATGAATTCCAATACATGCAATTCTATAAACCAATATGGTACATGATCGACAGAAAATAAATCACACGCATGTAGCAGACCAGTAAGCGAATCGAAGATATATGTCATACTATCTCCGGCCACGAAAGCGTTGCACGATCAACCTTTCCTGACGTTCCTTGTCTGCACACCCACAAGCACCATCGAGAAGACTGTAAAGGCCTCTGGCAGAAACACCAAAATCACTCGCACTGCCAAACTTCCAGTGCTGGAGCTGAGATCCTTCCGCTGCGTGCACACCGCGACCAACTGGTAAATAGCCCGGATACCCACAAAGAACAATGCCAGAAAAGATCCCTGAAGAAGCTGATAGCCATAATTAATCAGTAAAGAATTCACTCAAGCAGGACGAGATACACACCGTGGTACCAGCATGAAACGAGAAGGCATCTTTCCGTCGCTGCGATGGCAGGAGCTGGATACACGCCCAGATCACCTCCAAACCCCAGACCAACACCATTAATCCAGTGCCTGTCTTCCAGTGGTCGAGACTGTCCGGCTTGGGATGGCCTTCATAGATGTTCAAGGCACCCACAATGGCAAGCGCAAGAGCTGTTGCCATCAACCCTGTGGCCACGATGACCATTGCCCAGCCGACCCATTGTCTCCCGGGGTTGCGATAGGTTCGACTATTTCGAAGGACTGTGAGCTCATGATTTTATCTTTAGCTGGGAAGAGAAATTCTCACGCTTCGTGGAGGAGACCATCAATTGCTAGGATGAGCGGCGAGATGCCCACGCCCACGATGATGTTCGCAGCAAGGCTCTGGCTATCATGTACTCCCATCGCTCCTCCCACGACACGAGCGATGCAGAAGACACTTAAATAGTACCATGCCAGAAGTCCGCCCGAGCGGCGCGTCCAGACAATGTAGAAGACCAAGGGAAGGAGCACCAGGTAAAGGACAAGATCAGCTGCAAAGATGGCGTTCATGGTGCTTGACGATGAGATTGACTTGTGTAGAAAAAGCCGTCGATGACTGTCTGACTCGAAACTTGGCTTGTAGCGGATTTTGTCCAGAGCTGTTATTCAAGTTCGACGGCCAGCTGCTTTTATCATCCCCAGGAACTACCACCCGCGCGAGTAACCGCCCCTGTCATCCATGATTACTCGAAACTGCCATCTCGGGCATACATCGCGGGGGCCCAGCTGCACTCAGTGGCTTGGACATGGGGAGGCATACTACCAGTACACCATGCTGCAAGTGTTTTGCTGGCCATAAAGCTTGATTAGCCACAATTTGGTCCACCAGCAAAGTGTAAATCACAGCCACTGTCATCTCAGGACCTCCATAGATGTGATTGGTCAGATTTCGTCCATGAACATGACAAGCGTTGATTAGTTGAAGGATAGATGGAAACCAGCTCGATGGCTGCCTAGCCCAAGTCGGCGAGGCCGGCCAGAGTAGAATGTCTGAACTGTGCTGTATAATTCAGTCAGTTGTTCACAAGGCTGAGAGCAACCTTACACCTCAGTTGGAAGTGCGTGCCTACTTGTAATCCAAGAAAAGCTTAGCGTGTGTCGTGTCCCGCAGTCAGCACTAGTCTCAATTCAGTAACCACTTCGATATTCCCCAATCTGGAAGGAGCGCTTACTGCCCCGCGGCGGGGAGAGCGGCGATCACATCGACTCTTTTTCTCTCGAACCTCCCATCTCCTTGATCTCGTTTTGTCAGCCATCCTCCATCTTCGTTCACTTGCATCGGATATAAGACTTGCCAAGTCTCTTCAGAGGTTATCGTGTTGATTGCTCTCTTAGGAAACCACTTCGGTCCTGTCATGGTCTACCGCGGGAAACCCAGTGCAGCCTGTTCTTGGTGCCGGGCCCGCCGGCTCAAGGTATACCTATCATGACTACCTTCTCTATACGAGCTAAAAGATCTGTAGTGCGACCAGAAACGGCCCTCGTGTTCCTCCTGTCTGCGAGCCAAGCGGAACTGCACCGGATACCGCGATGTAACCGCTCTTAGTTTCCATGATCAGACTGCCGAAGTGGTCGAGAAGGCCAATCGTCGTCCGCAACCGCAATCAGAATACACCAGCGTATCCCCTTGGGCAGATGCGTCGGAGATCGCATCATCATCATCCTCCGACGAAAATGCTTATAACCTTTTCGCCCTGCAGCCTATGTCCACACCGATAATTGACCAAGGCATTACTTATGTCCTGACCTATCATGTCGGATCGGCCCGTCGCTCGGTTTCTGGGCACCTGTCGTTTCTACCCTCCCTACTACAACAGGAGCCGAGTCCCGCTGTCATGGCGTCCATCAATGCCATGGGGCTGGCAGCACTAGGCAACATTCACGGGAATCCTCACCTTACCCGTGCGGCACGTCAACAGTATACTATCGCACTATCAGAGACAAATACTGCCCTGCAAGATACCATCACTGCCAAGTCTGATGCCACGCTCGCTGCGGTTCTTGTCTTGGGACTGTACGAGGTGCGCTGCCCACGCTTATATCAAGTCCGTTTTATTGCTTGCTGACCCTAATGATCTCAGATCATAACCTGCCAGAGCCATTCGCTGATGGTGCGCTGGGCAGATCACATCGAAGGTGCGATGGCCCTCATCAAGCTACGCGGGTCGGAGCAGCTACGAAGCCCGGTCGGACTCGCCCTATTCACACAGTTACGCGGCCAATATGTGAGTCTATATGCCCCGTGAGCCACCGCTTGTGGTTCTAACTATTTACCGACCGCGCAGACTTTAAGTAATTTGTACCGAAAGAAGTCCACTCCTGCATGGCTGATGGCCTTGTCGGAGGAGACAGTCGGCATGCGGGGACCACAGCAGTCCCCCATGGAATCATTCTTCAAGTATCTGGCCAAGGTCAGCGAGCTGTGCGCACAAGTGGGTCGGAGAGCCAAGACCCCTCATGAAACTATACAAGAGGCACTACAATTGGACGCTATGCTGGCTGCGTGGGCCTTAACCGTCGGCCAAGGCTGGCAGTACTCAGTGCTTGACGCCGCAGTCACCAGTAAGAACAAGCCTTCTGAGCAGCATGTTTACGGCGATTACTACCACGAGTACCCCGAGATTGGCATTGCTGTCATGTGGAACACGTACAGATTGACGCGGATTGTTATTCACGAAGTGATTGCCGCTGTCTGCGAGCGATTGTGGAGGCGATCGAGAGGCAACAACAATGAACTCTGGGCGACGATTCGTCAGAGCGCTGCAGTCACCCGTCAGCTAGCGGAGGAAGTATGCGCCGGTGTCCCTTACTTCTTCAAGTCGGCTCACTCTGACAAATCGCTGATTGATGCATCGGGGTTGATCCGTTTACACTGGACGCTGTTTGTCGCATCCGACTGTGTTGGAAGCACGCCCCGCATGAAAGCCTGGATTACGAGTCGCTTGAATGAAATTGGTAGACGCGTAGGAGTTCAACAGGCACTGTCTATGACAAATTACTTGCTTGGAGACGTGTCTCTCAACTGGCTGAAGCAAGAACTGCAGGCTATTGATAATTTGCACGGGGATAGTCAAGGCGACGTTCCATCTGAACCCAGACTGCTCTTGAATGTGAGAGGCATGAAAAAGCACCAATCAAAGATGAACCAGTGAACAGTGGAGCATTGGACAATTTGTTCAAATCTGGCGTTGGGCGGTCTCGCCTTCGACATGACCTGTACCTGTGCAGTGCTGATTCGAGTAGAGGTTGTTATCGATGTTTATCGTTGTCACCGTGACTTGAGCTGTGGATGACTACTTCAGGTCATTGATAAGGTCGACTGGGCTTCTGGTTGGAGGAGACCAGCCGTGCGGGGAAATCGGCCATCTTCCCCGCTCCTACTTAAGGTCGAATCTTCCCGCCACTTCATCCCCACGCATCACAAGAATGGAGAAGTACTATCGAAATTATCAAAGTCTGGAGGGGGGCCAGTTGAAGCCGCTACATCGTCAACGATGGCTGCGTGCAGTAATGGGTCTCATTCTTCTTGGAATGGGCATATATTCCCTCTTCCGGGTACGATTTCAAGTACTCCCAAGTCCTCGTTCTGACCGATAAATAGAACTTTAGTGGCACGATGCGAATTCAACCGGCTTCGCGCCCCACCTCACTGGATAACTTCGAGAAATGCTCGATTGACAATTTCCGTGGAACGGGATACCCCTTCCTTGGCACGGCCATTCCAATGACGGTGGAAGACTTCGAAGATCGCCGCGACCGCTTGGCGCTGGCCCTCGTGGCCGACGGTGTGGATGCTTTTGTGGTTGAGCCAGGATACATATTCAAATACTACGCCAACATCAGCCAGCCCGAATGGGAAGTCTGGGAGGTGTGTGCCATGATCTGAATGCTGCCATGTGTTTGCGGTCCGCTAAAACCTTAAAGCCCGAAGAGCGCCCTTTCCTGCTCGTGGTGCAACCTGAGCGTCTCCCCTCTGGTAAAGTCAAATCCAAATCGTCGTTCCTCTGCCCCTCGTTCGAAGCGGAGCGGGCACGACTCCTCGGGATGCCGTTCACTGAGGCGATCGATATCATCCCGTGGGAAGAGCACTGGGATCCGTATGAGACTCTTAAAACCGCTGAAACATTCTCGCGCCTTCGCCGCACACCGCATCTCATGGTTGATGAAGAGATGCGGGATTTCATTCAGCGTGGGCTTGGTCGGGCCGGGTTCCACGTGGCTGGTCTTCAGGGCGAGGTGGAGCGGGTGCGACAGATCAAATCGGAGAAGGAGATTGGAATCCTGAGAGCAGTGAATACAGGGACAGTGGAGGCGGTCCGGCAAATGAGAAAGTGTGAGTAGGCGAGTGGATTTGATCTTGCCAAAGAAGCCAAATGCTAAGTCAAGACAGGCCTGTCTCCTGGGCTGACTGAAAGCGAGATCGCACGCGTATTGGATAAGACTCTCCTCTCCGCTGGATTGGAACCATTTTTTGACATTGTGTTATTTGGTATGGAATCAAGAACCCCAATGGAAACATGGACTTGGGCTGACAACTGCGATAGACGAGAATGCCGCGAATCCTCATGGTGGAACCAATGGGTCAAAGGTGCTGGAAGCGGAGACATTTGTCTTGATAGATGTTGGGTTCGTATTCAACTCAGCGATGCGGGGATTTGGTCTAACGGTCTCAGGGCCCATCTGATGGGTTATTCGTCTGACATCTGTCGCACATTCTTTCCTCCGTTCCTGGAACGACCGGCATCTGATGCTACTGTACCCGATTGGATGAGAGAGAAACTCGATGTAAATTCCCTTCATTCTTCCTTAGTCTTTGGGTCGGACGGCACTAACCGTAACAGGTCTGGGACATCGTTTTCGAAGCGCAAACCAAGTCTATCGACCGATTTATCGTCAATGCCACGGCGGCTAGTGTGGATATTGCCGCTCGTGCTGTCATCAGTGCAGCGGGATATGGCGATGCGTTTACGCACCGCGTCGGACACGGGATTGGCATTAAGGGTAGGCCAATCTTCCCCGCATACAGTGTGGAGGGACTAACATCCACAGCGCATGAGAGCCCTTACCTCAACAAGGGCAACCATGAGACGGTCCTTCGAGCGGGGATGACCTTCACCTCCGAGCCGGGTGTGTACCTGGTAGACAAGTTTGGAGTCCGCCACGAGGACATCTTCCTAGTGCGGGAGAATGATACTGCGGAATTGTTGACAGGACAGCGAGCCATCGGCCCATGGGACCCATGAGATGATCGACAGGACAGTTAACGGGGCCCGGCGAGTGTGCGATGCTGCTGTTGGTTAATTTGCGTGGTGATGGGGCTGTTGCATTGATTTTGCCACCGAAATGGTGAAGGGGGTGCTCGGGTTGCTGCAGTGGATTCTTGGCTCGCTTCCTTCTGCTGAGTAGGGATAGACCATCGGGAGGCCTGAAGTTAGTTGAGAACGTTGCCACGGATGAATGTTTCGTGGGGATATGGCAGTAGAAGAGACATAGGACGACCGGTGAGCTACCTAGGTATGCAACATTTGTTCAACGGTCGGCAATTGAGATTTCACTCCACATTGCCAATCTGCTGTGTGAGTAATCCGTAGGTGCCTCGCGAAGCAGGCGTGCGCATGTCGGCCCAAATACGGCTAACCGCTTCTGTGGAACACTGCTTATATAAGGCTTGGCGCACACAAAGTTTGAACCCTCCAAAGGTTGACGAGGAGCAGCAGCAGCACCACCAGCACCACCAGAATGGATCGACTAGAATCTTGATTCTCCACCAAAAGTGGCAGAGTAGAGGTATAGGACCAGACAGTAAGAGTACTAATCAGAAGTCAGTTCTGTGCATAAAGCTCAGGGCTATGCTTTGCCAAGCATAGCTTGACTCTTGTGCTGCACCTCCGTTGAATTCTGATGGCCACTTGTTTGTTGCCCAGGCAGGTCCAAAATTGGGCTGTCAAACAGACAGACAGACAGCCTGAGCGCAGCTGAGGGTCCGAATGCGGAGGGAGATCGGGGCCTGCAGAATGGAATGTGACTGGACAGGCATGGATCGGCGCCGATCGGTCGGCAAAAGCAAGCTAAAAGATTAGGCCGGCCCTGGCAGGGTTAGGTTCCTTTGCCCCGGATTTTTGACAAACGCACCCCACAATTTTAGGAAGAGAGAGTGTGTGCAGTGTGTTGCAGGCACGTCTTTTCCGAGCTGGCGGACTGGCCGGTCCATGGATCGTAGGCTGGTCACCTGAGCGAAGAGTCCCTCCCGGTGAATTTCTGCTTCTTCACCTCCGCACGTTTGCTTCTCCCGTCGACTCACCTGCATTCCTTATTACTTGCCCTACCACCATGCTGCTGAAGTGACTGCAGCGACTACACTTCCTTGAGAATGGACAGTCGCAGGCAGAAGAGGTTCGAGCTCCGCGTCTCTGCCTGATCCTCCCTCCCCCCCAACCATGGCCAACGACTCCGCGCCCATCCAGGGCATCGCCGGCCACTACACCGGCGACAGCTTAGCTCTCCAAGCGACACTAGCGACCTTGCTCGGCTGCGCCCTGTACAGCGCTCTCGAACTCATCCTGCTCATCTTCGTGACCTTCCACCACTACGCGGGGCTCTACTTCTGGAGTCTCCTCCTCTCGACCAGCCTGGGCATCGTCCCGCAGTCGCTGGGCCTCCTCCTGAAATACTTCAAGCTGGCGCCGATCTACCTGTCCGTCACGCTGACGACCTTCGGCTGGGCGATCATGGTGACCGGGCAGTCGGTGGTGCTATACTCGCGGCTGCACCTGGTGGTGCGCAACGCGGTGGTGCTGCGCAGCGTGCTCACGATGATCGTCGTGGACGCGATCATCATCCAGATCCCGCACATCGTGTTCTCGTACGGCGTGATCGCCGACGACTCCGGGAGCCGCTACATGCGCATCTACACCATCTGGGAGAAGCTGCAGATGACCGTCTTCTTCACCCAGGAGGTCATCATCTCCGCCATCTTCCTCGTCCAGACCGTCCGCCTGCTCACCCTCTACCCCAACCGCAGCAAGCGCCGCTCCCTCATCATGTACCAGCTGCTGGGCATCAACGCCGCCATCATCCTCATGGACATCTCCCTGCTCGTCCTCGAGTACCTCAATATCTACATTATTCAGGTCTCGCTCAAGACTTTCTTCTATACCATCAAGTTCAAGCTGGAGTTCGCCGTGCTGTCGCGGCTGGTCTCGTTCGTGAACTATGAGCCCGAGCAGGACTCGGCGATGACGGTGCTGAGTTAGGGTGTCGGGAGACTTTCATCGATTCAGGTAATCGATGGTAAATATTATAATGCAGATATCAATAATGGTTGTCACGGTTTCAAGAGCTGGGGCCTTCAGAGCCTTATGGCTCAGTTCAGGCCGGTCGGATTCAAGACGCCCACAATTGCCAGTCGTGTGCATTTGCAGTGTGCTGCTATCCTACACTAGGACGGACATCTACTGTGAATGTGTGGGGAACATGTCTTTCGTCGACAAGTCAAGTTGTCGCTTGGTGGTGATATGCATGCTCGATTCACTGCCCACTCGCAGCACACGAGACCACAACTCGGAATCGAAACTGCAGAACCGATTACCCTTGGGGTTTTAGTCATCACCAGCCAGACAGCTTCTTCCATGGCTGGAAATCAGCTCTCAGGGCTGCGCAGGTCATAGTCCCTACTCAATCATCACAGCCAGGTGCAGAGCACCTACAGAATCAGATCGAATTCCAGTCCATCACTGCCTTCATCTGTCAAGCAAATATATTGCCTTGGATGCCAAAGACATGGCACTGGGACTGAACATAGTGAATCCAGAAACACTCGGATTCAAAGGGCCCATTTTGTAATGGGGAGAGAAACGAGTCAGAGACTTAGATTCTTGATTGTTTCGTGGGCATTGAATGAACTAGCGTCCGACCGGTCAAGAAGTTGTTGACAGGTGCATCCATGTTTAACAACGAGACAAGAGATACTAAATACAGGAAGAAATAATACACTACAGACTGTAATCCTTAACAAGCTTTTGAACTACCTAGTAGCTGCTTCACAAGATGTGAATTGTGATAGGCAGATAAGGATGCTGTATGGATGAGAGTTGACGTGATATCGACCATCGCGAGCGCGTAAAGATTCTCTCTGATTTGCAGTCCCGAACAAGCTATCGGCGCACCCCGCCGCCAACGCCAAGAATTACAAGTTCCAACAAGTAAGTTACAAGCACCTCCTGCACGTTCGGGAAACGGGCCGCGACTGGAGTTCCCCTCCCCCTCGAGCGGAGAAGGATAACCTAAGGACATTGATTCCTTGTCTATCTCGTAAAACATCACGGGGAGTCTTGCTCTCCCTATATTCACGAATTATTCTCTTTTAGACGCACGCTGCAAAAAGACTCTCTTCTGTTCCTCATGACCCAAGGTCTACCCAGACGCGAGACCGTCCCCTCTTTGAGAGAAGGCTCTAAAGAGCTACCATGAAGAGCTGGCCGCAGACGATTTCTGGATCGTGATGGGCACGGCGACCTGGCTCTGGCGCGGTCGTCCCCGATCTCGAGGCGTACGAGACGAGGTCGGACATTGGGTCCAACTCGACATCCAGAGCCCAGGTAGTCGCTAGAGGCAAGCGACGGAGCCAGCAAGATCGAGGTCTTATGCTCTCCAGCTTGGAGATTGAGCTCGTACTTCGTTGCGGATGCCAGGTCCGCCCCGAGAGAGCCAGAGTCCTTGCCCTCATCAACATACCAGGTGAGACGTATGAGACGTATGAGACGTATGGCGCCGATATAGTCGCCCTGGTTGTTGGTGTGGTGGCAGATCTCCACTTCTAGCAGGAATGGGCGGAAGGTGGACTGGCCTGTAAAGCCAGGGTCCTTACCAACGTCCCTCACCCGCAACTATACCGGGGAAGCTATCTCGCAACCTCGTAGTACCTGACTGGGCTTGCTTGTGTAGTTCCCCTTTTGGTCGCATATGCATGCTGCATTCAATAGTCCCGCCGAAGAAGATCCGGCGCAGCTGAGAGTGGATTGATCGGACGGACGGAGAATCCTAGCAGACGACTTCCAATCAATTAATCATCTACCGCCATTCGGCTGGAAATCATCTCACCGCATTTTATTTGCTACGAAGTGCTGGGCGCGGCGCCCGCCGGTGGAGTTGGCCTGTCGCCCACGGCGCATCGGCGGAGCCGAATTGGGAAGGCGCGCATCTGCCCTCGGAGTATAAACTCCCCCCTCGCCCCCGGATTCCCGCGTTCCAGAAATGTTCTTCGTGATCCCGACTTTCCCCCTCAGCATTCACAATCATGCGGCACGGACTATCGCATTTCCAATGGCTCTCTCGAGCAATGCGATGATGCACGGGATGTATCGTCCTTTCCAAATTCTAGCTTTCGCTTCCCACACAAGGTTATACCCTCTATCATAGCAAGTTGCAAGGCACCGTCATCACTCGGGGGACCTCCCCTCTGCGTGTACCAACCGCCCACTCACTTTCGCATCACCACTCAAAAGATACCGAAATAGCCTACTAAGTGCACGCATAGCGCCGTCCCACTCCTCCTTCCGACAGAGATTGTAATTCCGTGTAAACTCCACCTCAAAGGTTTCATCGGCAGAACAACCTCTCGAATGGACCCTGTTCACAGCATCCCTTGTAAACACTCCACGCGCAATATGGATACCATACCCGTGGAATCCAACAACAAAGACCTCTTCTTCCTGCGGCAGTCTATCATCCTTCCACACACCAATGTTCTGCGCGAGCTGACCGAGCATCACACCGAGAGTCTCTTGAAGAAATTCATCCCACGTTTGGCCAATCCACCACTTTGACATACAAATTACTACCACCAGTCATATGAGAAGGAACGGAGAGAATCACATACACCAGTATACGAGATTATCGGGATGCTCCTCCCTCGAGGACCGACAGTAACCTCGCCCTCCGACCTAGCGCTGTACTGTGTACCACCAATCACGTATTTCATTTTCGAGGCGTAAACCGAGAATCTTTTGGGTCAACGAGTTATAAAAGTGAGATCCAGTCCATCTAGACTTCTGGCGAGCTGCTCACCGGACTTCGGGGTCTTGCTTCCGCACGCCGTCCAGACTCGCGTACACGGTCTTCATCAACATCCTTAGAATCCAGCCTTGCGATCGAGTAGATGCCAGGTGATCATATCTATCCTTAATTTCCCAGTTCTTGAGGGGCAACGTGATATTCGCACTCGGCCTTAGCGCACGCTCGATTCCTCTCTCATCCTGCTGGGAAGAGCGGGCTCGAATGGTCGACTGGTAAGAAAAGAGTTCGTCAAAGAGCAAGGACGACGTCAGGTCTTCATCGGGCCAGCTGTCCAAGCAGTCTTCTTGGGCAAGGTTGGTGTGTCTAAAGACCCAGGGGGTCAAAGTCTCTATGTCCCTCTCTACGGAATATCCGTCAGCATTGTCTGGAAACTAATCCGAACTGCAGAGCGGCAATCCCTGGAATGGGTGTACCTTCACATTCCACGTCTAGCACTCTTGGTATCAGAGCATTAAGAGGCACAACCCTGGCGACAATAGTTGCTGACATGCCAGATCTGTTTTGCTGGCAACCCACTTCTGATCTAGATGAGAGTATGGGTAAATCCACTGTGGACCGGTGGGTCTTGATAGGCGTGGAAATAACCTTGATGACACGCTCAGTAGCATGAGCCCTACTCTATTGCAGAGCTACCGCTACCGAAGAGAACCCTGCAGCGGACAGAGAGCCATGAGAATGATGTCTGTACTTTGGGCAAGAACATGAAGCACAGAACGATGATCAAGGAGCCAAACATTGACGAGACTATGTTGACCAATGGTCAAGCGCAGCGGTTGCTGTCCCACTACGAGCAAACATGACAAACAAGGCGCAAACGGAACGACTCGCCCAGCCCCTCGCAACCCGGCCTCGTGTCGGCTTTATCTCATACTGGCTTGTTGGGATCAAATTTTAGTTCTCTCCTAGGATTGAAACTCCAGAAGAGGACAAGGATTTTCTTTCTCTGACCCATCCGTGGAAAATTGAGATATCGCAAAATAGAAGCTACCGGCTAGACTGCGTCCGAGTGGCTGTGGGAAGCTTGATGCATCGGCACCGAACCACTCTCGCAGTGTGAACCAAGCGTCCATCCCCGTCTCCGGGGCCGAGCCTCCCAGGATTGACTCTCTGCGGTCGCAATGCTCGGGGAAGACTGTACAGTTCCAGTTGATTTTCTTATTGAGTCGCTCACCTGCGGACAAAGACCACACTCTCTGCTACATGAGAAGGGCAATTGATTCACATTCTGATCACAGTTGAACAGCCGTCAGGCCTCGCCCACGGCGCCGATGGTACACGTGACTACTTGCACTAGAGGCTCGCCAATTAAGATATCGGTATGACAAGCTGATCCTGTATGCGCGGATAGCGTCAAGAATGAGTCCAATGTGTATTTCAACCGCCTCATGGAAATCTCTACTTCACAAAAGAGCTTTCCGGGTAACGATCTCAACGAATGTCACGAATACCTCGATGCGAATCTGAAAGAGCCGGCAGAACATGCACCATCATGACTAACAAGCAAACATCTTGGTGGTGCTAACATTAATTCGACTCCACTCTTTCCCCCTCACCAAAGACTCCAAGAACCGACTCGGCCAATACACATGATACAGCACGAAGAACGGCACCGGATCCCACGCCACGTAGGTCCCGTCCCGCCAATGCACGAGATGCTCCCACAGCGTCTCGAGCCCACTCTTCACCTCTTCCACACTCCCCTCTCCAAACAGAAGTGTGAGGGCTGGGATGAGCAGCAGAGTCACAAGATCATGCCCGATCCAGTAGTAGCTGTGCGCGGGCTGCGCAGGCACCACCAGCGGTTTACGCATGGTAAGCTCCGACTCGAAGCAAGACAGGTATGCCTCCGCCATCACGGGTGTGTCCTGGAAGAGAACCACCGCCGTGTGCGCGCGCGGGTTACATTCGATCGGGTAGAGTCTTGCATCCTGCCCTTCGCCCTCGACCAGAAAGTCGAAGCTCAGATGTCCCGTGAACTCCTCACCGCCATCCTCGGCGACGCGCTTGGTGAAGTCGAGCATCTTCGTGTTCAGGGGCGCGTCCGCGGGGAGTGGGGCGTAGTGCATCAGTAGGTCGGAGGAGGGGCAGGAGACGAAGGCCTTGACCTCCCCGCGGACGACGAGGGAGTGCGTGCAGTACTCCGGGCCGGTGATGTATTGCTGGAGGATGTAGGGGTTGGACGAGGAGATGTTCAGCGTCGACAGGTAGGAGGCGGTAGCCTTGGGTCCCGCGGACAAAGGGAGCAGCGTCATCATCTGGGCTCGAGCCTTGTCGTCGACCCCGATCGGTTTCAAGATGAATCTCTTGCTCCCTCCTTTGGGTTTCTCGGTGCCGTTCCGTGAGGCGGACTTGGTGAGAATATCCTCGACTTGCGCGGCAGATGTACAGCGATGAGACTCTGGGACTAGCAGTCCGATGTTCTGGATGTACTCGATGAAGGCGTCCTTCTCGTGCAGCTTGTTCACCACATCACTGTCGAACTGCACCGCGTGGAATCGTTTCCGCCTTTCCTTCTGCGCCGATCGCATCACTTCGCCATCCTCGATCGCGTCGACGACGCTGCTGCAGCTGATCCATAGGTGCACGTCCTCTCTTCTTATGAGATCCAGCAGCGAGTCAATGTATGGCTTCGTGTTCGCGCCTTGTGGGGAGCTGAGACGGTAGAACTGAGCTATCGCGCGAGAATAGCGGCCTGGCGATGTGAACGGGATGGGTTCTGTGTCGGCGGCGATGATGCGGTGAGGGGTGTGCTTTACGAGAAGCCGGGCGATTATAAGCCCCTTAGTCATAGAAATCCCCGTCACGAGTATGGTTTTACGACGCGAGGTCGCGTGCAATTGTGGCCGTGTTGCTTCATCTTTAGAGACGCAGATGTAGAGAAAAGACGCAAGAGTGATAGTCGCAGAAATCGGGAGGCAGAGAACACTAAGGAGGATGAGGAGGATGTTCTTCGGCTCGTGGCGGTGGAAAATAGCCATAGTGGGAAGGTGGCCGGACTAAAAGTTGGCCGCGTGCGGAAGAGGCCTCGATGCGAGAGTAGCGGATGGAATCTCTTCATATACCTACCTTCTGCTACTACCTGGTACTACTCTCACCAGACTTTACTACGGAGTATACGCATAACGTCATCGTGACTCTTATGAATTCAATCGCTTTTCGATGGCCGCGACCGGTGCAACACAAGGTATTTAGGGACCCTACGGATAATATATCCGGAAGACACAGAACACACAGTGAACATCGCTTTCATTCCTACTGCAGTACGTGAACTATTCCTTCTCCTCGCCTACACATCGTGTAATCTCCACACCGTCCTATACTGACATCAGTGCATGTTCCTTAATTGTGTAGAAGATGGTCTTACCGGCACACCCGTGGGCTCAAAACTGTGCACCAACTGGCTCTCGTATACCAGATTTGGATTGCCAGGGCTTTGGTTGAATTTCATCTCCCCATATCTCTTCTGATATTGATTCACGGTCTTTCCTGGGAGGCTCTGGCTCTTCACCACCGCTCCCAATTTCCGCCTCTTCTCCTCCACACTGCCCCGGACGTACTCCAGATACGGTGGATTACCAGGCTTGATGACATTGTCCGCAGCCAGGACAGAGCCCGGAGTGATTAGCTGCAGCTCCTCGCACAGCTTTAAATCCGTCGTGTACGCCGGCTTGTAATGATCCAGGAACATCAGATCGATGTGCTTGAGCAGGCCCTGGGCGTGCAGGCGCGCAATGGAAGCGTCGCTCGAGCCGACGACCACTTTGACCACATCCGAGAGACCTGCCAGATCAACTAGCGACATGATCACCGCCGCAAACTCCGGATTCATCTCGAGACTGTAGTACCGTTGGCCCCCGGCTTTGCGCACTGCGTCGCCGAAGAGCACACAGGAGTAGCCAACATAGCCGCCGAGTTCCACCTGCGTAAGCATCAGTACAACTCGGTCCTCGCTGCCAGTCAGGCCAATCGACATACCATGACTTCAGGCTTGACCTCTGCGATGAGATCGCAAACAATCCGCCCCTTATCCTCGCCCACATTCATGAGATACTTCTTCGTGCGCCCATACTCGTCGATCGCCTGGAGCACCTTCTCCGGGGAGCCGCGGATGTTTTCCAGGTCGGGGTGCGAGTACACAAAATGGAGGAGCTCGATCTCGCGCCCGTCGTCGAAGAACCCCGTCCCCTCTTCCTGCGGTGCGTATGCTTTGGCCTGATCGAACTTAGTCATTTTCGCGCTGTCCTGATCAGCCATGATGGTACCCGGTGATTGTGCGCCTATATGGGAAATCTCTCCACCACATCGGAATCGAAGCCGTCGATGGTGTGGTAATCATCGGGATAAATTTAGTGTGCTGGGCACGTTGCACCAGGGAAAAATCGCCAAGCCAGCCGGATGGAGGCAGGGTCTCATTCGCAAAACAGGGAAAACCAGCGAACCTCGAGTCATGGGCTGTCCCCGGGACACTGCAAGGGGTAAAAGCCGGGCATTCCAGTCCCTCGTCCGGTGGCAGGGTCCTGGCCGGGGCGGGGGAAGAGAGGGGAGGGGAGGTGGTAGAAAGCAGGGTGGAGGAGGGAGGATCGGCGTGGACCCCAATCAATCGATCAACACTCCCGATCGTGGTTACCAAGTCTTGACGTGGGGGAGATGACATTGACTCTCTTGTCGTCAATGACTCCCGGAAATTCACAAGCTTATCAAGGTTAGATCTGCGGGTCCCCCTGGTGGTGTAACCTTATCGCTGCAGAAGCGGAAGCTACGGCCGGAAGCGGCGTCTTTTCTGGCGGCAATTGGCTTAGCGGACCCGCTTTTCAATGACTATGTCATGCATACCAACGAGACTCCAAGCTTGAGTTTCTCCGAACAGTCCCATCCCCCGAGTGAACCCGATCGATCGATGGTCCCTCATTGGATTCTGTGTCTGTTCGATGTTGGTACACTCGGTTGACGTGATCGTGGTCTGGTTGCAAGCGTAGGAGCCAATCTGAGGACAACGTGTTCCATCCGGCAAGCTGAGTGGCAGGTGAACAATCGTTATATATCCCCAAACCTCCGTGTCAATTTTTGGAAATTCATCAACTTCTCAACTCCTCTTTCTCGGTTGTGCTTCATTCAACACTGCTGCAGCCATGTCCGACCTCAAGGCTACGGTCTCCGAGACCAAGAACGGCTTCCACGTCGAGGGCTACGAGAAGATCGAGTACGATTTCACCTTCCTCGATGGCGTGTTCGATCCCCAGAACGCTCAGTTGGCTGGCCTCTATGAGCGCTGGGGCCGTTGCTTGGCCATCATGGACAAGAACATCTACGATCTTTACGGCGAGCAGATGCAGACGTACTTTGACCACCACGGTCTGGAGCTGAAGATCCATCAGACCATGATTGGCGAGAAGGCCAAGTCATTGGAGACCTTTACTGAGATTGTCGACTCGATGACCGAGTTCGGAATCATCCGAAAGGAGCCCGTACTGGTTGTGGTATGTCTGATCCACTAAGCTGGACACTATAACGCAGTTACTAATCTACGGTCAATAGGGCGGAGGATTAGTTACCGATGTTGCCGGGTAAGAACCACCACCAACTTCCAAACATAACCTAAGGGCTAACCCGTACCCCAGGTTCGCCTGTGCCGCCTACCGCCGCACCACGAACTACATCCGCATCCCCACCACGGTGATCGGCCTCATCGACGCCAGCGTCAGCATCAAGGTGGCCGTCAACTACGGCAACTACAAGAACCGGCTGGGTGCCTACCACGCGCCGATGCACACGTTCCTGGACTTCGGGTTCCTGCGTACGCTGCCCGAGGCGCAGGTGCGGAACGGGTTCGCGGAGCTGATCAAGATCTCGAGCTGCGCGCACCTGCGCACGTTCGACCTGCTGGACGAGTTCTGCGAGCGGCTGATCGCGACCAAGTTCGGGCGGTCGCAGGACGAGACGGGCGAGGTGCGTAAGGCAGCGGACGAGATCAACCGCAACGGCATCTTCGAGATGCTGAAGCTCGAGTCGCCCAATTTGCATGAGATCGGGCTGGACCGGGTCATTGCGTACGGGCACACCTGGTCCCCGTTACACGAGGTGAGCCTTCCTCATTGTGTTATGGAGAGGGTTGTCCATTTTCTGTTTCTTGTCTGCTGACAGTATATACTTGCAGCTGGCACCTCCCGTGCCCCTTCGCCACGGTCACGCCATCTCGATCGACATGGCGTACTCGGCCACGCTGGCCAACATCCGGGGCCTGCTCAGCGACGCCGAGCACCGGCGACTGCTCAACCTGTTCTCCCGCGCGGGGCTGTCCATGGACCACGAGCTCTTCAACGAGGAGATTCTCGACAAAGCGACGCAGGCGATCCTGAAGACGCGCGATGGCTTGCTGCGCGCCGCCGTGCCCTGCCCGCTGGGCAGCTGCAAGTTCCTGAACGACGTCACCAACGAGGAGATGTTCGCGGCGCTGCGCCGGCACAAGGAGCTGATGAAGGAGTACCCGCGGCAGGGGGCGGGGATCGAGGCCTACGTCGACGCCAGCGACACGGGCTACACGATCAACAACCAGCCGGTGGACCCGCAGATCCACGCGCAGCAGAAGATGGTCGACGGCGGCGAGAAGAAGACCAACGGCGTGGCCGAGGGCAAGAAGATCAACGGTGTGGTCGACGAGAAGAAGAACGTGTTCAGCGACGGCGTGATGAACGGGTTCCGTCAGATCGCGGCCAATGGATACCCCAATGGGCTGCGCAATTAGAGGCGTTTGGTTAGAGGGCGGGAGTTTTGGAAGCCGGCTGTTCGTGCATGATAAACATAAACCATCGTGAGGGAAATGGGTTATCGCTTTATGAAATGAATTATATAGGTCGCACACGATAAATACCTAATACAGCACATTTTGTTCACTTATATTCTCAATGTTGTATTCAGACGATCAGGGTGTGCGTAGTTGGGCCATTAGTAGCAGCCTTTCAAGTCTACTAGAGACCAAGCCGTCAACAGCATAGTTCTAGCCTATTGAAGCGCACAGGACAATCGCAAAGCAGACACCCCAACAGCCCAAAGCCCAGCCCACGCACCCCACACAACCCCTCCCCGCTCCCACAACCTACTGATAAGCCTGAATCGCACTCGCAAACGCGGCCGCAATCTGATCCAACACCAACGGCGCCAACGTGGCATACGTCGCCGACAACTTCTCCTGCACAGCCTTGCCCAACTGACTCGACAAGAAGCTCAACTGCTCGAGATCCCACTCCACCAGAAAGCTCAGCGACGCCACGCCCAGCAGCCCGTCATCGAACTCGGGTTTCTTGGCGACCAGATTGGCGAGGGTGGAGGCGATGGTCGGCTCGAGCGCGACGAACGCCTGCGCCACGCTGAGACTCTCGGTGTCGGAAAAGTTGGCTGAGCGCTTGGCGGCCACGATCGCGGCCTTCAGGTCGACTTCGAGCTGGATCGTCTCGGCTTGGATCTGCAGCGCGCTGAGCGAGCCCTCGATGCCGCCAGGGTAGGCGCTCACCGTCTTGTTCAGGGTGGTGAGTTGCGTTGTGATGGTGGTGACGGCGGCGAGGACGGAGGAGGCGTCGCGTTTGGTGAGACCCGCAGAGTCGGCGGGGGTTGCACTGGCCCAGAGAGGGGAGAGGAGGAGGGTGAGGAGGAGGATGGGGAGGGTGAGTTTGAGCATTTTGCTGGTGCTGGCTTCTTGTAGGGTGGTTGCACTTGAGGTGGGAAGAGCGGAAGACGTGAAGCGTGAAGCGTGCTTCACCCGCACGAGCAGGGTTGCTGGGGTCCTTATATCTAGGGCACTGTTCTGAAGGGTGTCATCGTCTAGCTCAATCTATGCTACCCCTCTTTTATTGCCAGACAGGGATCTTGTGATGGACGAGACCATCCCCATCCACAGGCAGTGCCTCAGCTCGAGCAGGAACCCACCCCCTCGGACATACATTGCCACTTCACTCCAGCAGCCCTCGAGCAGAGCCCTCGTCCATCATCTTCTCGAACGGGTACCTTTCCCGTCATTGCCCATTGCCGATCCCATGGACCCCGCGCAGGGACCCTGATGATTGGCATCGCGGATTGCCGGATGCGGACGAGTTAATATGTGACAGATGTGATAAGATCCCCACCCCGCATATTGGCCGGGTGGATATAGATTAAAGGCTTGTGCTTGCTTACTTGTGCCTCGGGAAAGCCCTAATGGGGTTGGTGGTCCTGGTGAATGTGCCTGGAGGGCGATCGCATCATTGGGGTTGGAGCATGTGCTTCCGAGGTACAGCACTCGTGGAATTTACACTACTTATACACTACTTATATCTACAGGCTGATTTCGTGCACCAAGACTGAGCGGACTGCTCGGTAATTTGCGAAGCCGGTTTTCTCTGCCTGGCGTATGATGTAAGCTGATACACGTCCATAATTCAGAGCAAACTGGGGCCTTGGCCCGCCTGTGCTGGTCAAGCTAGGACCATCCACCGCCAATATATCTACGGAGTCCTGTCAACGCAGGATGCAATGAGCATTGCAATCGTGATTGTGTGTTTTAAAAAGCGGACTGCATTCCTCACAGACAAACGAAATCTAGTTCTATTTTCTGTTCGGTCTGGCTGTAACCCCGGACTCTTGAATTCAGCTGTCCCCACTGAAACAGACCCGCTGAAAAACTGCCCCAGCACACTAAATTCACTTCCAAGCATCGGTGAGTATGCCACCTAGCTAGTGCAGCGGCAGCCCTACTGCTCCAAGGGGAATCCATAGCCGACCAAGAACGCCGGCTCATCAATGCTATGATGCTGGTAGCTGCACCCGACAGACAGACAGTCAGCCAACATCCCCACCACACGACCTCACAATCACATACCTAAGCACCCCCACCGCACCAGGCTCCAACATCATGGACAAAGGAAACTCCATGGGATAGCCCAACCAGCGCTTGGTGAACGCGCGCAGCGTATGCCCGTGGGCAATGAGCACCACATCAGCCGGCTGCTCGCCATGCATATTCCCGCGATGAAGGTCACGGATCTCCGCGATCAGACTATCGATTCGAGCCGTAACATCCTCGGGCGACCTGCACCGCGTTAGCACCTACCATTCCAAGGAAGAAATAGAAAACGTACTCGCCCCCCTCACACCCATCGCGCCAAATATCCCACTCCCGCTCCCCATCCAACCCATGCTCCTTTCTGAGGGAACGAATCTCCTTCGTCAGCAACCCCTCATACAGCCCGTACCCCCACTCGGCCAACCGCGCGTCGTTCTCCTGCACCTTCCCGGCGGCCCGCAGCGCCTGCTTGTCGGCCTCGGGGAAGGCCAGCTCGAAGGTGTGCACCGCCCGCCGCCGCGGGCTGACGAACACGCGCGCCAGCTTGCGCGCCGGGTCGAGCAGCTTGCCCGCGCCCACGAGGATCTGGCCCGACGCCGTGACTTGCTTGATCCCGTCGGCGGTCAGCTCGATCTCGCTGGTGCCGGTGTAGCGGCCGCTTTTGGACCATTCGGTCTCGCCTGGTTTCGTTAGGGTCGCGTGTCTTTGGATTGGGAGGTATGGGGGTATGGGGAATGAAGCTACGCGGGGTGGGGGGGTTATGGAGAGGTAGACTTACCGTGGCGGTAGAGGAAGACCCGCGGGGTACCTGCGTCCTTGTCGGGCATCTTGTCTGGAGCGGAGAGGGGTCTAGTCTAGTCTAGGGATTCTGGATCTAGGGTGTTGGATGTATGTGGTGGTGCAGCTGAGGTTCAATGGGTTACGATGTCAAACCTGGGTTGGTTTTCGGGCAGGCGAGATTGGTTGACGCCATGGGTGGGCGTGTGGGGCGGAAAGGGTTTTATGTAATCCATGGTCATGGATCTGACTGGAGTTCGAGGGCAAGTGGGGTTCACCGGTGGTTGTTTGTGTACTAGCTTACTCTGGGGAGCAGAGTGGGCAGAATGTTTGTGGGATTGATAAAGAGGTTGTATGGCAGGTAACAAGTATAGATATTAGGCTGGCACAGTAGTATAACATATCCAAATTTGGAATCTCTGCATTCGTTCATGCCAGAATCATGCAATGGAAATTTCCACAAGTGGGGAAAGGAGGGGTAGTGCACCTGGCAAACCAACCAAACAAGGCGAAATAGCTTGATGATGGCCAATCAACCAGCAGTGGCATTTATCACGTGATGACATTGGAAGTCATTGTACCTTCGAGATAAATGAGAAGCCGTCGAGACTGTCTGCAGCTGAAAGGTCAGATATAGCAGTACTTCATTTGGAACAACTTTGGTTAAATGGAAACTTTCGTGGTAATGTGTTTCTATTGTCGGTCGAGTGTTTTCTATACCAAGGAATGTACATAGAAGCAGGAACTCCGACAAATTGAGATCTTGTCGCTGAGATGACAGAATCGCTGCTGCTCACATGTATCTCACTGAGGCAATGCATGATAAGCCTCTGATGTGCTGCTCCAACCAAGTCGCGTGGCTCAGCCCGAACCTGTTGAAATATACCACTGACTAGCTCCCCACTCAGCGTCTTCTGCTGCCAACAGCCCTGCAACAGACCGACAACAAAGCGCCTGAAAATAGTGTAGTGCGAATTATACTTTTCTGTGTGAAGAAAGAGGTGGGGTGGTATTGAAGAGTCATTCCTTGTCAGACCATAACAAGGAAGAGGCTTGTCGCGTATCCAGTGTCTGATGAAACAATGTGCTGCGAAATACTTTTGAAAGGTTAGGTGCAGAGAGTGGAAGTTGTGTCGGCTATTGTAAACATTGTGTTGCGACGTGCACAAGAATGAGACTTGGCGGAGTACACATTTGCTTATACAAGGGAGCTCTTCCTTATGCTGTTTTAACAGTTTGCATATGGATGCTTGGTTTTCCTTTTAAAACTTGATGATATCACTAGTAAGTCTATAAAATGCAAGGCCCTCAACCAGCTTGATCTCCTTGGTAATATAATTTTTGATGTCGAGCTGGTGGGTGTCTTCTACTGCCCCTTCTGTGAGCCGGCGCCCTTGATTATCTCGGATACACAGCTATAGAATATCCTTTCTCCAGAGCTTTGAGATGATTGACTAATAGAGAATGGTCATTATCTGTGCCCTGTTGCCCCAAAGGTTGCGCTCCCAGCTGTAGCATAATGTGTCTAGCTGAATTAAGATCCGGACGAGGCCTTGCAATAAAGTGTGATTTTGCAAAAATAACTCAATCTCTTCTGAAATGCTTATGCCAGGCACTACCTGTGTGTTGCGAATGTAGTTAATCACCTGATTGGGGCGGAATCCTATAGTCTCCAGCTCCGGATCAACGGCTCTGATACTAATATTGTCAGACGGGCGAGGTTTCGTCGTAATGATAACTTGTGGCTGCGTCAATAAATGGGACACTGACCACCACGTCTCCCAGGCGAACATCGGTAGTAGCACTGGGCACGCCGCCTCCGATACCCACGAGTAACCGCAGTGTTATCGACGGGAAGCTGCGTGCCAGATCCCGTGCGACGGCTGCAGCCGAGATTGTGCCCTGGTAGCCGGCAGGCAAGGATGCGATAACCACATTGTGTCGGCTCAGCTGTCCAAGGATGTAGCGTTGCGGGTCACCTTTGGTAGTCGGAAGCTGCTCGTGCTCTTCGTCGAGCATGTACCTCACTGCGCTGAGCTCAACTTCCAGCGGAGCGAGGAGCGCAACTGTATAAGCATCATGTGATAAGCGTTTCTTCCTGGTTTCCATCCTGCTCTCACAAGGCGATGGTGATGGAAAAGCCCATCAGACTTTGTGACCGAACCTGAGAGGTGGATTGGGTTGAAATCTGACAGGGAAGGCGCACTGGGCAGCAACCATACCGAGGATCTGCAGCCCCCATGCAGCATGACGGCTTGCTTGCGTATAAAAGGATCAATGTAGGTGCGTTACCTTTGGCAGAGTTGGAAGACTGAACAAAACAGCCACAGACACGAGGTTCAAGTGGCTAGTGTCGACTTTGAGCAAACAGCTTAGAGGATGTCATCTGATGAGTTATCCTGTTTCTCGTCATATTGGAGCTGTGAAAGTACGAATCAAGTTGATCCGCGTTTACCCACCCACGCCGTAACTCACCCCTCGGTGATGTATTCAAACCAGCAATCCACGAGTGACGTTTCAAAAATGTATAAGCGGACGCCAGGGACCTCCAGGCTGCGTGTTGCGCTATCATCTTCGATAAACACCAACGCGTCTTCGCAGCAGGTACGGGTCACATCCCGAGGATGGCGCTAAGATAACAGGCTAATCCAAACAGAGCCTAGCTTCAGCGAAGCAGTTCGTTATTCGCCGCAAATCTGAGCGACAATGACACCTTATCATGCCGTCTAACTGAGGTTCTGTACGCCATCAGTCATCGCAATAACTGCCGGCCTATCGGGTGTCGAGGAGGGAATTTTAAGATCAAATGAATGCGGGGGAGAGAACGTCCAAGTAATCAGCATTTTTTCGATTGGCTGTTTTACACCCGAAGCCTCCAAGCCACGTGTGGAGGCTAGAATACCAGGAAGATAAATTTGGACACCGGCGGACAAGCGCGCGTCCGATCCCCGGATTAGCCGACTCCTTTTCCGTATTCTGCGCTGTCACTGCAATCAGTTCGTTGCCCCTTGCACCTTTCATTGGATTGCCGACTTCATATTCATTCTCCCTGTAAATATATTATCCGGCTCAGCGAATACATATGCGTCGACTATGGATCGAGATTGTCAAACTTTCTCCTCATGAGAGTTGTTCCGGTTCACAATCTGTTGTGCGTTTCGTTCCACTTATCACGCCCTCCCAAATGGACACTTTTCGTGTTCAGTGCGAAAAGCATTCCTAACTACTGACTGAATCGCTTTGAATGGTTCGCGGACTCTAAGCCCCTACCCCCTTAAAAGGGCTTCGAGATTCGATCGGTCGATCCGGAGATTAGTCATCATAATCCACTCTAGGCAGTCAGCCCCGAGGGGTAATTCCCCTAAACTAATCTCCGATCGATTGCAATGTCTTACACAATCCCATATATAGATGTTTGCAGCTAACCATGGGCGCTCAAAAGTATTCAAGACATTTGCTGGCGCCATTGGACTAGTACAATAATCCCGAAGGCTACTTGTGCTATTTGCATTGTGCGAATCAATAGTCCCGAGGGGTCTCGGGTAAATTTAGTTCAATCGCAGCGATGTGTCTCTGGGCTGAACGCTTAGGGGGAGCTCGGTGATCGACTGATGGCTGATCCTGCTATGTGCGCAATGCAACCTCTGTAGACTCAGAGTCAAGCGGGATAGTTATGTTCCGACCCTGCAAACGGGAGTTATGTGGTGTGGCAGTGGTTTCTCCAGCGGTTTCTCCGACATCACCAGTAGGCATGTCGATCGACCTCACGGATGTATCATTAAGCGAAGAAAAGGAGACCATCAAGCGAACTGTGGGTGAGCCTGAGACATGCTGTGGACTAGTGTACATAGTGAATATCCCATTGAAGGTGCCTACCGAGTTCCACCTGTTAGCGACAAATGTGTCAGTCGCGCCGGCTTCTTGTCTCTGAGTCTGAAAAACTTGTGTCAAGGAAGCTGTATGGTGATCTTAACATGACCCATTCATGTTCTATCACGTTGGCATCACCCGTTAGGTCAATAGTCAATAATCACAGAGATGTCTTCCAAGTTGCCACCAATACACTCTACAATGCGCTGCGGCCGCCAAGGGGGTCACGGAGAGAAATCCCTCGGGGATGGCAGGAATAAGCTTTGGCTAAGCTTTGGGAAATATCGTTTTGGAACAAATAGAAGGAAGATTTGAGAATAATTCCCAGGAGACATTCTACCAATAAGGCATTTGCAGCAATCAATCGCAATGATCCGAATCTATTCTGAGCATGTTAGGTACATAATCCAGGAAACAATTGGTGCACGAGACCGGAATGTGTGGCGCGGGGGGAACCGAGGTATTTGCGGATCCTTATCAGCAAGAATTGGAGAAATGTGCGCACAGGACTCAAGGAACCACAATGGTCTGAGCAGCAAGACAAGGAGAGAAGGCGGTGTTTCGGAGCCAAGTAAGACATTCACCCCAAATGCGCCAGAAAGCACCAGAAAAGGGGCTACGTCATCGACCCACTTGAGAAAATTCTGTGTTTTTGATAGATGGCTTGGCACAACCGCACTTCAACACAATAACCCCTTTGAAATTGGGAGCTGTTGTATCGGATTTGCTAATCTAGGACGGTTTCAGTATTGCATAAGAGCACTTCTCTGACCGTCATCAACACAAGTGATTGAATGCTGATTCACAGTGCCGGGGTGGTGTCGATCAGTCTGATTCGTGTGCCGTGCTGGGACGGCCATGGCAGGACACGCAATGCCCCTGAGATAGTCCCAACGCTAGCAAAGCTTGGCTGGGTGCGCTCGCATCCCACTGCCAATCGTTAATTTCGCTGCCTGCATCGCCATGGTTAGGCGGATAGTCCACCTCGCTGGAGCTCTGCTTGAACCACTGGAACACCTGTAGAACCAATAATTCATCGACTGCAGAATTTTCTTCCCTTTTCGGTGGAGATGTTTCTCATTCTCTGTTATCTCGCAGATCCCGTTGTCCAATCAAGAGGAGGGATTTCCTTCTCTCCACTAGCCCTATCCCACGCTTCTCGTACCCGCTGTCAGCGTTCCAGCGTTCCTATCCTTGGATCTGCTATCTATCGGACAATACTGGTTTGGTGGTCTCATTGCACTCCGACCGAATGAGCTACCGTCCGACTGCCGGCTTGCGTTCCCCCCGATAGTTCCGTGCTCGGCCCAAGGTCCCCGAGGAAGATTTTGACTGATTTCTTGCCCCATTTGTCCCACACGTTCCCCCTTTCCTGCTTCCTCCTTGGTTCGCTGACCCCAGCGGATTTGATGTCATGTGGACATTCCTCCCCCCCAAGAGCGTATAACTATAATGGATTTCCCCGCCCTCCGGCACCGTTTTCAGAACTGAAACGTTGCACCGGTTTCAAGAATCCTCCCCCCCCCCCTCCTCAATTCTTCCTTGCATAGACAGTCGGTTGCACGCAGTGTCGCCTCTGTAACGATGCGCCACGTCTCCGCACTGTTCCTGGCCGGTCTGGCCGCACTTGCTTCGGCCTCCACTACCTGTAGTGCCGACAACAAGTGCCCTGAGAGCGCCCCCTGCTGCTACAGTGAGTTGCCAACTACTCCATCCTTCTCCAACCACGCTAACAACCATCTGCAGGCGGAGTATGTGGTGTCGGAACCTCATGCCTGGGCAGCTGCGACCCCTTGATGTCGTACTCGCTCGACTCGTGCACGCCCGAGCCCATCTGCAAGAACCAGACCTACAGCTGGAGCAACCTCGACGACACGGTGGCGTACGACCAATACCTCGGAAACTCGTCGCAGTACGAATGGACCTGGAGTGGATACCCCAAGGTCGAGAACGGCAGTCTGATGCTCACGATGCCCAACCAGACCACGGGCAGTCTGATGACGCTGAACCACTACATCTGGTACGGCAAGGTGTCGGCCAAGATCAAGAGCAGCCGCGGCGGGGGTGTCATCACCGGGTTCATCCTCATGTCCGACGTGAAGGACGAGATCGACTTCGAGTTTGTGGGGTACAACCTGTCGAGTGTGCAGACCGACTTCTACTTCCAAGGCGTGGAGAACTGTACGTGTTGTCCCATGTGTCTTTTCTTTTCGTCATGCTAACCGAGACGTCTTCCCGCAGACACCAACGAGGTCAACGCCGCCGTCTCCACCGGCAACACATACAACACCTGGCACACGTACACGATCGACTGGACGCCGGAGCAGCTGGAGTGGCAGGTGGACGGGGTGACGATGCGCACGCTGACCAAGAACTCGACCTACAACGCGACGTCCGGGATCTACATGTACCCGCAGACGCCGTCGCGGCTGCAGATGTCGCTGTGGCCCAGCGGGCTGAGCAGCGAGGGCGAGGGGACGATCGAGTGGGGTGGTGGCCTGGTGGACTGGAACAGCGCCGACATGGAGGAGTACGGCTACTACTACGCGCTGTACAAGGACATCACGATCGAATGCTACAACCCGCCCGCGGGCACCACCGTCGACGGCGACGTGTCCTACATCTACACCAGCGACACCGGCCTGTCGGACCAGATCCTTGTGTCCGGCAACAGCACCGTCCTCTACAACCTCGAGGACACGGGGCTCAACATGACCGCCGGCAAGCAGACGACCGCCACCACCAGCAGCAACGGCTCCTCCGAGTCCAGCTCCGGCTCCGCCACCAGCACCAGCTTCAGCGAGGGAACCACCTCCAGCAGCGCCGCGAGTTCCTCCTCCTACATCCAGGGTTCTTCCCTTGCTGCCCTGAGCGCGGCGATTCTTTTCAGCTTCTTCTAGGCGTGGATGAAGTGGACTGACACTACCCACCCTCCTTTTTTATTATCATTCAGGGGACCTCTTCCCCCTAGAGTTTTTCTCTCCACCCTTTACGATCCTTATATACATACTTTCGATTCGAGCATGGCGTGCACGGCGATTTTTTTCAGATGAGCCAATAAACTTGTATTTATATTTTGAAAGACTAATGGTAATCCCATGTGATTTACTTCCGCATCTAAAAAAGGGTGGATCAACCCGTCGGGTCTGGTTGTGGTTGGTGTGCCGAGCTCTTTTGTAAAAATGTTAACCTAGGTATTCATCTTCGTCCACGATATTTGCTGACTTAGGACGGTAGGCGATACATATGTAGAAATGTTCTTGATTCCAACGGTATATGAGGTAACGCAATTGTGCACATATCGCTTTGAATTCACCCTTTTATCGAGAGACATTCTGGCAGGATGTCTCGACTTTGAGAATGCGAAAACACCAACAACCAAAGGCATCAGAGTCGGATGACCTCCTTACTTGGCATCCACACCATAATCACGTTGCCATTCCACCACCTGAAACCCTGTTCTTAAGAAGCAAAAAGACCGCTCTTATATTGAATAGCTACCTCTGGCTGAAAGAACGCTTTAGGGGCTGGTCGTCAACGACTTTATCCGTAGCGAGATACTAGTTCACCCATATATACACATGTACTGTACTTAACAGTCGCTGGACATGTCACTGTGTGTTTATGCTTAGCTGTCAGCTACCTATTCCTTTCTGTTCTCGGCCTTTACCCTGCCTATGTCATCGTTAGAGAGTACTCAGGTAAATATTAATTCTCATAGACCCAAGTCTCACAAGGAAGTTGGAGGCATTACAGATTGTGGACTTATGGTCGGTAAAGTAGAGAACACAAGTCAGTGACTCCTATCTTTGAACCCAAGCATACTCTCATTACAAACGAGCTTTCAATATCTATCACATCGACCTCGTCGACTCGTATCATTCAATCATGAATTACCTCCACCTAACCACTACCTTTTCCCCAGCCAATCCCAGAATCCCTCCCCCAAAACCAGAGACTGCCACTACCCCACCATCAACATTCGCATCACACATTCATTGAGTTAACATTAATCCGATCGCATACTTCAAGCCTGCGCCCCCTGCCGTCCCGCCGTGGAAGCCGACCACGTCTTCTGCACGGGGTTCATCATATTCATCGCGACCGCATGCTCCCGCTGCGCCTTCTTCTGCCAGTACCGGCCCAGCACGAAGGCAGCAACCCCGACCAGCGCGGCGCCGACCACCGTTCCGACGACGATTCCTGCAATGGCGCCCTTAGAGAGGCCGCTGGATCCACTCTTGCTGCTGCTGCTCGACGACGATCCAGAAGATGTGCTCGATGAAGAGGATGATGAAGACGAAGTGGAGGAGGAGTCAGTCGAGGTCGCCTCCGACACGTTGAAGCAGGGGATCGAGGTGTCGAAGGAGGACAGCGGCACGTAGGTGATATCCGCGCAGGCGTAGTAGGTCTCGTTGCCGTCGTTGTCGAAGTCGGAGACGTACTTTAGCTGCAGGGTGGCGTTGGAGCCGGAGGTGACGGTGGAGGGCGGGTTGGGCACGGAGTAACATTCGTGGCCTGGGTCGAGATCGGGGAAGTTGCTGCTCGAGACGATGGTGCTGAAGTCGGAGTTGCTGGTTGGGTCTTTGTAGAGGATGGTCAGTTCTTGGTGCTTTGGGAGGGGAATATGGGGGAGAAGAGGGGGTGAAGATGGAGGTGAAAGGGGAGCGCACTGTTATCATAGGAGATGGCTAGATTGACCGAGTAGGATTCGGTTTGGAGGACTAGGGAGACGGCGCCGTTGGCTGGAGTATGAATTAGCTTGGAGGTTCGTGACAGCTGCCAGGTGGTAGTAGGCTGAGAGTGCATACTGAGGGGGAACTCGGTTCGGTTGGTGACACCGGCTGAGGAACCGCAGGGAGCAGTGCGGTCCTGGGCCGCGCCCCAGGCACGGTCTGGCGGCCACAAGAACGCAGCGGCCCCCATGTCCGTGGCTTCTGCGGCGAGAGTGCCAGGGATGACAAGGCTGGCTGTGGCCAGCAGCCCGGTGATTAGGGTGATTGGAGACATTGTTAAGAGTGTATGTCAAGGTGGCGGGTGATGAGGGGTCACTGCTCAGACTCGAGTCTCAGTTCTAGAATAGAAGGACTGCTGTGCTGGTGACCATATCCGGCGGGCTCGCAGGGCCGTCTTATAGGATCGGCATTCATAGTATCCCTTTCTCGAAAACGTTACACCCGTCAACGGCCCTGCTGGAATGGTTGCAGCCTTCGCTGGAAGAACTCTTCGCAAACATGTGATAAGGATCCGCAGTGGGTTGCAAGGCGACATGCGCAGCTCGGAAGACTCGCGAGTGAGCGGCCGACCACCGAACCCTGGCTTGACCTGTCTCACAGAGTGGAGATGACAACACCGAACCCCTCCTGCAGTGTCACCTCGCCAGGAGCTAGTCAGCGACTAGGTACCAGGAGACACCAACCGGAAGAGGAAAGCCCGACATCAGATCATATCAGATTGATAAGATCCTGGTCACTCCGTTGCCTTCCGACCACAAACATCCTTGTCCCAATCCAAGAATTATGTCCGAGGACAAATTGAGAGATGGGTCACGCGGAGATTTGTTCCAATCACTGCGTCGGACGAGGTAACCGAAATTTGCTAGCGTGCTCTGATTTTCAATCTGATAAGATAATAAATAAGTGGGCCCGACCCAACCACGGCACTTCATCTGCTGGCAAGAATTTCCTGTCTTGCCAAGTCACTAACTCACTAACTACAAGGATCCTAGGCAGGGCCGGTTGCTTTGAGCCAAGCGGAAAGAAGAACCCTTGACCAATTGTTGGCAGCTGGTGCCGCTCCATGGAACCCACTCGATGACTTGGTCACTACATTACACCGGGGTTTGTCCCTGCGACCGCGAGCTTCTGCCAGGAGCTATACTACTTCTGTATACACTAACAGACCCTGACCACGGACCCTCGCTCACCTGCACGAAGGATTTGTCCTAGCCACCGGATCCGGGTAAATGTTTTCAAGCCTGGAACCGGCGCCATGGTGACTTGCGATCGGTTCTGGCCTTCGAAGCCGAAATGCCTCCGACCACCGACGCCGGAGTTCTCCAGCCTATACCAGGTATGATGTAACAGACGACACTAGTATAAGCATAGCAAAGGAACTCAGGTTGAAAAAAAAGAACTTACAGCGCGGAATTGACCTTTCGCGCCGTGGCCTGCGTGATTAATTTATTGAATGCGGAGGACGAGCCAATCCATGTAGTGACCAGTCCACCGAGCCCACCCGCTGCATCACACATGGCATCGAGCTAGCCGTCCCGCTAAGGCTATAGTGGGCGGTACTTGCGAGGGTGCCCAGCGGGCCTGGTCACTGGAAGTATCCGGATGCAGGTGGTCCGACCAGTCCCTACCACCTCGCCCGAGCTGCAGAGTTCGTGATGCAGCAAGCTTGCTGGAGTTGAATATAAGGGGACTCTACCCAACACTTCCTCGTCTCTGAAGTACCGCACGCACCAGCCTTTCCCCATCTCGTATCTGCCATCATCGCACGCATTCCTTCTCAATCAACCACCCACCGTTGGGAATAATTGAATCCCCAACAATGCAACGCTTCATCTTACTCGTAACCGCTCTCGCGGCTGTATTCCCCGCGAGCCTGGCATGGAGCTTCCCATCCAGCGTTCCCTTGATCAGAAGGGAAGACATCTCGCCCGGCAGTCCCCTCTACGAATGCCACGCCGACTGCGGTACGTCCTTGAGCTGCCTGCAACCCTTGACACAACCACTACCCTTCCCATGCACTCTAACGTAATGCACAGGCGGAGTCATCCTCATGTCCCAGGACGACACCAACGCCACCTACTGCTCCAACGCGACCTACAAGACCGAGCTCAGCGGCTGCCTGGAGTGCGCCCTGACCTACAACATCTGGCAGTACTACGGCGACGACGTCAAGTCCGCGGCCGAAGCGTGCGGCGATAGCGCCACGCCCAGCGCCTCGTCGGCGACGGCGAGCGCCACGGCGGGTGCGAACTCGGTACGTAACCCATCATAAACCCATTCACTAAGCTAATGGGGGTGTGTAGACGGCTACCAACTCCGGGGCGAGAGCCACCGGCTCGTCTTCCTCGTACGCGTCCTCGTCCTCGTCCTCGTCCAGTGGCTCCGCGGCTGCTGCGTCGGCCACTTCGATGTCTGGTGGAGCGGGCGCGTCGATGAGCGTGGGCGGAATGCTTGTTGCTGCTGCTGCTGTGGTTGGAGGGCTTGTTATGGCTTGATTTGCCTCTTCTGGTTCAAGGGAGGGAGGTTGGTTGTGGTGGAGTGATGGGTGGAGAGTGTATCACCTCGGTCGTGCTCCTCAACTCATGTTATGCTGAGGGATTACTGATGTGGGTGAGATAGATAGATGTAGTGTACTATATTAATCGAGCTGCGTCCGACAAATATACATGGTTTTTATTCCAAGAATGTCACTTCAGTTACCCAAATTCAAACACGGTGCTCTACTAGATCATAGTGGTATTTAATGTGTGGACCTAAACTTGGGCCGATTGTTGGCTGAACGGGTGATGGTTGGCTTCCCACTGCTGCGAGAGTGCTGCGAGCAGGCTTTAAAGATCACATCTTCGCAGAGATTTTTCTTCTGGGTGCATTGTTCTAGATATGATTGATCGAGTGGAACTGATTAGCTATGCGTTCCAAAGGCAAGAACACTGACAATGCTGGCGCCTCACCATCCCATAACATTCCCATCCCGTCAATACGCATCATACTCGCGACCCCGAATGATAAAAATATATATGATCTATCCCCAACCCCGCTAAGCAAGTCTATAAATATGTATGTAAGAACTATATACAACGAAATTACGAATTCTATCCCTCGACACTCTGCCACGTCGACCGACAACCTCAACCTCACCCCCACCGCGAATAAGGCGGCGGGGGCTCGCTCGGCACGACCGCCGGCGCGACCGCCGCCGTCTGGCTCTGCGTCGTCCCCTCACTGTCGGCTCCTCGATCCAACGACCCGCGACTATCCCCCTCCCGCCGCTCCCCACTGCTCACCGGCCTCAACTCCAGCGTACTGTTGTCCTCGCCCGTGCCGGCCCCCGCCCCCGCCCCGACCGCCTGCTTCCCCTTCCGCTTCTTTTTGGTGAGAGCGTGTCTGCGCCGGTAGATCGCGATCCCGGCGACGGCCAGCAGCAGCGACGCGCCGACGCCGACGCCGACGCCGATGCCGATGTTGCGGGCCAAGGTGGATTTCTTGGCGGGCGCGGCGTCGCAGTGTTCGTGGATGACGCTCGTGTTGGATGAGAGGACCTTGTCGCAGTTGAGATGCTTGGAGGAGGAGAGGGAGAAGGTGTTGACCATTTTGAGGGAGGAGAAGTCCGTGCTGTTGGGCATTAGTCTTGCCGGGGTGATACCGCAAGGGAAGGGGACGGACCTGGTGATCTCGCCGGTGACGGTGATGTCATCGGCGTACTCGAGGCTGGACAGGTTCACGGCCAGTGGGGTCCAGGCTTCGATGAGGATGTCCGCTGTTGCGTTCAGCAAGGATGGAGCGGAGATGCTGTGGGGTGGTGTTAGCGAGTGGGATGACGACTGTAGAAAGGGCTACGTACCTATCAATGACTCCCCGCAGCGAGAGGCTGCCGTTCATGTAGCTGAGCGCGGGCACGGAGAAGTTGAGGTGCTGCGTCGTGTGCACGGTGAAGCCCGCGTCATAGTCGCCGTAGCCGCTGGTGGTCGCTTGGGTGATGTTGCCGGCAGATGCCAGGACCGGTAATGAGAGACTGTTTGGTGTGAGCCGGGAAATAGTCGGTTGTTGCGGGACGTGGAGACATACCTGGACACGTTCCCGCCGACATACAGGCTCGCCGCCTGCCGCAGCGCGGGCAGGTCGATCTTCATTACCTGACTCGACTGCGTATCACATCCCGACTCGCCGCAGATCGAGGATCCGGTGGTGATGTTCTCCAACTTGGAAAAGTCGAAGCTAGACACCGCTAAACGTTACAAGCTGGTCCAGATAAAGAAGTCATGTGACGGGAAACCCACCTGATGCCACTCCCCAGCACGTTGAGGTAGCTCACATTCCGCAGGTTCGGGGCCGACACGGTCAGCGGGGTGCGGCTCTTGACGGTGAAGACCTCGGCCGTCTGCAGCTGCGGCAGCGAGATCGACCGCAGAGAGGAGGCGTAGCTGAAGCCCGCCACATAGAGGGAGATGAGATCCGGGGCCTCGAGCGAGGTCAGCCCGGTGGAGTTCTGGACGGAGATGCTCGAGGTGATGTTGGTCAGATTGTGCACGATGAAGCTGCCCGTGTAGTTGGAGCCCACGACCAGATCCCCGTAGAGGGTGGTGCAGTTCTGCGTCAACTGGTCCAGCTGGTCCTGCGTGTATATCACAGTCCCCTGCCCGTATTCGTCCTGCTGGGCGTTGCAGTCCTGCGCGGCGATGACTAAAAATCCCGAGGAACCAACTGTCAATCATGTGACCTTTGACCGACCCAAAACTGAAACATGGGCAACAAGGAACAAAGACGAAAATCAAAAAAAACACGTGGATCATTCGAGCTTGCTTACGGTTCGCCAAACCTACGGCCACCACCACCACGAGGGTGGACAGCAGATTCATTTCTTCAATCGAGGTGTTAATTTCATTCAAGATGGGATGAATGGATGGATGATGTTGTTCATTGCTTAAAGGGAAGGGACTGGGGGGGGAAACAGGTCGCGATCCCGGATTTTTCGATTTTTTTGACGCGCGGCTCGGGGGCAGACCCTTTATGTCTGCCTAGGCCCTGAGGGACTCGGGGGGGGGGGGAGGGAAGAGAAAAGAGGAGAAGGGGGATCAGAAGGGCGTCTCGATTTTCGAGCCACTTTGATTGCGAAGCGGGGCGGCAGGCGACAAGAACATCCTGACTTGGGTTTAGTCGGTGCTGAATCACTGTGGCGCAGCGCATTTGACTGGTCCAGGGGGGAGTATCGGGTGGGGAGGAGGTGGTGGGAACACCTGCCTATCGGTCGGCTAACGATGGGCCAGAATCCAATAGTTGGTTCCAGTTTGGAAGACGTTAATCCCTTTCAAGCCAGTGAGCAGTCCCTATTTCCTCGTGGGTTTCCCTGGCTGGTCTGGCAGGGCTGAAAAAGTTTATTGGAAGGGGTTCAATGAAATCCCTGGATTTGTTGTTGAGTTTGACGACCTGACACCTGGTGTGGTGGTTCTGTCTGAGACGGGCGGCTGTGGCTGAAGATGAGGCTTCGGTCTCCGGAACGAGTCGGAGTTAAATACCTTATCCAGTATTGCTGGATGATATCATCAGCGTCGACCGTCGTCATCGATTGTCGAGCAACAGGGCTGCTGCGACACATATTTACTATGTATCTGATTCCTGCGATCGCCCCGACCCTTCCAAGCTAACAAACCTGTGGCCCACCCACCACCCACTCCGAGCTTCTATAAAGATACTTCTGTATACCTACCCCGTACACACCAAATCTCCTCCCACCGACCGCAAAATGCAAGCCGCGGTCAACTGGCCTCAGAAGTACCACCCGGGTACAACCGACAACTTCGTCTCCAACGAGGTCTACGTTCCTGGAACCACCGTCGAGCGCGTCTGGGACTACCTGGCCACCATCACCAAATGGGAGTCCTACTACGATAACGTGGGCCAGATCACCCCGCCAAGCTCCGGCCCTGTGCTACGCGAAGGGGACAAGTTCTCATTCTCCACCTTCGGATTCCCCCCGCTCCAAGCAGAGGTGCACGAATCGGTGCCGCCGACGGACAACGCGCCGGGAAGACTCGCGTGGCGCGCCTGGCAGGAGGGCGACGAGGACACCGCGCTGGATATCTATCATGCGTGGATCTTGGAGAAGACCGAATGGGGGGTGGTGCGCATCCTGACGCAGGAGTCGCAGATTGGGAAGCCGGCCGCGCAGCTGGCGATGCAGAAGCCGAACCCGATGTTGAACGGGCACCAGGCGTGGCTGGATGGGTTGGCGGAGGTTTCGCGGTCGGGTTGATGGTGGGATCGCCCGGGATGGTTTTGTGCTGTTGATCATGTGGGCCGTCTGGTATCTACCTGGTGCTTAGAGTATGCCTTCATAGATGTTCAATTTTAAATATGTGTAATGTGACTATTGTGTTGTGCTTCTTGCTGTGTCTGTGTTTCAGAATATATTCGTATATGTCTAAAACAATCGTCTCTACTGGGTGCGAACATTTCAAGCCCCATGTCTCCACCAGCGGTGCTCTGCAGAATCTCTCCAGGACATTCCGCACTACCACCTTTTCCAGCTACAACCCCAGTCGTCATCCTTTTCAAGCCCGATCCTCCCGCACCATGTTGCGGTACGGGTTATTCGGGTCCTGCTCCTCCTCCTCAGCTGAGGGGATCGTCTTGCGCACGCGACACGGGTTCCCGACCGCTACGGAGAACGGAGGGATATCCTTGGTGACGATGGAGCCGGCGCCAATCGTCGAGCCCTCCCCGATCGTGACGCCCGGGAGGATGACCACGTTCCCGCCGATCCAGCAGTCGTTGCCGATCGTGACAGGGTGGCCGAACTCGACGAACTTGCGGCGCGAGAGCACGCTGACGTCATGGCCGGCCGTGTAGATGTTGACGTTCGGGCCGAATTGGACGCGGTCGCCGATGATGATCAGGCTGGTGTCGAGGGCGGTGAAGCTTTGTCACAGGAGACTGTTAGTGAGAATAGATAATTGGAGGGGCGACGACAGTCTGGACTGACTTGAAGTTCATGAAGCAGTCGCGGCCGATGCTGATGTTGCAGCCGTAGTCGGGCATGAAGGGCGGCTCGATGAAGGTGCCCTCGCCGACCCGGCCGACGATCTTCTGGAGGAGCTCGAAGCGCCGCTCGGCGATCTGCTCGAAGGGAACGGACTTGGCGTCCAGGTTGTTGTAGTCCTGGGCCACGCCGCGGGCGCGGTGTCGGCCTTCTAGTAGCTTCGGCACGTTGGGGTTGTAGCTAAGCCGTCAGCATCTTACACCAATGCTCCATCTGCAGCCCGTACTGTATGCGCAAGTCACACGGGAGAATTTCAATGTGTGTGTACGTACAGCATGCCGGAGATCATCCGCTCGTACTCCTCGCACATGGGCACATGGTTCAATCCCCGGGCGATCTCGATGATCTCGGGTCGTTTTTCGGACGCAGCGACGGACATGGTGATAGAGATATGATGAACAACGGATTGTCTGAAGATGAAAGGAAACACTCTGGTGCTTTATCTCGTGGCAGCGCGCCTATTTATGGAGGATGGTCGACCGCGGGGTAGCGACTCCGCAAAGCGGGCATCGCGCCTCTCGATTCCCGTTCGGGAAATACTCCCAACTGCTGGCGTCGGGAAGCGCTTGGCGCCGACATTTCGCCGACTTGCCGCCCAGCATGTCTGCCTTGATGCCTTGGGAAAAAGGCTACGAAACTTCACACCCCTCCGCTTAGCACATAATGCTTTGTGTGCATAACTCCCACTGCTACAGTCAGCCATGATGCATCGCCACCATACCTTTCGCAAGTAGTACTAATACTGGGCTCAATCAAGCTGCACCGTTCTAGTAGCAGCAGAGAAGATGTTGCAATATATCTCGAACAATAGTAGGCGCGAACGGGATGTCCACTCTATTGGCGAAGCCACTCGCTAAGGCATGTAATCAACAATAGAAGTCATCGTTCCATCGGCGTACTTCAAGATACGTAAACAGTCATCACCTACACGAAATAGGTCTACCACAACAAACAGACATCTTGCAACTTTTACTCCTTCCACACCAGAACCCCCCTCTCATACAACCCACTGACCAACCCCAACCCCCTCTTCACATCCCGCACAGCGGTCGAACTCGTCCCGAACTCGTCCCCGACAAACAAATCCTCGACCCTCCCCTCGACATTCCCATCCCACTCGGCGACCCAACTCGGCGCCCGCCCTCTCTTCGCAACAGGCCTACCCCGCCCATTCCCCTCGAAATCCACCACCCAGTTCGAACGAGCCACCTTCGCCACCGCCGGGAAGAACGGATGGCCCGCCATGATCAACTTCCCCTTTCCATCCACGCTCAGGTTATCCACCAGAAACCTCGTCCGGAAGGACAGCGCCTTCTCCAGATCCTTTGTGGCAGGATTGATCCGGTACACTGTCACGGAGGGTGTCGTGGTCGACGCGACGGCCACGTGGGTTTGGTTGAGGGCGGCGATGCCGTTCGCGTAGGGCAGGTGCGCGGCGACCTTGTACGTGTCCGTCTGGAGGTTGGCGTAGACGACCGTGCCGCCGGGGTAGGCTGAGTAGGTCTCTAGGGCGGCGAGGAACGGGGAGGCGCGCTGGGTGAAGAGGTGGTCATTGGTGATGTAGAGCTCGTGCTCGGAGACGGCGAGGAGGGCGTTGGGCCCGTGCAGGAGCGGGTGGGTTATGGTCTTTTCGTGGTGCAGGGATGGGGCTTCAGGGTTGGGGTCGAGGGTGAAGAGCTCGATGGCCGAACCGGTCGGGGCGTGGTTCGCGACGAAGAGTTGTAAGGTCTTCGGGTTGTAGGCCAGGCCCAGTGGGTGGAAGGTCTGGCGGGAGGCGGTGGGGAAGTTGGTCATTGGGAGCGGGTGGAGGTTCTTTTCGTCGGAGGTCGCGTCGAAGGTGGAGGCGTAGTTGTAGAGATACAGAGTTCCCGGGTTGGTGGCGTTAATGAAGGTTCCCTGCGTTATGGAGGAAGTCAGTTCGGTGGGACAAGAATGCGGGGGTACGAGGGGACCGACCATGACGGTGTTCCAGGTGTCACGGCCTGGGTCGCAGCTTAAGATGGCGAAGCCGCGCTGCGTGTCGAGGTGGACATCTTCGCAGTTACGGATTCGGTCTGCGAACACGATCTTCTGGTCGGCGAATTTGGAGATCTGGGGAAGTCGGCCAGGACGGTTGTTCACCGTTAGCCAGATGAGGGTGTGGCGGTCGGTCAACCAGCCCAGCAGCACGGCTAGGCCGAGGACGATCTAGGTGATCGGGTTAGTGAGAACCACCCCTCTGAGTGAAGGGATGGGAAAAGTACTGTTGCTACATATGTTGACAATCCCATGATGTCGGTGAGTAGCTGACAGGTGATAAAAATTTGACGGGACCTTGTAAGGGTAGGTGGGAATTGACTGCAGATAAATAAGGTTGTTTTGCTGGGAAGCTTACGGGGTCAAGGCTGATCGCGTCCCCACTAGGCGGACTAGCCCTCCGTATTCCGCCCACCCCCAGCCTATCGGACTATCCTGTCGGGCCATAGAGCTTCCGTTTGGCTGGAAGATAACACGGTCTGAGGTGAGATTGATTTCTTTGCTGGTAAATTGCTAATCCACGGATACACAGTGGGGATTGCTGGTCAAGATCGTATTGTGAGTTTGTTTATGATGTTCGTATGGATTAGTGATCGACTTGCCTGGGTGGGTCCCTTCTGCTGGCGGGTTATCGATCACGGATGCCCACTGCAGCCATTCGGAAATGTAAATATGCTGCTAGTAATAAAGGATAAAATAGTATGAGAAAGATTAATCTGTAGAACTCTGGTTGTACCAGTACATCGTACTACTAAGTCAGTAGTTCAGTAGTCTCTAGCCCCTCTAAGAATAGAGTCCTGATTAAGTAGTCCTAGATCTGCTGGCTATATTCTGATTGATATTTTCTTCACTGAAGGGTTTTATAACGTTCATACAGAGGAAGCAGCAGGGTTTTATAATGCTGAGAGTGTTTGGATAACAGGGGCAAACATCTGCTTACATTCTGGAGTAGCGTGGTCATTACCTGGCAGTTAGTGCCTCAGGCATGAGCTAGGAAAGATCACGTGACAGAATCAGGTCGATCTTGTGGCTTTGCAAATTGAATGTATAAGCCTGTGGGGTACAAGGTATCCTGGATTGATCACATACGGATCACAAATTAAGGTGTGGATAAACCCAGCAGGCTGTTTGCAATCTTGTAAGCAAGCGTGCATTGCACAGGATTTGAATGCTCCAGGCCATCAACTTTGCCGCATCAGGAAAGAAGAGCGATCCGACTGTAAAAATTCGCATCGAGTGGATCAGCCAGTGGAGCCCTTCTCAAAGTGGATGCCCGAGTCTCCGGTAATAGTCTAGTCCTTCATCATCATAAAAGTCAGGGTCAAAACCTTGTCCTTTAGACTGATTGAAGAGTCTCCCTTCTTTTCAATCGCGCATCTCTCTCTGCACGTTTGTTCCTACTACGCGCTGATGCGATTGGAACATCATGAGTCATGCGGGTTTCTCCACTGCCCAGCCGAGATCCGAGACCTAGTGTTTGACTTGCTTTCGACCGCTGAACTCAGGGCATTAGGCCTCGTCAATAAAGATTTATGCGCACTTGTTGAGCCATACGTCTATTCAAAGATCGACTGGACCTGGCGAGAAAATCACGCTCCTCCCCCAATTACACCACTGTTACGAACCATTATCAGCAAACCTCAATTAGCTGCTCGCATCACCAGTTTCCGATTTCAAAGCAATCCAGCCTGCTGCTGGGAGTGGAATAAGTTTGCAGCTCAAAAGATCTCTATTCCTGTAGCTGAACTCCACGAATTCATTGCCTTTGTCCAGAGGACAGGGGTCCCTTACAGGGACCTTTGGACAGAGCAATTAAGCAATGGTGATCCAGATGCTCTACTAGCTCTATTTTTAGCACATTTATCAAACCTGAGATATCTGTCCCTTGACTATATCTTCTGCCGGCAGAGTAGAATAATCCAAATGCTTCTCCAATCGGCCATCTGCAACCCTGGAATGTATAAATTGCCCGACTTTCAGCATCTCCGAGCTGTTTCTTTCCATCCCTACGACGATTCGGGCGCTCCGTACACGGCGCTAAGGTCTCGAGGTCAAAGTCCACTGAGCCAATCACTCGTCCTACCGTCATTCTACCTGCCGAAAATCCAGCGCATCTCAGCTGCAGTTGAGAACACAGATACTTTCGCATGGCCTACAGACTGTTTACCTGACCCATCCAAACTCACCTCGATCTATCTCGCCGACATACGGGAAGCAAACCTCGGCTCTCTGCTGTCCGTCACCCGCAACCTCCGATCGCTTCGTTGGACCTGGTATTACGATGCTGGTGTCCATGACGCTATTGTTATCCCCATCGTCAACCTGGATGGGATCGCGGCCGCATTATCCCATGTTCGAGATACTCTCACTGATTTGACTATCTTTGCCGAGGCTCCCCTAGGAGGTGGTGATCAATTCTACCCAGCCGTGAAGATGGAGGGCTCTTTGCGTACGATGGTCGAGTTTGACAAGCTCAAGAGACTTCAAATCCCGCTGGCATTCCTGGTAGGGTTTGCGCAAGACACCACGAAGCGGTTGCACGATGTCCTCCCGCGGAACATCGAATACCTTTCCCTCACAGACGAATTAGGCCTTCAGAATAACGATGGATTTTTTGAAACCTGGCCGATGTATGAATGGCAGGACTTTGCTCTTCTGATCTTATTGCGGACGTGGCTGAAGGATTGGAGGACTTACACACCCCACCTTCGAAGCGTTTCGTTGGTTTATGACGAATTGGATACTTACCAAGGCGAGTGACCTCCCGAGTTAAGGCACCAGCTCACGGACCTAGGCACCCAAGCGGGAGTACAGCTCGACTTGGTCGAGTGGAGACGGGCTTGGTAGATCAGTACACATACTCTGTTACTCACAAGCTACTTCCCTACTTTCCATGATTCAATCGATTTAGATGAGACCCACAAATGATTTTTACAATACCCACCTGTTGCCGTCGTGGCTTATATCAGGAGAGTAGTGTAATTGAACTTGGCTCTTCTCTTCAATCTCGCCAGCGATCTCGCTTAGGTTGAATGGTTCGAAAGCCTTTTCTTCATCTAGAACATTACAGCCATACTTTTCGACAAGGAAGCTGCAGCCACTTCGTTACTTTCCGGAATACGTAGACTTAGTGTTGACATGATATAGATGTTAATCTTCATGATATGGCGATTCTGCTCATGATAACCTGTTGAATCGAAGGTATAGTATGTTGAATGGAGATTTGTTGTTCAGGAGTAAAGCGTGTTAAGTTCTATCTTATGCGGGTTGGCTGGTTTTAGGTTAAAGCTGTCGATCATGCGATAAAGCTCTTGAGGATAGGAAACCTTGGGGAACTGGAACCTACAATCTGGCACGAGTAGTTGGCCGCAGGTAGCTGTTTCCTTCAATCGACCTTATTCAGGTGAGTAGTAGGTAGTAAGAAAGGACACCCCTAGTCGCTCAAATCGGGAGAGTCGGGAGAATCCCACCGCGGCCTAGCGCCCCTCATACAAACAGCCGCCTCGGTGCATGGATCCGGGGCCACCGCCACCTCAAGGTGGCAGATTTCATTTATCTGGCTCATCTCGACCGGCCCCTGGAGTTTTCGGACCTGCTCCCGCATCCACCGCGCTTTAGCCAGCCACTTCTTGTCGACCTGCTCCGCCGGCAAGGTCACCAGCTGCATCCCCCACAAGCCCTGCGTCATCAACGCCTCGCGCCACAACCGGGTGCGCCAATCCTCCTCATAGGCATCCAGCTCAATCTCCCCGTCCCTCTCATCCCCGGAGACCATCTTCATGGCCCCGGCCCACATGCGCCTCCACCGCCGGCACTCAAGGATATGGTGCAACACATGCTGGTCCATGGGCAAGTCTCTCGGATCGATCGGCGGCGCATAGGGGCCCCGAGCCCGCGACGGCGGCTCGAATCCCGGGTATCCCCCGTAGCACATCCAGTCCGGCACGCAGTACTTGATGTACTCCAGGCGGGTCGCGATGCTATGCACAGGCGTCGCGGGCGGTGCGCCCTCCGCCGCCAGAAACGCCTCCATGTCGCACCCGAACAGCTCCCCGTAGATGATGATCTGGAAGGTGGAGCGGTCGGTCTCGGTGCAGAGGGTGTTGGGCTCGCTCACGCCGCCGTGCCAGAAATCCTCCGTGGTGATATACTGCTGGCCGGCCATCTGGTCGATGCGGTCGCAGAGCGGGTTCACGATGGCGAAGCGCGCCCGGTGCAGCCGCCGGATGCCGGCCAGCGTGTGCCCCGCGTGCGCCAGGCAGAACTCGTACAGCCCGTCGATGCCGCCCTGGACGGCTTCGTGGAGCAGGGCGGTGCGCGTCGCGTCGCCGACGGCCCACTCGCTCGCTTGCCGGGCGGTGGCGGCGACCAGGAAGTACGGGTGCGGCGGGAAGAAGGTCGGGGCCGACGCGGCGGCCAGGCGAAGAATGGTCGCCGGGGAGGCGGTTGCGAAGGTGTCGCGCAGGAGGCGGCAGCTGGAGGAGGCGATGGTTATGGTCTCGATCTTGTCGAGGAAGGCGGGGAGGAGGCCGAGGATTTCGTTGGGGAGGGAGTAGATGGTGGTAGACATCGTGATGGGAAACAAAAGATGCTGGGGAGAGTTTGTAGCGTAACAAATGAGCCAGCAACGTTGCTGGCATTTATATCAGTAGGGTCGAGTAGTTTTTTCCCATGAAGTCCTTATCACCACCAGTTTAGAGTAGTACATTGATAATCCTACAATGCCGAATCGTTCTGATACAATGCAAGCTCTCACGAGAGACATTCCTTGGATCTATTGTTGCGGGGTTTTTTTTTTCTCCAAGGTTTAAAACTCCTCTGATGCTCCTAACAGCAATGACACATGCCAATCATCTTGATGACGCCTCCGAGAGGTGGAAGAGACTCGATTCTGACTATCTCGGGCTAACTGCGAGGAACTAGCTTAGGCAGCCGAGGTGGGCGGTGAGCGAGCAGCCTGGGAGACCCTTCTAAGCAATAGACTTATCATAGATTCAACGCAATGCTTAAAACCTTGCTGGTGAAACTCATTACTCCAAATCTCTTGTGCGGACAAAGTGATCTCGACTTTGGGAGTTCTAGATGTTAACAACAACACCAAACTAGAATTTTTACGCTGTGACCTAGAAGCCTGTGCAAATGTGTGAGATTACGAGGGAAGTATGAATTGCGCTTGCTATCCGAGGCTATTTCTGGGACAAAAACTAGCTAGATGTAGACGGTGAGCGGCCTAGACAATGATGCCTCGGAGTCTGTTTTAGTATATTTATTATCTAATGTTGTATCTTCTGTATATGTTTATCTCAGGATTTGGAATTGTATCGCAAGATGCATATAACAATGGTCTTGCCGCCGGAGGGATGTAAACAAAGGAAAAAGTAGACAATGAGCATTGTCTGTTTCAACTACTTACCCACAAGCCACCGTGAAAGACCTGAGGCAAAGAGGGGAAACAGACCACTTCACTCGAGGTATTACCTGCGTACTTTTCAACTCCCTCTTCTGAATAAAGGAGTACTCTCAACAACCTCTTGTTCCTTGATATTTTTGTTAATACTAACGGTCCTATTTAAGCTACGCCCCCGCCCGCGATCTTCCAGGTGTTGCACCTTCAACGAACATCGCTTAACTTCAACCCTTGATAATCGTTTCCTAATCCTGCCTCAAAACAACCTTCAGCGTGTACAACCCAGAAAGTCCACATGGCTACCACCATGTCTGATATTGGGACCTACTACAACATTATCGTGTTCAGCCTCTCGACGGGCTATGTACTCATCACCGGGTTGGGGTACGTGTGTTACTTCAGAATGCGGGCCCTGGAGGACCGGGTGGGCGAGCTGCACGACGGCGAGTGGAAGCTGCACGCTCGTCTACGAGAGTACAGAGAGTCCATCGCGCATGACGAGGAGCGGCTGCAGGAGCTCGAGGAGCAGGTGGAGGTATTAAAGCAACGGCTGGCCGAGATGAAGGCGACCGAGTGCCCGATCCGGGTGGCCGAGGTTGATGAACAAATGTTGCTGGACATCCACTCAGAAATGGAGGAACGGAGCGACTGAGAAATGGCTCCAAGGATTCTACCCTGCCCTATCTATCGCCCGGATGCGCTTAGTGCCTTGGTCGGTTCGGACTGCCTGGCAGGCCCCGCAATCGGCAGCTTGCAGCGAGCTGTGCTCCAACATCCACGCTCTTATCTAGTTATAAGTACGTGTTAACGTATTTTGAATTCTCTTCGATAACTTCTTCATAAGAATTTTGATGAAGCCTGATGATAGTGCATGCACTTTTTGTTCGTTTCACGACAATAATCTAATGTTCTACTTTTTCCACGGTTTTAGGCCTTACAAACTCAAGCCATGCACCAGGACCCGGATATCGACGCAGCTACCGGTGCTCTTTCACTTTACCATCAAATGCATTCCAACATTGTATGATAGACTCATATCCATCCTGCTACGAGCTTATGTCTAGCTTCCTATTCCCCGCACAATTGCTATCGAGCAGTGAGATTAAGATACCACCGATACTCGTCCCAGGATAGTCTACCATCTATGCATAAACTCGTAGGAGATATTCATAATTCTTCAGTCCGCATAGAAGAGGCAGGAGTCTCTCGACTGTCAAAGCCAGGCAAATTACCATCTTGACCAAGATATCATTTGGCGTCACCTTATCCTTATCGCCTCAGGCAGAATGATCACATGCACTATTGTCTTTTCAACATACATGTATAAGCCTCACGGAATCCCTGGCATCTCCCACATGAGCATTCATTCACTGGTTTTGGACTAAGAGTATTTCTTCTTGGTCAAATCTTTCCCGTTTGTTATGTCCTAGCAAAGACAGAATGGATCCTTGATCAACAATGAAGCACAGTTGTCCATACATGTAGCCGGCATATTCAAAAGAAAAGTTGATATTTATTCCGAAAGCCTGAGAACAAGACAAAGATGACCAGAATTCATCATTGTATACCCTATGGAAAAGCTCTATAACTGCTTCAACCTTGCTGTATGGCTTTATCCAATAATCTCCATCAATGTAGTCTTCAAAATTATCATAAGATCATCAATCCAGAAGCAAGTGTGGCAGCCGCATCTATAAAAGGGGCGCAAACCAGCCATGTTCAAGTCCACATCCATCCCCCATCTACGACTCGACCGACCTGACACCACAGACAAACAACCCACCCAACCACCCTACGAGCTGTTTGACAGGCCGGTTCAGAATGCCAATCTCGATGGACGTAGCCAATGCCGGGGTTGCCCTCGAGGAGAGCCTCGAGAATCTCCTCGAGGCCTACTCGAAGGTAACCTCGCAGTACATGGAGGCCGACAAAGCCCAAGGCGTGTCCGCCCTCCAGGAGCAGATTCAGGAGACCGTGAAACTATTGCGATTCGGGTCCCGGCACCTCCTCGGACTCTCTGCTGAGCTGGACACACTGCTTCCGCGCCGTGAGGATCCGTCTCCCCCCGAAGCGGATGCTCGGCCTGCCCGCCAGGAGAATCTGTCTCCCTCTCCCCCCGAGGCGGGTTCTCGGCCTTTCCGCCGGGAAAGTCCGTCCCCCATCGAGGCGGATGCTCGACCTTCCCGCCGGCTGAATCTGTCTCCCGATCAGTGCGAGGAACTGTCAAGGTTGGTCCGTGAGCTGGATCGTCTGTTTGCCTGCGAGGATGCGGAGGACGAGGCCGCCGAGGCGGCCGAGACCGCGGCGGCGGCGAGGGCGGCAATTCCGCCCCTCCGGCCCCATGCGGAGCGGGCATCTTCCGCGCCACGCAGGCTTCGCAAACCTGACCACCGCCGTCAGGCACGCCTCGAAAGGGCGTACGCCCTTCTCAGCCACCACTACGCGGAGGATGAATTCTGGCCTCGCGGGTATGTGCGGTGATGCCGCCCTTTTTGGGGGGGCTGTTACTTACACTACTAGTACCTTATTGCCATCATATGGCATGATGAACTAGATTTACACCAATCAAAAAAGAATAAAAAAACGGTTTGTTCGTATATCAGTTTATCCTTTTTCCGTAAGATTAGTTTTCTTGTAACGTTCTAGTTCCAGATGGAGGAAGGGCTTAGCAACATACTAGTGCCCATATGTTGTTAGACATTATGGACTGCACATGTCATTCATCAAAGCCCTATCATGATGCTTAGAATTATAGTCAAAATCTGTACTGAGGGTACATAGTATTCGGCTTCTGGCCCTGGTTATAATAGTCGAAGTGCTCCTGTAAGTTCCACCCATTCCTTTCTACCCCCTATCCCCATCATAAGTATAGGAAGACTCTAAAGAGTATCAGGAGTATTGCAGTGTATATACTGCCATTCATTTGACTTGGTTTTGAGTCAAACTGGCCGAGATAGGACTTTGCATCGGTCTTTGGCAAGAACGGATCTTTGTATAATCATCGGAGTATACCCGAAGATCAGCCTAGAAGACCCTTTCGGGCCCTCGTGTGTCAAAAGTAACCCAGTAGACCGTCGAAGCAATAAAGGACGAGACCGGAATACATGCTTAGCAACAAAGACGCTCGAATGGCCTAGTCCTTGTTACCCAGCTTGAGCATCATAGAACCTAATGCTCGTAGTCACCGTTTCTCAAATGTAACCCGTTGAGCTCGACTATTTATAAAGCCAACACGCAGCGCAGCTCGAAACCTCTATCCCCAACCCGAGTTCGACCCACCCATCCCATTACCAGAAGATCGGTCGCCGTTGCACCCGCCCAAATGCCCAAAATGGAAAACCCAGCCCTCAACCTGGCCAACCAAGACCTCGAGCGGGCCTTCTGGAATCTGCGCCGCCTCCATCTGGAATTGTTGCGCGAGACCAAGCCGTGCAGCCCGGAGGCGCGCGAGTTCCGGAAGGAGGTGCAGCAGACCAAGGCCCTGTTCGAGAGGGGGGTGCAGCAGACCGACTCGGTGGTGAGGGCGTTGAGCCCCGCGCCGGAGATGCCTGCCGCCGATCGGCGGAACAAGTCTGCCGAGAGGCGTCGTGTCCCCGAGCGGAAGAAGCCCGTCGATGGGAGGCGTCATTCTTCGTCCCCCGAGCCGGACAGCCCGGCCGGCGTCATACCCCCGCGCCGCGGGAGCCTTCGAGGCTCTGACAAGCGTCGTGTTCGGTTCATCCTCTAACCGTTTTACATTCATTAGGGGCTTGTTATCGTTGCTCTCGTTTATTGGTGTTTTAGTATGACTCTGATGAGTGGAGAATTTTATAATCAAAAAGTGATACAAAACATAATCTTTTGTGCACAGTATTGTAACGCAACGCGATCATCGAGAGTAGATCTGGCTAAAGCACTAGAAACTCATTCTAGGTGTCCAAGAAGAGTCGCCATGATGGGTAATAGGCTGTTCAATCGTACTATGGAATTCATAAATCAATGATCAAGTCTAGTATTCCAAGTTCTGTACAAAAGTTGACGGCGGTCTGGTGGCCTTGCCTTAGGCTGCCAGCTCACCGCGCACCTCGGCGGCCTTGCTAGTTCTCGCACATAGCCTGACCTAGTCAGGATCCAAGCATCTTCCACCTCTTTTGAAGCGTCATCAAAAGTAAATGATGGGATTTCGATTCGCAGTCACCACCGTCCTCCTCACACTTCACATGCGATCAATGAAGTTCTCCTAAAACATACATAGCGAATGTACTTTGCTTTGTTTCGTTCATTATAGCATCGAATAGTTTTCAGCCAAGTGTGAGCAGTCTTAGCCAGGCTTTGTCTCAGGAACAATCACGTACTGCAAACTCAGCCTGAAATCCTCCACGAAAAGAATCCACCAATGGAATGTTCCAGTACGTGACAAAGCCTTACGGCCCAAGCTTCTTTGTAGATAACTTGCCTCTCGGGCTCTGTCAGGTCTATAAAAGCAAGGTCCACGACAACCGATTCCACCAACCAACCCCATTGGTTAACCATCAACAACAACCGACCAACCCTCTCAAGCTATACCACAAGCACAACCGCTCCAAAATCACCCAAGATGTCGGATTTACGGATCCTTTACGTTGCCCTTCTCGCCAGCACCCGAGAGGCAATGGACGACATCCTAGAGATGGGGAAGGAGATAGAAGCCGGGCCCACGCAACGCAGGCAGTTCTATGTCGAGTACGAGCGAAGGCTTAGGATGGCGCTGTCGTTGTTGCCCAAAGTCGAGAACCCAGATGCTTCCCTCCAGCAGCTGGAAGAGGAAATCCAGCAGCCAAGCGACGAGTCTGCGCTGCCGCAGGACATTATGCTCACCACGCGGCGAGTGCTGCGGGTGATCAAGGCTCGCTATGAGGCATTCCTGCAGGATAGCCTGCTCTCTGATGACGCCTTCCCGCTGATTGCTGAGTTGATTAAGGGGCTGGATGATCGTGCCGGTGGTGCCGGTGATGATGATGATGATAATGATGGTGAGCAGGCGGTGAAAGGCGAGGAAGGAGATTGTAAAGTGAAAGCGGAGAATGGTGAGGAGCAGTAGTAGCCCCCTGCCCTATGCTGTTTCACTGGAACCCCCCACTGTTTCCTCTTGCCGGGCTCCGAGGCTCTGGTTACCACCGTCCACGGTCTTCTCATGCGATATGATTGTTTTCGCTTGAGAATTGAGCCTGTAGCGCATTTGCTTTAAACAACAACATTTTATCAACAAATAAATTCGAATTCAATGGTACACAATATTGTAAAGCAACTATCCAAGTATCAAAATGTTCAAGATGGCAAAGCGCGTGTTTGTGTTTCCGCTCTCTTTTCTCTCCTTTTCTCTGGAAAAGCGGTTTAAGAATGTTCGCATCGATCAACCCAGCCAATCAACTGTATGCACTATAGGACTTTCAAATCAATAATCGAATATAGCATCCAGAATCCCTGCACATCCCGATGCTGCGAATTTGTGCTGTGCTGACTAGCCAAGAACTCTCACACCGAGTGCAACCGAGGAACTCGTTCAGTATCGCCATTGACTACTGTAGTCTGGCATTGAGTAGTTTCCGGCCAGGCTCGGGTGGTCCTACAGAGGCTTTGTCTCAACGTTACCAGGGACAATCACATACTGCAAACTCAGCCTGCAGTCTCCATGAGAAAGTCCACCAATGCATTGTTTTAGTACATAACAAAGCCTTATAACCCAGGCTTGCGATCCTTTGTAAGTGACTCGCCTGGACTTCGAAGAGATCTATAAAAGCAAGGTCCACGACAACCCACTCCATCAACCCAACCCAACCCATTACCTACCTAACCATCAACAACAACCCGACCCACCCTCTCGACCCAACCTACACAATGGCAAGCACTACCACTCCCACAGCACCCAAAACGTCAGACCCGGAGGAGGGCTACGCGGACCTCCTCGCCACAGCCCGCGAGTGGGTGGACAGCGTCCTCTTCATGGAGCAGGTACAAGAGGAGATCGAGGCCGGGTTCGCGCTGCGCACGGAGCTTCGTAGCCAGAATGAGCGAGCGTTTCTCTCGCTGCTGGCGGCGTTGCCGGACCGCGCCCAGCCGAATGCCGCTACCCTCCAGCGGCTGGAAGAAACCAACCAGCAGATGAGCAACGCGACGGGGTCGCTGCGCGAGAAATTGAGAGCCTCGCGGCGGCAGATGCCGATGAACAAGGCTCAAATCGTGGTGTGGCTGTGGGTGCACCTGCGCCCGGCGGATGCGAGGGCGCTGGTTGCGAAGCTGAACGGAGGGCTGGATCATGATGCCAGCGGTGGTGGTGCTGATGGTGAGCGGGCGGTGAAAGACGAGGAAGGGGATGGCAACGTGAAACGGGAAGCGGAGTAGGGCGAGGGGGCAGTAGCCTCTGCCTTATGCGGCCTCAGTTGAACCTCCACTACCTCTTTTTGTCAGGCTCTGGTTACCGCCGTCTTCTCATGCGATATTGCTAGAAGACCGCCTGCCGCCAACTTTCTTTTAATAATGACAATGACGTTTTATCAACAACCCAATTCGAATTCGATGATGCACGAAGTAAAAAACTCAATTCCAACTATTGTCCAGTTGCTAGACTATAGAGCTACCCAGAAGTTCTACCCCCCTCTTTCACTTTAGAACTTCTCCTTGTGGCGCGCCACAAACTCCTTCCACGACGTAGGCTTGTCACTCTCGTCCAGCAGCTCGCGAGAAGGAGCAAGCGACTCCCCAGCATAATACCCGGGATCCTCCAGCAACAAAATATTCTCCAGCATCTCCTGCGCGATCGGCGCCGGCAAGAACGACTTGAACACCTCCTCCGGGATCCGCGCGGTCTGGACCTTGTACCCAGTGACCTCATGGAACTCATCCACAATCCGCTGGGGCGAGTAGTAATCGTCCGCCGCCAGGATGCGTTGACCCACCGAGGACGGGAAGTGCTTGATCGCCGCCTTCACGAATTTGCCTATCCCATCGCCGTTAGCCCTCATACTTACCCACATGCACACTAAGAGTCATTCGTACCTGTATCCGCAGCGGGATCAAACAACGGCACCTGCGCTTTGGCCATGTCCACCGGCCAGCGGAGGGTATACACATCATCCTGCTTGCTCAGCATCTGGAAGAAGTTGTTCATGTACAAGCCCGCCAGCACGAACGAGGCCGGCACGCCGCTGGCGCGGATGTACTGCTCGATCTCGGCCTTGCCGTCGAAGTGGCTGACGTGGGCCAGGCGCCCGTGGCTGATCTGCGTGACGTCGCGCAGCGAGGAGAAGATGAGGTGCTGCACGCCGGCCTGCTGGCTCGCGTCCGCCACCGCCTTGCCCTGCGCCACCTCGGTCGCCCGGCTCATCGTCTCCCAGAAGTTGGTCACCAGGAACACGGTGTGGGCGCCGGTGACGGCGGGGAGAGCCGCCTCCGTGGAGGACATATCGCCCTTTTGGGGGAAGGTTAGTGGTTGATGGTGCTGAAGTGTAAGGGGAAGGTGGTCTTACGGTGACAAGCTCAACGCCCTGGGCGGCTAGGGCCTGTGCGGCTGGCTTGCTGGGGTCGCGGGTGACGGCCCGGATCTTCCACTGCTTAGACAGGGCGGGGTCGCCGAGAATAGACTTGATGACCGAGCCACCTTGATTGCCTGTGGCTCCGAAGACGGTGAGGATTTGAGACATGGCGAGGTTTTGTGGGAAAATGTGAGGAGAGAGATTTGTTGATAGATAGGTTGAAAGTTACTATGGTAGCAGCGAGAAACTGTTGCTTGTGCTGTTTGCTTCTCTTGTCAAGCTGATCAAGACCGACCATTTATACTCTTTGGAACGTCCTCGGGCACATTCAAGGTTCCTTGGCACTGGCTCCCCTCGCGGGGTATCGCCTGAGTCAGCTCGTACTCTCGGGGGTCCGAGATCATGTAATCGCTCGTATCGCCGTCAGCCCGTATGGAGTGGCTGCAAGCACCTTTCCTTAATAATCACGGCGCCGCGGATTTGAGATCAAGGCCGAGGGACTTAGTCAGATACGCACTGACTCAACACGTCATGACTGATGCTTACATACAGATACAAGAAGAACCCTCAAATTGAACCCCCTTGCTCCCCCCCCCCAACACACACATAATCACCTACCTACACCTAGAAACCTCCAGAAACAAACTATCAAAAAAATGACCACCAAACTCACCAAACCCATCGCCATCATCGCCGGCGCCGGACCCGGCACCGGCGCCTCCATCGCCCGCCGCTTCGCCCAGACCTACCCGGTCGTCCTCCTCGCGCGCCGGCAATCCAGCCTCGACCCGCTGGTGCAGGGCATCACCGAGTCCGGGGGCACCGCGCTCGGCATCCCCGCGGACGTGACCCAACCCGACGCGATGGAGGCGACGATGCAGCAGATCGCGGGCCAATTCGGCGCCGACGTCCCCGTGGCCGCGGCCATCTTTAACGTCGCCAGCAAATTCTCCCGCGCGCCGTTCCTCGACTCCGGCGCCGAGTTCCTCGACAGCCTAGAGGCGACCGCCCGCGGCGCGTCGAATTTCTCCAAGGCGGTGCTGCCGTTCCTGCTGCGCGCGGCCGCGGAAACGCCCCAGGCGCGGTTGCCGCCGACACTGATTTTTACGGGTATGACTTTCTACGTAATTCCGCGGTCGCGATGCGGGAATTGGGGGGATTTGCGCGGTGCATTTGCGAGGAGGAGGGAGATGAGTCAGCACGCTAATGAGGGACAGGTGCAACGGCCTCCTTGAAGGGAGGGTCCGGGCTGGGCTCCTTCGCCATGAGCAAGTTCGCCGTGCGCGCGCTGGCCCAGTCGCTGGCGCGCGAGTTCGGGCCCCGCGGGGTCCATGTGGCGCATGCGATCATCGACGGGATCATCGCGACGGAGCAGACCAAGGAGTATATGAAGGATAAGCCGGATGCGAAGATTCATCCTGATTGGGTGAGTGCATTGCTGTGGCATTCGTCCCAGTTGAGCTACTACCCACCTGGTAGGTAGAAGTGATTTGAATGCTGATTGGGACTAGATCGCGGAGTCGTATTGGTTCCTGCACAGCCAGCCTCGGTCTTCGTTTACGCATGAGCTGGATCTTCGGCCTTATTGTGAGACGTGGTGATGGGATTCTTGGGGATGGTTTCAGTTCTGGAGTTGTACGACTATTTGCCGGTGAAAAGCAAGAAGCACAGAACGTGCTCTTTTCCAGACCGATGGCTTCGTATTATCCTGAGATTGCCCTCAGCGCTTACTTGTAATGATAGTAGTCTATGGAACAGCCTTGTATTTGTTATATCTACCTCAAGGATATAATCCATAGATGTCTCATGTTCGCGTATAAGTGAAATAAGCTGTCTGAGGCTTTGCGTAACTTTCGTGCCACAGATCGACATGAGGTGATAGTCTACTGCTGCTGCCAGGGTCGCTCCCAGCAAGAAGACTCACAAGAGTTTAGCCACGGCCGGCCTCGCTTACCAGCGATACGATATACCCTAACTACACCCAGTACACTTCCAAGCCCATAAAACTATAGATTAATCATAATACCACCCCACGATATCTAAACCCGATCAATCCCCACCTCCCCATCGTCAACCCACCCGACAAACCAAACCTAAATCTTCTCCCCCTTAAGCCCGCCCGCAACCTCCCTCACCACCTCAACATCCCCGCCACTAACCCCCTGCTGAACCGCCACCTCATCAAACTCATCCCAATAATCCCGGGGCTCCAACCACCCCTTCTGCCCACGGTCCACGCCCCGCGGCCACCACAGCGCACACAGCGCCGCAAACACCGCAAACGCCACCAACAACCCGACCGGGTACGCCACGAAGTAGAACCGCTCGATGCCCAGCGGCGCCCGCACACCCATCTGCGACAGGAACCCGTAGAAATTCGGCGCCACCGCGATGAGATACGCCCCGAAGCCGCGCGGGTTGATCCCGTACAGATAGTAATAGATGCCCGCCGGGTCGGCCGTGTACAGCGCGGGGACGTGCAGGTGGCCCCGCCGGATGAGGTAATAGTCACAAATCAAGATTCCGGCGATCGCGGACAGGAAGATCTGGTAGGAGGAGAGGAAGGTGATGAAGATGGAGGCCGTGGCGAGGAGGTACCAGGGGCAGATGGCGAAGGAGAGGACTTTGGGGGGGGAATGTTAGTTTTGGTGGGGGCTCTGGGTTTGAGTCTGAAAGAGAGGTGGGAGGGGAGGGGGGCTTACTGGCGCAGATGAAGAAGCCGCGTTTTACGGTGATGTAGCGGGGCCAGAGGGCGGCGATGTCGTTGCCGGCTCTGTGAGGGGGTTAGTGGGTGTGAATGGGGAACAAATACAAAGGCAAGGGGCCGCATACGGGATTGAGTTCTCGAAGATGGCGGAGAAGACGGTCGAATAGATGAAGGCTAGCGAGATGAAGGCGCAGGCGGCACGGTTGCCGTGTGTGTAGCGGTCGCCGTCCATGAGTTTGTCCAGGAAGGTGAGGGGGTTCCAGATGAGCTGCAACAGTCAGAATCAATACAGGTGGAACCCCACCTGGCACGGGGAAGCACCCACCTCGCCGAATATGCTCTCGCTCGACCCTGCAATCACATTACCGATGACGGCCACCAGCAGTCCCGAGACCGGGAAGCTGATGATCTGCCCCAGAATCACATCGCTGGGTTTGCGCGCGTACCGCTGCAGATCCGCTGCGTTTGAGATAAAAGTCCCGCAGCTGGCCAGCCCCAGCCACAGGAACTTGCAAATCAGCCAGCTCTTTTCCTGTCCGTGCACGGACGAGGACGCCCGAAGTGCCGCCGGCGATCCACCCGCCAGGGAGACGACCCATGCCAGCATCGCTAAGGCGCCAGCATAATATACGACCACTTTGATGTAGACCAGCATCTTCATTTTCGGGACCGGCACAACCAGGAAGGCGCAGTTGATCAGCCTTTTCATGTTAGTGAATCATTCGTTCATCGATATGAGAACTTACCAATACACCACAAAGCAGATCATCTGCGCAGACGTCAGAGCCGACTTCGGCCCCATTTTGTCGGGAATATGAGCGATCGAGGGGAAGATCGCATGGAGAAAGACACTACGTGCATCAGCAAGCATCGTGCAAGCACAAGCCCGACACACTCACTAGAGACACTGCGCACCCTGCGTCATATTCACCCCGTTCCACACAATGGACATGACCGCCCGATTAAAGGTCGGCCACAGTGCGCCCCAAACCCCAAAACTCGAGCGACAGAGCACCGGATACGGAATGCGATACATGGCCCCAGCGCGGCCGTTGATCGCCATGAGGCATCCCGCCATGAACTGCCCGCCGAAGCTGCACGCGATACTCTCCCACATGGTCAACCCCATGGTCATGCCCGTGGAAGCCGCGTAGAGGTTGCTGACGTTGGCCACCGCCGAGAACCAGAACATCACGTAGGTGAACTGCGTCCATGTGCGATCTTTGGCGCGGGTGGGTCGGATGGAGTCATTGTCGAGGGTCTCCACGATCCGCTCGTTTCCATCCTGATCGACGCTTTTCACCAAAAGGCGCCGGTGCAGGGTCGCGAGAACCGACATCTTGTTTCTGTGCTGGTGGTTCTCACCCTTGCGACCGCGAGAGGGGTTAAATAACCAGGAGCCACTCTCGGGGCAGGGGTTGGACAGGGATGGCAATACGACCGTAGATAAGAGACGGGGGTGGCACCCTGCTGCTGAGTGCAACGGTGATAAGTGGCACACGCGACCGACCTGAATCGACCAACTATTCCGGCTTATCTGCTAGTACAGACGTAATCAGCTTATCAGCCGCCAAGATCGGATGGCGTCCTTGGACGACCGAGAATCAGCGATAATTAATCTCGCAGCCGTGCGGAGTGGTGGCTTGGCGGGGCGGGGTTCCCCGCGCCAGTCCTCGAACCGGATAAATACAGAACGTACCACCAGCACATGCATGCAGACCTCAGCGTGGCAAACTGAGTTACCATACAGCACATAAAGCTCACTTACCAAGCCGAGGCTGATCCGAGCTTAATTAACTTTAGTCTCACAATGGCGACCGAAAGTGAATACACCCATGTCGAGCTGCTGACCTTGAATGGGCCAGAGTACCGCCGCGTGTCGACGGCGGCTCCCCGCCTCCCCACCGAGGATGAGATCCCCGTGATCGACCTCAGCCCTATCGACGGTGACGCACAGGAACGCGAGCAGCTCGCTGCCAAAGTGCGCACTGCTGCCGAAAACACCGGGTTCTTCTACATCAAAAACCACGGCATTCCCAAAGAGCTGATCCAGGAGGCCCTCGCCCAGGCACAAGCATTCTTCCAGCAGTCGGAGGAAGACAAACTGAAAGTCGCCTCCGCCAAAATGAAACTGATGGACGGGTTTCATGGCGTCGGAAGCACGCAGATCAACAAGACCGAATCAAGAGGTAAGCTCAACGCTTCCCCCGTGATCACCAACCAGCTGATTCTGGAACTTAACACTAATTCCCCCCAGACCGCAAGGAGACCTTCTCCCTCCGCTACAACCCCCACCGCGACCCACAAGCCCACCCCGCAACCCTACCCGCCGACGACGATCAGGACCGCGCCCTCTGGGCAGGCACCGCCCACCTCCCGGGCTTCCGCGAAACCACGACCGCCTTCTACCAAGCCCGACTCACCCTCGCCCGCAAGATGATCCGCATCTTCGCGCTGGCCCTCCACCTCCCGGACGACTACTTCGACAGTCTGGTAACCCACCCCGGCGCAGACGGTCTGTACGTGCATTACCCGGGCCGTCCCGAAACCACCACCACCGACGATGCAACCCTCGAGGTCGGAATCGGCTCGCACACCGACATCCAATGCGTCACCCTGTTGTGGCAGGACATGTCCGGTGGGCTGCAGGTGCTCTCCGCGCAGGACGAGTGGCTGGACGCGCGACCCATCCCCGGCACCCTGGTCGTCAACATCGGCGACTTCCTGCAGCGCCTGTCCAACAACCGCTTCCGCTCCACCGTGCACCGCGTCTACAACCGACAGGCTACCTCGCGCTACTCCATGCCCTTTTTTCTCGGATTTAACCCGGAGGCCGTGTGTAAGGTTGTGCCCTCGTGCGTCGACGCGGCGCATCCGCCGCTGTACGAGCCGATCTCGTGCGGGCAGGTGAGTTCTCCTGATTCTTTACGTGATGAGGGTGTTGGCTGAGTCATGATGTAGTGGCATCGCGATCGGTTGGCGCTAGCGCAGGGGTTGCTTGGGCGGCCTTGATTTGTGGGTCTGGGGGTGTATTCCAGCGGGGGGGTTGCAAAGACATTACGGAGGCTCAACGTACACTTTCTTGATACGGTAGTGATGACTTGGGTGGTATTTTCCGTCTGTCTTGCGCCTGATAGTATTTTAGTATTAAGGAACTGTAGTTCGTACTATCTCGTAGGCACTAGCTGGGTACTGCATGCCTATCTACTATTAGAGCCATATATTTCAAACTGTCAACAAGCCCTAGCTAGAAGATACTAGTGTCGTGGTGTATGACACACTGGCCCCACTGTATCCCCTCCCATACAGTTCACTTACCCATGAACTAGAGAATTATCGGCGACATCCGAGAGATCGTAGATAAGGGCGATATGAAAGCGCCATCCATGTGGCACGCTCAGGGACACGCCAAGCGCGATTCTTCCGATTGGTCGATAAGCTTGCATCGGCCGGCGAAATACCATGCAGTGGGATCTAGGAACGCTTGTGATGGTCGTGTGCTGGTTTACACTGCAAGGCAGCTGACGATAGTCTACCTAGTACATTAGATAAGTGGCTGTGTAGCTTCCATATTGACTGTTGGAGCGCTCCTGTTCTCCCATCCATGAAAGACACTAACAAACCCCAGCGCAACGGTCGCCTCCTTGATGCGAATAATCCACCTGCCCGCAGTAGCAGTGCTGGCTGATCACACGGTGGCGACAACGGTCCGACCCACCGAGTGGGCGCTCATCGAATGCTACCTGGTCATCATCACCGCCTCCATCCCGTGCACCCGCGCGCTCGTCGTTGCCTCCATTCGGAAGCTGGCCAGCAGCGGATCCCGCTCGCGGTCGGGGCGCACGACGACCGGTGTCGTCGGGCGGAAGCGTACGTTTAAGAGGGCCACGGGTGGCGGTAGTAGCTACTGGGCGGTTCGGGACCGGTCGCGGCACCGACGCGACCACCGAATCGGGGTAAGAGGTCGGGTCTATCCTGCTGGAGATTGGCATCACGAAGCAGGTTGAGTTCTCGATTAGCGATGCAGAGGTGCTTGTCACCCCAGAGAATCGAGCATTGTATTGTTGTCTTCTGGGCTTACTGCGCCGTGTCTCCGGTTATTCCGATGGCCCCGGGAAGGGTTTCATATCTTTTGAGATGCTGTGGAACTACATGTCCTACGATTCTGTATAGTACATCTCTAGTGAGAAAATACAAAGCATCGCGCTGAGACGTTGTTCTCTCCTCTTCCACCGCTCCTACGCTTTGTGCTATCTGTACTGCACTCCTGCTTAGCCACTCGGGTGATGTATGCATTCATATCTGTTGCAACCCGGTGGGATTATGTCTCCGTCGACCAGAAAGAAGTAGATCGAACAATCTGCTTCGTCGGCGGGGTACTTGAAAGTTTTGAAATCAAGGACTGTCTCAAAGTCCGTTTCGAGAGAATACCGCGCGGAAGAAGGGAGTGTGGGGGTATCAGAAGAGACTTGCTTGTAGGCACTGTGCACCGATGCAAAAGAAAGTAGAAGGGTGGTCCCAGTCGTCATCAAGACATAGTAGTAAGTTAGTATGCGAGTGAAATAGAGGCTAATTGTCTCGATTAGGGCTATCCTTCCGGTCGGATTTGCGGTCAGCGGATCCGCCGCGGTAGGCACAGACGTAAGTTACAAGAAGGAGATCATGCGTTGGGAGGATCTAGACTAAATTGCGTTTTAGAAGAGCTTATATTCATATAAGAATCTATTATGGGGAAGTTGAAAGGGGAAACCGATGGTTAGAATTCAGTGTTTGGCCTGGGAAGTATAATTTCATATCCTAGGAAACGGACAAACACCATCTCAACACTGCTCCCCAGGTTGGTAAAAGCCGGGCTATCCTTCGTTCAGTCTGGCGGCATCTTCCCTGGCAGCATTTTCATCTTCGCTGGCGGCAGCATCACGCTTCTCGGCCGCCTCGAGAGCCGCTCGTACCCGGGTAACCGCATCCCACGGCCGGTGCTTGCCCTCGTTCATCGCGATGATACACATCTCGCAGAACATAGGCTCGTTAGGATCGATGATCCGGTTGAACGCGCCCGGCAGGTCCCGCTTGTTGCCGGATGCCGGGAGGCACAGCTCCTTGTTCGGGCGGGCTTTGGCCTGGTCGCACGACAGCCATCCGGCGCGGTAGAGGTGCCAGCAGCCGCCGTGGCAGCGGAGAATCTGGATGCACATGTTGGTTCGACGTGTTGTGTGGGGGTGGGGAGTTCTTCAGACTTCACTATGCTGGTGGCAAGGTTGTTGGTCTGATGATGATTCTGATGATGGTACATAGCTTTAGGGTGGAAGAGGACTTAAATAGCTCCCGGGGTTGACATGCTGGGAACATGGAGTATACAAAGAGATTCTTGGTATAAAGAATTTGAGTTTCGATTTCCCGGTATGTTTTGATCTGGGCAGTTAGCAGTGAATAGTGTGTGGGGATTAATGGAGATTTTCACGGGGATTGCTTCTTTTCGGAATAGTCTATTAGTCTAGCTGACAGGCACCTGCATGTATCCTACATGTTCGCATTTCATGGAAGCTGCAATTGCAGAAGTGGGGAAGATTGAAAAGCGGAGATATATCTGAGGCGCGCAGGTACACAATTTGCGTTGCTAGGATTAAATTTTTGTTTTCCCGATACATGTCAACCAACAATAGGTAGAGTTTAAGACCCCGCTGTAGTTCCAGAAGTAAATATACTGTCATGCAACAACCATAGCTGAAGATTAATGATGCCAGCTTCTGTTGTGTACATAATACCTGGACTGGTGACGAGCTGGGATCACCTCCAAAGGTTTTGGCATCATATATATGTAGTGCAAGCTTATTACTCAATCAAGGCAAGATGGCCGAGCGGTCTAAGGCGCTAGGGTCAGGTATCTGATCACACATACGCTCATACGAGCAGTATTCCTAGTCACGCAAGTGGCGTGGGTTCGAATCCCACTCTTGTCATAACTTTTTGCTTTGTTCCATTATTATCCTGGGTCGTCCTTTTGTACTATCGCACGTACCCGCGTTTCTGATTCTGGTCTCAATGTTGAACTCTTTCGGGAAGTGGTAGCCTAGCCTTATGCCATGCTATCCGTAAGTTACTTGGTATCTGTGTGTTGGTCGCTGCTGAGTCCTTCGGAGCGACCGCAGCAATTGCACGGTCGCATAAAGATGCATCACACAGCTTGATTGGCTAAAGCTCCTCGTGTATCAAACCCTTGCGGAGTAGCTATAGCCAAAATGACTTGTATGCTCTGCTTTCTTAATTAGCTGACATTTTTGTTTAGTATGGTGGTGAATATGTACTGTACATACAAGAACAACATTCACAGGTGTGCCGGCCGACTTATCTTTCTTGTCAGGGATATTTCCTGGCGCGGAAAAGCTATCACGACACCAGTAATTATTGTTCTCCTCGATTATTGGGATTGAACATGTATTGGAGGAAATGGTGTGGTAATACTAACTCTCTTCGAATATGGGAAGTCTCATCTCACTGGCTTTTAACTTGATGTGCAACCATTTGAAGGAAGTCTGAGCAAACCGGATTCCGAAAATATATAGCAGCCTCACAACCAGCGAAACATCAGTCGGACTTTCCTTCAAGCGAAACGCCCACACAATAAAGCCAACTAACTACATGATTCCCCCATAATCTACTCCTAGTCCGATCCCACTGTTTATTTTCAAACATAACGATAAATGTCAGTCTTGCAGCAGTATTCGAGGCCGGCCTCGTGATCATTTTCCAGGGGTCTCGGACAGTTGGTCCCGCACACATGCAGCAAACCTGCAGCTAATAAAGTACAGTAATTGCTACCTAGCCGTCAGCCAAGATCAAGACACATATTACCAGGCTAGCTTTTGCTAACTTGCTCAAATGGCATCAAAGTTGACGTATACAGGGGTGACAGCAAAAAAAGTCCATCCTTCACAATCATATGTGAAGAGGAATGGACAAAAATATTGACCTACGCAGGGCTCGAACCTGCAATCTCTTGATTCGTAGTCAAGCGCCTTACCATTGGGCCAGCAGGCCAGCTGTTGAAAAAGAGGCTGTAGCCTGCATTTATCACGCGCAAGAAACACAGACAAAACAACACATGTGGGCGAGGAGGTCATCCCTGCGCACAGCAATTGGACGATATCAACACCACTCCGACAGCCCCCATTGCTCAATATTCGACACACATGAGGTAGTTTTTAGTGCGCATGCCATAGACCCTGTCAGTATCTTTCAGTACACAGTCAGTTTGGCAGCCCCTGAATCCGAAGGTCTCTCCGCATAGGGAGCAGGGGTAAAGATTTTCGAGCTTTCCGGCGAAGGATCGAGGACACTGTCCCTCGGGCTGTCGACTCAGCAGGAATTGGAACGGATAGTTTGTCGAAAGATTAATAGTCAAGTAATTGATATTGCGTAGACTTACTAAGCGGCAATGACCTAAGTTAATGGCCGTGGCATTTCGCACCGAGCTAGCGCTCTGGTCATTTTATGGAGAACCACCAGAGAGGTTCATCCATCCCTATCGATTTCCCTCATACGATATTTGTACCTGCACTAGTTTTGCGTGATACAATGTACAAACTGGCCATGACTCATGCAACGAGTCAAGACCTCATGTCGCCGATCACTTCCCAAAACGACTCTCGTTGTGCTGCTCCGGAGCCTGGACCTCATGGCCATTGTCACACATTCAGCCTTGAGCCAGGGCGCTCAAGCCAACCCTGTTCAAGCCAGGGTCGCCGTGTCCTCACAGGATCTGACCATTCTCAATCACGGAACCTCTGCCCTGGAAGTCTGAAGAATGATCACCTCAGCATGACACATTCTCCACTCTAAAGCTACGCTGGATTTAGGATCTTCATAGCGCAAATCCTGGAGCCTCGTGCATTCGTGCTGCGGCTCAAGGTGGTCTCGCTGCACCCCACTCTTCTTGCATGATCAACTCACTGCGTGGTTGAAGACAACACGGCTTCAAGGCCCATGGATGATCGCGACCTCTAGCACTTCAGGTTCACCCTCACCCGATGAAGTTGACCCGCTAGGGGAGAACCTGTCTTGTGGTGAGTTGAATCGCAACGAGGGGCAGGCACCTGCGAGTGGAGCGCCCGCCAAGCACGGCCGTCACTAGCACTATCCCAGATAAAGCTTGGGCACAACGAAGCATACGTATGTCTCCAGGCTCAATTGGGCTATTCACTCGGCTGAGCCTCTGATTTGGTTCCTGCAGAGGATTCCCAACATTCCTCAGCAGAATAAGGGCCTGGGAGTGGATACAGCCAGGACTCCGGCGGCCTTAGCCGGGGTATATACTTCCTCTGTGGGTCGGCACACTTCTGCAGGCTCTTGCTGTATGGTTCGAGACAATTGAAGGATCAGTAGTAGACTCCATTCTTCTACCAGGCTATTGTACCTGCCTGACTCTGTTGCTTCAGCTAACTCCGAGCCGTGCTAGAAATCCATAGATAAAAGCGTCGTCCCTCGATTGACGATCGATTCCTTCCCTAGCATCGCAATAACCCTCCATCACCATTCGCACCATGAAGTTCACTCTTGCCTCTACCCTGGCCCTGGCCACTGCAGCCCTGGCCATGCCTGCCGCCGAGGCTGAAGCTAGCCTCGAGAAGCGCAACCCCAGCGGTGCCTTCAGCCTCTATGCCTGGGGCGTCACCAGCTCAGCCATGAAGCTCTTCTACTCCGACGGTAGATCCATTCCGGCCTCAGGCACCGAAGCCCACGCTAATAGTTGAACCCGCAGGTCTCGCCTACGCCGGCGACTCCAGCGCCTGGCCCTACGGCTCCGTTACCACCGATGTCACCTGTATTTCCCCCCTGCTTTCCTGTCCCCCGGTACTATAACTAACCCCCCGCAGTCGAGATCGCCGACACCGAAATCACCACCACTGCCACCACCGACGGCGTCACCCTCGACGCGGACACCCTCTTCTACATTCGCCCGACCGCCGACGAGATCACCGAGGTCGGCTTCACGGGCAACGGCTACGACACCCCCTCCGACGCGGCCACCGACAACTTCCTCTTCTACGGCTCGTGGCTGATGTGGGAGGAGGACTCCGGCGTCCTGACCGATAGCTTCCGGCTCAAGGAGACCAACGTCTCGGGTATCTATCAGTTCTACTTCGATTACTCCAACCTGTACCCTAGCGGATACTCGACGCCCAGTGTTATGGACAAGGCTAGCTGAGTCTGTAAAGTTCTGGAAGTATGAGAGAATGGTGATGATGGTTGGTGCTGTTGTGAGGGGGAGCGATGTGCTTCGCAATCAGCTCTAATATGCAGTATATAGCGAGGGTTTGCCGGTCGCTGATTTGTTAATGAATGATATTTATGCTATCCGCCCTTTCTCATAGCTAGTTCGATGCATCATGGCTAGATTTGTAACCAATCGCCGCCCTGCGATGAGTGTAGTGTGGCAGCAATGTTGTGAGCACCCAGTAGTCCCTTGTACTGGGGCGTCGCTATCCAAGTCTGCAGTACACAGTACATGGACTTCATTCTCCGCACTAGCACATACTATTAGCTTGGACTTATCTGCACTGTAAGCCGAGTCTGGGTCATTGGCATCGTTAAAAGATGTAGAAATCTAACTACCGAGTAGCAGATACCAAATCTCAAATCCTAGATATTGTGAATATAGCCGATACCCAGCTCGTCCCTGGATATAGTCCCAAGCTCGATCCACGGTTTCCTCCCGGCCCACTCGCCCGAACCACAGTGCAGTAAGTGTCGGGAGATGGGACCGCAGAATTCTAGACCCGTCTCCGGGACTTCCTCTTTGGGCATCCCGAGCTTCCTGCAGTGCGGTTCGGTTCCTGGGTGTGTTGTCGATTTTAACTTGCAGAACTCTAGTTCTTGCCCGCTGCTCGATGCTGCTGTACGACTCTGAGCTTAGCAAGGTGCAACAGGACATTGTGAGCTTGATTACCATTAGATTTCTCCAATATCAATTCAAGCAGCGTAGCCAGTCAAAACCCTAAGCCGACCGTTGAACAGAGTACTGTACAAGATACTAGAAAGCCATCCCGGCCGCCCGGCCCCCCCGAAAATCTCTGGTTCCCCCTGCCCTTCGGTAATGGGCTGCTGGGGAATCTCCACCAGCGGGACTCGCGCGCGGTGGGACCCGCCCAACTGATTTTTTTGCTGTAGAGACTGCTAAGTTACAGTAAGTACTAAGAAACTAAATCTGCCCTACCACCAATACAGTTAACTGAACTTGAGTTTTCATGTCGGTTAGGTAAGTACCTAGTAATATTCACAATCATCACAACATTATCACTATGTCCAGTTTAAACAAAATTCGCCACCTTAGGAAACTCCAACTCCATCTATCGTGCCCCCATAACCCCAAAGTAGAAAAAAGGCAGTCGTGAGACACACAAAGTAAAACTTTTACCTAAACTGAGCCCATATTTCCAATAGGAAGGAAAAAAAAAATTTAGATCGCGCAAACGGAATCCACCCGATTCTCGGGCCCGATGCCCCGCCGGCGCACGGAGAATAGCGCCACGAACAGGCCCAAACCGGCCAGGCCGGCGGAGCACCACAGGCCCGTAGCGTACTGATGGGCGAGGTCGTGGCTCTTCTCGATGTCGACGGCCTCGGTGACGGCGGCGGAGATGGCGAGGGCGACGCCGGAGCCGATCTGGAAGGCGGTGTTGAGCATCCCGCCGCACAGGGACTTGACGTTGATGGGCACGGTGGTCAGGATGCAGGTGCTCGTGGTCACGAAGATGAGGGAGACGGCCGTTATGCTGATTAGGGAGGCGGGGAAGACGTTGATCCAACTTTCACTTTTGTGAGCTTTGGGAAGAGGGGGACTGGACTCGACTGGGTCTTTGGGATACATACAAACTTGACTCAGGGCTCGCGGTGATGCTGCTCGGGATCGGCGCCACCACTGTCAGGACCAACCCGGCCAGCAGCGTGTACTTCCCGTTCACGTACTCCAGCGCCTTGCCGGTGCCCATCGAGGCGACGAAGCCGATCGCCCCCATCGGGAGGAAGCGCAACGCCGTCTGGCCCGCAGACAGCTTGTCGACTTCCTGCGCCATGAGGACGATGTAGTAGATCACGTTCTGGTAGCTGCCGTAACAGGCTGTTTTCCGTTAGTGGATTAGAATTGAAGGGAAGGCCTATGAGGACATACTGAAGCCCGCGATCCACAGCCCCGCAAAGTTGGGAATCTTCCACAGCCCGAGCGGCATCAGCGGGTAGGCGATGAACTTCTGCAGCACGGTGAAGGCGACCAGCAGCCCGACCGCGAGGATCAGCAGCACGATGATGAACGGCTGGCTCCAGCCGTAGGTGCCGCCGCTCGACAGGACGAACTGCAGCAGGATCAGCCCCGCTGTCGACATCGACGCGCCCACGAAGTCCATCCGGGGCTTCTCCTTCGGCATGATGTCCCGGGGCAGCACCAGCGCCCCGAGGATGCACAGCGAGCCCGTGATGATCACGATGAAGTAGTAGATGTACCGCCACCCCAGCGATGAAGTCAGAAACCCCCCGAAGATGAGCCCGACGCAGAAGCCCACGGTTCCCGAGGAAGCGTAGATGGCCAGTCCGCGCGTGCGATCCACGCCCGTGAAATAGGCGCTGATGATCCCGATCGCGGACGGGACCGTCATGGCCGCGCCGATGCCCTGCAGGCCTCGGAAGATGGTGAGCGAGATGAAGGACCGGCCAAAGCCGATGGCCAAGGTCCACACGGACAGCCAGAATAGGCCAATGCACAGAATGTTCTTCCGGCCGTATCTGCACAACGAAGGTTAATTTCAAGGGGTGAATTGGGTTGCGACTGGGATGGGAGAGGAGTTACCGATCGGATAGGACCCCGGCAAGAAGCAGGAAGCCGCCAAACGTCAAGGTGTATGCGGAGATCATCCATTGCAGGTTGGTGCTGCTCACGTCAAAGTCCTTCTGGATCGAGGAGAGCGCGACGTTGGCGCTCGTCATGTACACATTGTCGAGGAACTGGGAGCCCGAGGTCACCAGCAGGATCAGCGCGCCTCGCCAGGAGGCCAGCCGACCGATCTCGGGACATTGCCCCAGCGGAGCGAGGCTCTTCTCTTCCGTCGGGGTTGCAAAGCCGGATGAAGTCTCACTGCTGGGCTGGGACGACCCTGGGCTGGAGAATACAGTGAAGTGAGGGCCCTTGGCCGATTCATTGACTGTTACCGGGGCCTCTTGGCCCTTGTTTCGAAAGACACGGTCAAAGATGGCCATGGTGAGTGTGTGTTTTGGGATGAAGAACAAAAGAGAAAGAGAGGGGTCGTCTCCTCTCCTGACAGGCAATAAATATATGCGCTAGCTAGAAAAGACAGACAAATAATAGAAAAAAAATTTCTGATTCTTGAGCAGCTTAAGTAAAAGAGTGGGTATCGCTCGACCGATATGTGTCCCGCCCATACTAGGTAGGGTTTCTCGCCATCCAGACTTGAGCTCAGTCGGCTGCCGCGCGGCCTGGGTATCGGAATTGCAGCAGCAAGATGGATTATCAGCTTGCTAAATTATGTGATCCCCTTCCTGACGGAACGATGATCGTCAAGGGGCTATTTGCATGATCCGTGAGTCGAGATGCATGCAGGTCCGCGCGGTTACTTCATTGGACATGTGCGACCGCACTGGGGTCGGTCACTTATATCAGTAGTAGGGCAAAGGCCCCCAGAGAGAGAGAGTCGGATTTACAGATGTTTGCTGAATTCGGAAGACTATTCATATTCGTCGTACCTTTTTTTTTTTTTTTTTTTTTTTTTTTTTTTTTTCTCTTTCGTCGTGCACTGCTATGAGCCTATTTGCTCCAGATGGCTACTCCGTACATGGTGGCTTCCTTAGTAGCCCTATGGTCGGAAAGTGTCTTATTCACCCTACAAAGCTCCATGCATTCATGCAGGAGTCACAAGGGGAATGGGGCCAGTCTGATTGGCGGCATGAAGCTTGTCCCTGCACCAAGCTACAGCTTGTTTCTATGATCCTCCCGCCCAAAATTCCAGAATGACAGTTATCAAGAAAAAGCGGTTGCTATTTTGACGGATGAGAAAGCTACCATTGCTCATCCAGGACCACTAACCAGGTACCAAATTGCCACGAAACTCAACCGATGGGGAGGAATCAAAGGGCAGCCCTGAGGGACCCGCTGGAATCCGCGGGATCCACGTGCAGTTCCAAGGTTCGGGTGGATCGCTTTTGACGCTGGCCCGTGCTTCTTGCCTTGCCTTCTCGCCTAAGGTTTTTTTTTTTCCCTTCCTGCCGAGAAGTACTTATCATGGTTGTGGCTGCTTGCTAGTCTGTTTTGAGTAATTTTCTCGAACCACACGCCGAGATTTCCAATCTGCGAGTTAACAAGGCCGACGCTGCGATGGTTTTTGCCGGTTGTTAATGACCCGCGATGCCATGTTGGCAAGAAAATTGATTGAATATTCTCTGCTTGATCAGGACATCAACAAGGAGAGCACCCCTTGGCCGCGTAATCATCCTGTCTTGACTTTCGGATGATCTTCGTCGATATTGCATGAAACATCCAAAAATTTGCAGCTGGACCGGCTGTTTAAGGGTCTGGGTGGGGCCAACCTTGATTTTCGGGTGGCCGTCTTGGCGCCCGCCCTTCCCTTCCTGTCACCATGTGAGCCCCGATTCACTTCAAGGGCAAGAATCAACAACTTCGGCACTGGCAGGTCTCATCTTTGAGCTCGATCATGACATCATCAATTTCAACCAGGTAGCTAGAATCTTGTTCGATGAACCCCTCACCCTCTGCTTGCCCCGAAGCTCGTCATCTGCTAACCACGGCTGATGACAACAGTCCTTATCGCGTTTCGAGATGGAATGCAAGGAGCGCGTCAGATCCCCCTCTCTCCCCCCGATACATTTCAACTCCGAATCACCATTGAGGAGCCAATTGCCGGTCGCCAGGTTTGCCAAAGAATCTGGAGTCGTGTCCTCCGCAGTATGGAGTAAATTACGCAATACCGCTTCGACGCACATGCTCTCCAGACGTTCGCCCAACGGCTCGGATCAAGCACCCCTGACTCTGGAGACGATCCTGTCACATGACGTAGATCATCTCCATCGGTCCGCAGCACCGGCAGCAAGAATGGCTGGGCGGCAGGGCGTAGGACTTCAGGGAAGGTGTTGCGAGCTCTGCGGATATATTATTACCGGTTGGCGCGCAAGGGGCGTGGACAGTTATTCAGCCACCAAACAGACACCCGCCCTGATTTGGACGATGGATCGAGGACTTTCTTTTGCTGATGATATCATTTGATGGGAAGGGAGGACGGAGATGCGATATCATATGTGGAAGGTGGAGCGTGCTGCAGTGACGTATCGTAATGAACTGGCTGGATCAAGCATATCCTGCTCGGGCTGTGTCTGGAGACGGTGACTAATGACTTGAGGGGAAGTAGCAGGTAGGCTTGCCGACCATGGAGCTGTGTAGCTTATGCGCGGCTGCATAAGCTCTGTGTACCTTGCATAGTTGTCGAGCACTGTGAGGAAGAAAAACGTATGCTTATCACCAGTATCGACTTGTGTGTTGCAGCATCGTGCGGAGCGTCTCCCGAGAAAATTAGAGTGCAAGCACGCATCTTGGACAAGAGTATCGGCTGTTGCTATTGACTTGTCCTTCCTGCACACCAACTGACTAAGTACTCGACGTCAGCAGCACCTATACAGACTCATTACCCGCGTAACAAGGCTTACCTGCTTCAAGAAGCCATTGGTCGTATCCAAGTGGGGACTGAAGTCCATAGCATGATGCAAGCCAGTCCACCTACGTCAATGGCGTTGTATCCTCTTCCTAGGTTGGTTTTCAGTTTGACCTACCATCTGTTGGTTCAAAATGCGGTTTAGATTACAACGAACTGCAACTTGCCCCATCATCTTCATCCACGGCAAGAACGATCTTATTTTCATGTCTCACGATCGGCAAGGTCATCAAGCACCTCCGCCTGTTTCCTGTCTTATGAGCAAAATGCGAGATGCGGACAAGCACAATGCAGTGGGAGTGTTGAGGCTTTAACAGTATCAACAACCATTGCTCGACTTGAGATTCATCTCACCGCGTCACCACATTGCAGCTTCGGGTGGCATGTACAAACCGATTTACCCGAAGCTCGACGACGGTATAACGACTGTCAATACTAAAGAAGCCATCGTTCCGAAATCTGGAATATTCTTGATGTCTATCAATCGCTAGTGTGGCTTGTCAAATCGCAACGAACGAACGTCGGCCGGATGCTAGTAACCCGAGATAGAAGACAGTATCCTGCTTCACACACACGGAAACATCACAAATCAAGTCGTGGTGGATCATGAGTATGAACGACCATGAAGTCTTTGAAAAATTTCAACCGGAAAGTGAGGACGACTACGTACATTCGCAAAAAGACACAACAAGCACGATAAGCAGAAAGCACATCAAAAGCAAACGCAACAGACCCGATAATACGAGAAGAACTCCAAAATGCACGCCCCGCCCCGTCCACCCCACCCGCCCCCGGGGCGCGCACCCTCCGACCTACCCGTTGCGCAACAACTCCAGAATCAACCTCAGCTGGAAGTTCTCCGCGCCAAACTTGCGCTCCAGCTCACAGATACTCTTCTCCATGTGACCGTACAAGATCCCCAGCGTGTCCTCCGTAAACTGCAGGCTTCCGTTTCGCTTCATCAGGTCCAGAATCGTCTCCTTCTGGGCGTGCGTCGCGGTGCCGCGGACGCGCCGCTGCATCCAGACGTTCCGGAGGACATGGTTATCTGGCATGGTTTGCAGGAGATGGATCAGTGGGAGGGAGAACTTTCCCTCTTCGAGATCTTCGCAAAAGCCCTTTTGCTTCGTGTACTGGTTTTGGTCGGTGTGGTTATAGAAACGGGGCTTTGGTTGGAAAGGGGAGATGGAGAATGGGCCCATACCTCTGCAGAGACCAGATTCTGGTAGTCGTCCCGGGTCTGAAAGTAACGTCCCAGGCGGTTGGAGAAGTCGATCATATCGACTTTGACGGGATTCGTCGAGTGTAGGGCCATGAGGCGACCGAAGAGCCGGACGAGACCGCCGGTTTCTTCATCATGGCGTTAGCCATGCGTTGCCCTCGGCTGGGAGATTCGGAACTCACTGTGTTCAACCATCCGAAAGTACTCATTGATAGAAGGACAAATAAGGTTACTGGTCCAATATAGGTCCATGGACTGGCCCACGTAGAGGTAGTGCAACTCCTCTTCAAGACAAGAAGTCAGCTGTGGCCAGGTGCCGTGAGGGAATCTGTGACCCATACCGGTGAATATGAGCAAGCTTTTTGAATCTCCTAGTTTCTGAATCTCTTGCAATGCGCGGATGAGCTGATAATTGGCCGAGTTTACCGTCTGACCGAGCCCGAAGATCATGTGGGTTGATGCCTTGCCCCGTCGAAGCTCCGATCCATCTTCCAAGTCGTCGAGCCTAGAAATAGTCAGACATGTGGCACTAGAGATATGGAGCGTGAAGAAAGAACAAACATCAAGGACGCATTGTGGAGAATTGTAATGATGGATTTGATGATGGCGAGTTTCTCGGCAGGGACACGGAACCAGACATTCAAGGCATCGATTGCATGCTCGCGAACTCCCTTGGATGGAAGACCCGTGATGTATTCGTACGGGGCTTGTAGAACATGTTTGATTGGGATATCCCTATTCAGCAAAATGCGAATTTATGGAGAAAAAGGTCAATGTCTCCTACCTTCGCGTCAAGATCTTGCCCTTTGAGGGTTGATTCTACCTCCTTGATGTCATGGCCTCCCTTTTTAAATGACTCCACTTTCATGTCGTGATCCCCAAGCTTGAAGCCGTTACGGCCCGAAAGGTGCTGCGTGATAACCGCGCTTAGGAGGCTTGTGTCGCCGTTGCTAAGCCCCTTAGTATTTCTTCCCGGGGTTGAAACATGCCGGCTGTTGTTCTCCTTGGCAGTACCATTTCCGTTGATAGTGCCATGACTTCCTATGCCAGTACCATTGCTGTTCGGCGCCGTATGATCTCCATTAACTGTGCGGTCGGGGATTTTCACCTCACTCTTATCCGTACCGGACGCACCACGCTCAGACGTCTGTGCCTTGGGAATACCATTCTTCATCCACTCGAGCTGGCGCTCGCTGAACGATGCGTCGGTGTAATATCTCGGGCTATGGAAGCTCCACACCACGTTCCCGCTCATGCTGTACAGGACCGACTCCAGATACCGTTTGGTATCCGGCGAGAGGTCGTCGCGGGCTTTGATATCCTCGAAGACTCGCAGGTAGTCGACGGTTGCCTTTTTTATTTCTTGACGACATCGTTCCTGGGCCTGGTCCTCGGAGATCCCATGTTCTTCCATGGCAACGAAGATGAAGTTGGTCACATAATCCTTTCCCAGGGCGGTGGCGCTCTGGCGTTCCTTGTCCCAGGAGACCAGATCGTTCACCAACGCCATGTGGAGGTATGCGGTGGTGGCAAGCTGATGACATTTCTCCAGTTCGTTCTCTGGGATGGTGATCGCTTGCGCGAAAGTGAGCAGACCATACCAGAACCTGAATCTCACAGATTAGTCCCAGTCTAGCATTGACCCCTCAACTAGGAATCCGAAAATGTCCGCGAAGGACAGAGAGAGAAAGAGAAACTGACAGCATCCCGACATCATGGACCCGGTATTTCAGGTACTCGTCTTCAGACTTGAACCGGTAGTCCTCCTGCCGACCGGCCTTGTCGAGGAAGGTCGGCCAAGCCTTCAGAGATGTGATTGCGCGGTCTTTGTCAATGCTCAGCATCCGTTTGGCAACGTACGCCTGCAACGCGCGCTTTCCAGATCCGGCATGCTTGATGGTTCCGGTGCTGATCACTTGATCGAATGCCGCTTTGAGATCGTTATTATGTTCGTCGCCCTGGCACTTCTTGTTAGTTTACTCGTGTTCCTCGTGTCTGCATGGAAGAGGGAAGGTTCATACGTATTTAGCAATATCGGTGACATCTGACTCCGCGAACCGCCGAAACTCGTTAGCCTACTAGTGGCAAACAACAGGAAGACATAGCCACAACATCAACACTCACCATCATGAAGAAACGCAAGCTCGTTTGCGTACGAGACAATCCCCAGTCTGTCTGGAAGGGCTTCAGGAATTGCAATGCTCATCCCGCTCCATGGGTGTCCCAGTCCACCCTTGTAGAGCCCCAGCGGTCCGACCTGCTCGCGCCAGTGCTCTTGGCATCTCAGACAACCGATTTCCTCGAGCTCGGTGTTCTTGTGGTATCGCACGGTGAGACCATCGCACAACCCTTGGGTTTGATAGGTGCTAGGATCTACCACCGTAGAGAATTTGAACTCCATGCTCCAGAAATGATAAAAGAGGCGAGGCAGTAGAGGAGAATGAGGGAGAAGTGGACGAGGAGAAAGTATCCAAATGTTGGGTGAGCGGGGTCAGTTTGGTTGAATTGACGAGATGTGTGCTGTGACATTGAGGGGATAGGGAGATGACAAGAGGAGGATGCTGCATTTAAATGTTCTGTCCTCTGAAACTGATCCTTCTTTCGGCATCGGGAATGCGATAAACTCCCCCGAGAGTGGCATCCTCTACCAGTGCGAGCTCAATGCCCCGGCGCAATGAGTACCCATACACATTCTTACTCGTGTCTTAGAGGAATTCGATCTGCGCTGCGACATGCATCTCTTGAGGGGTCGAATACAGTGACTCCGTGAGCTAAGTCGCAGGGCGATGACATCATAGTCTCTTATCGTCGCCCGCTTGTATAGAATTCGAACGGCATATTCCGGTGTTTGATAATGCAGCGCCAGCCGTAGCAGTTGTAATCCAAATTGATGGAACTGATTTGTGTTCACGGCTCCAGACGACCAGGTGAACTATTGGGGATCGGCGCTGACATGCAGCAACTGGGAGATATGTGAGCAGGAAATGCCGTCTGTTGTTTGTTATCTTCAGCTGTGAAGATGATGTTTGTTGGCCGGCTTGTCTTCAGCCTCGGGTATACTTGGCTGGGGCTGGCTGAGGTCTACTTCCATGATGAACGTGTCTTACCAAGGTACCGACTGTCTTGGTGGCCAATTGTAGAAGCGGCGCTTGCTGTACACGCTGTGATGATAGCAAACTACTTGCAGCATCATGCGTTATCATGCATTATCACGCAGGACCACAGACGGCAAACACATCGGGCCCTGGGACATACTACGTCTTATCGGCACGGAGCCCGGAATTTGCAATTCAACTAGAGTGACTCGTTTATGCTACAAGCATGTGGAGACACTGACTGCATTCCCATGACCATATGCAGGTGGACGGATGACCAAAGTTGCCCTCAAGACATAGTTGTAGTACTCATTGCCTCCTTCCGGACCCCAAGTCTTTTACCCTGAAGAATTCCTCCTGTGAAACTGTATAGGCATAAATCATACATTGGTGGGAGACTCATTCACCTTCGAGATTTCATTTACAATCCAAGCCTCAGAATCAACCACAAGATGACAAATCCAGTCACTTTCCAGACTCCCCACACGCTTTTCCTCAGTTTCTATAGCATGTATGGAGTATACGGGCTCATTCTCGCCGCGGCTGCTCTGTATGGCGTGACACTCGTTATCTATCGCCTGTACCTGCACCCGTTAGCTCGATTTCCCGGGCCGAAGATTGCTGCTGCGACCGGGTGGTATGAGTTCTACCACGATGTCATCAGAGGTGGAATGTATATCCATGAGATTCAGAGAATGCACAGAAAATACGGTGCGTGACCCAGGTTCCGGCTTCAATCGATATGTTCTAATCCTCTGGTCAAAGGCCCTATCATTCGCATCAATCCTTATGAAATCGTCATCAATGACCCTGACTACTATAACACTGTCTATGTCGCCTCCAACACACGTCGCTCGGAGAAGTGGTATACCCTCCAAGGGACAGGTCTCGAGGGTAGGGCATTCTTCGCCTTCCCCACAAAGCGTGCCCTACGAGAATGAGCATGACTGACGAGATTATAGGCGCCATGGGCATGACTATGGGACACGAATTGCACCGCCGCCGCCGCAAGCACTTCGACCCATTCTTCTCGCGTCTGGGCGTCACGTAGATTGAGGGGGTAATCCTGGATGAAATCCAGCTCCTCACCGATCGACTCGCAAGTTACCGGAAGTCAGGCCGGACAATCCAGATGGAACACGTGATGGCTGCGTTCACCGGTGACATTGTGACCAAGATCTGCTCGGAGAAGTCCCCTGACATGATCCGGCACCCGGAGTTCGGCAAGGAATGGTAGGCTTTATCAATCAATCCAAAACTGGGGACAAGATTTTACTCACTGCAGAATCGGCAGGTATGTCACGATCCACACCTACCAGCTCCAGGTGCACCTTTTCGTGCAGTTTCCTCATTTGATCGCGTGAGTATTCCGCCAAGTGGCCAATTTTGCTTCCTTTTTTTTTTTCTTTCTGCCTAACGCAATAGCCAGCCTCACGCAACTAATCCCGCGGGGACTCGTGATGCAATTTTCTCCGGGAGCCGCGGCGTTCAAGAGCCTGCATCAGGTAAATCGTTGCCTCTTTCCCTGCAGGCCCCGTGGTCTCCACTAAACACTAGACCTAGTACGCCTTCGACCACATCACCGAAGCCAAAAGGGACATGGTTCGAGCCGAAAAGGTGCAGCACGACGCCGGCCGCAGCTCTGTCTTCCGCCACGTGCTCTCCAGCGACATGCCCGAGGCGGAGCGCGAGACCGAGCGGCTGGCCCGCGAGGCACTGCAGCTGTTCGGCGCGGGTACGGCCACGTTGGTCCGCGCCTTCAGCATGATCTTCTACCATGTCCTGTCCAACCCGCCGATGCGCGCGCGGCTGCGGGACGAGCTGAAGGGAATCATGGCCGAGTATCCGGCCAAGAGGCCCACCTGGCAGGAACTGGAGCGGTTGCCGTATCTGCACGGGATTGTCCGAGAGGGGTTGAGGTACGTACAATCCCGAATGAACTCCTCTCTTTTCAGTCTCGATTGCAATCGCTGATACGAAGGAGCTTCCCGTGTCGTCTAGACTCAGTTATGGCGTCATGCGTCATCTCGCCCGCGTCTCGCCCGACCAGCCTCTGCAGTTCAGGGAGTGGACGATCCCCGCCGGCACCCCCGTGGGCATGTCCTCGCACAGCCTCCACTCCGACCCAGCGACATTCCCCGAGCCGGCCAGGTTCCTTCCCGAGCGGTGGATGAAGGGCAGACACCACCCCAGCATGAACCGGAACTGGGTTCCCTTCGCTCGCGGTTCGAGGATGTGTATTGGCATGAAGTAAGAGTTCTTTCCTTTGGACCTCCTTCTCAAGGGCTTCGGAAGCCCTGGCATCTAATCAGGATTTACTTTGGCTAACACGCACGGAAAATTAGTCTTGCCTTGGCTGAAATGTACTGGGTGCTGGCGGTGTTGTTTCGCCCGGGGGCGCCGCAGCTGGAGCTGTTCGAAACTGTCGAGGCGGATGTGGTTCCGGTGCGGGACTACGTGGGAGGAACCCCCGAGTTTGGGACTAAAGGGGTGAGGGTGAAAGTGGAGTAGGAGGTGTCGTGAAGGGGGGTGGGGGGAGAGGTGACATTGCGGTGTTGTTGGGGAGAGGAAGAAGGCAGATTGAATCATGTAGCTAATAGAGTATGTCTTGCGGCCTCAGCTACTTAGATGGAGACAGAAATTCAATTTCCTGACGCGGAGCAACTCATTGCTAAGACGAATCATCGTTTGTTTACCCCCATTCGGCTACTTTTTCTCATTCACTTTGGTGGCCAAAGCATGAACCACGTCAGCTACGACACTCATCTTGGATAGAAGAAGGAAAGATGTGAGAGAAAATCGCTGCTGCAGTGAAGTCCCATGGTGTTCTCCCGCAGACCCCGATGGATCCCGATTGACTTGTAGGATTGATGATTGCGGAATGCAAAGTATCTTTGATGGAATGCCCTCATGTAGTAGTTCCCTACTCTTGTCGCTGAGCGCGGTAATGCACCCGCCAGGATGATCCCGGAATTGAAGCTTCACCGCATGGGAACTATAGGACTCCGGAACTACGATCGCGAGCAAATGACAAAATTAGCAACGGTAGAGGACTAAACGCACCTGCATGAGGGTTTATGGAAGGAAAAGCGAGGCCCAGTCATTGGCTGGCAGAAAGGGTTACGGGGGCTCGAGGTAGGATTTTGAAAGATAAGGAAAATGAAAGTGAAGAACACAGACAAGGGGCATTAGAGAAGGGTTTGGTCGCGAAAAAACACTACTGGGGAAAAAGAAAGGATTTCTTCACGGAAAGCAAACAAAGCTGGGCAGCAAACACCAACGGCACTGGACGGGAATGGCAGTTGGACGACATGGTTGTCGGCACTTTTGAGGAAGTGGCGAATGCGACATGAAATTATTTTTCTGTGCAGAAAGAGGAACAATTCGACGAGAACGCAAACATCGAGACATAGCAAACATTGCAAGCATTGGCACGGCATGGATCTTGAGGGATTCCCGTAACCCGACGAGCATTTCAATTCCGGCTGACCTTGGCTGACGCTGGCTGACGCTGGCTGATTCTGGCTGATGTTGGCTGATGTTGGCTGATGTTGGCTGACGAGAGCCACACTGGACCTAGGGCTGGACAGACAAAGAATATTGCGGTGGATCACGTTACCCACCATGATAACCAAACCTCATGGTCCAACTACACAGTCAACAAACAGAGAAAGGGGCTCTTTTACAAGTGGAGTATAGGGCTGGATGTTAGGTCCTCTGCTCTTCTGCCCTTCAACTTACGACTTCTCTTCAACTACCCTGTCACTATACTTTGTTCTGCGCGATCACGTCCAGATCGGTGCCCTCAGCTTCGAACGCTCGCAGTTATGGCCGACGACCGTGAGGTCGAAAGTGGCCTCAGTTCTCACGTGGAGAAAAAGGCAGAAGAGGTTCATCAACTAGCCAGGCAGTTCACCGAGCAGAGCACTTTTTCGACTGCCGGACAGAACCCCTTTGCGGCCGAGGCCGGATCAGCCCTGGATCCTAACGGCAACAATTTCGATGCTTTATCATGGTGTAAGGCCATGCTCAATTTTCACACCGAGGATGGGCAGGCGCATCCACTGCGAACTCTGGGAATCGCCTTTAGCAATCTCAATGTGCACGGTTTTGGTTCCGACACAGATTACCAGAAAAGCGTTGGCAACGTCTGGTTCGAAGCGCTGGGACTGGCAAGACGAGCGCTCGGTACTCAGAGCCGGCGCAGAATCCAGATCTTACAGAACCTGGAGGGCGTCGTGGAGGCTGGCGAGATGCTGGTAGTTCTGGGCCCTCCTGGCTCAGGATGCTCGACCTTCTTGAAGACCATCGCTGGGGAGGCGGATGGTTTCCATATTGATAAGGCATCAAGTATCAACTATCAAGGTACGTTCAACTATCTCACAACAAAGTCGAGAATTCGTTACTGAATGCTGCTAGGTGTGAGCGCAAAGCAGATGGCCCACGAATTCCGAGGAGAAGCCATATATGCCGCCGAGGTCGACATCCACTTCCCCAAGCTCACGGTCGGAGATACCCTTTACTTTGCGGCGCGGGCCCGAGCACCACGGGACATTCCCGGCGGGGTGGATGTAGCCCAGTATGCCAGCCACAAGCGAGATGTGATAATGGCTATCCTTGGTATCAGTCACACTAAGAACACAATCGTTGGAAACGACTTCATCCGTGGTGTATCTGGTGGGGAGCGCAAGCGAGTTAGTATCGCCGAAGCTTGCCTGAGCAGTGCTCCCCTGCAATGTTGGGATAACTCCACCCGCGGCCTTGACAGCGCAAATGCCATTGAGTTTTGCAAGGCGCTGCGCATGCAAGCAGATATCAATGGTGCCACTGCCTGCGTCTCGCTATATCAAGCACCTCAAGCTGGTTACAACTATTTCGACAAGGTGTTGGTATTATACGAAGGTCGCCAGATCTACTTCGGTCGGACAGACACCGCGAAGCAGTACTTTTTGAACATGGGCTTTGCCTGCCCCGAGCGACAGACCGATGCAGACTTCTTGACATCTATGACTAGTCACCTCGAGCGTGTCGTGCAGCCAGGTTACGAAGGCCGCGTGCCTCGAACACCTGATGAATTCGCTGCACGATGGCAGGCCTCCCCACAGCGAGCACGGCTGCTGCAAGACATCGAAAACTATAACAGAAAGTTCATGCTGGATGGAGAGTTCCTCGCCAAATTTAAAAACTCTCGCCGAGCTCAACAGGCCCGGGTCCAGCGCGTCTCCTCACCTTACACCCTATCCTATGTCCAACAGGTGAATTTGTGCCTATGGCGCGGATACCAACGCTTGAAAGCCGATCCCAGTGTCACAATATCATCCTTGATTGGAAACGTTATTACTGCTCTTGTGATTGCCAGTATCTACTATGACCTCCAGCCCAACACCAGCACCTTTTTTCAGCGGGGTGCCCTTCTATTTTTTGCCTGTCTCATTAATGCCCTTGGTTGCGGCTTGGAAATGCTGACTCTATATGCGCAACGAGGGATTGTGGAGAAGCACTCGCGATATGCTCTGTACCACCCATCTGCCGAAGCAATCTCCTCAATGGTCATGGACTTGCCGTACAAGGTTCTGAACGCTATACTGTCAAATACAGTTCTCTACTTCATGACCAACTTGAGGCGAGAACCTGGGGCTTTCTTCTTCTTTATCTTCACTTCATTCATCCTGACGCTGACGATGTCGATGTTCTTCCGGTCTATGGCGTCGTTGACGAGATCTCTTGTTCAAGCATTGCCCTTTTGTGCGGTTGTCCTTCTCGGTCTTTATTCTTATACTGGGTTCGCGATTCCGACCGGGTATATGCTCGGGTGGGCGCGTTGGATTGCGTATATCAATCCTATCAACTATGGCTTCGAGTCTCTCCTGATCAATGAGTTTCATAACCGTGACTTTCAGTGTATATCCTATGTTCCATCGGGCCCCAGCTACATGGTTCTTCAATCTGAGAATCATGTCTGCGCTACCGTCGGATCGGTGCCCGGTCAAGCATTTGTGTCTGGTGATGCCTACATCCAATCAGCATATGACTACAACGTCTCACACAAGTGGAGAAATATTGGGATCATACTCGCCTTCATGGTCGTTCTTGGGGCCATCTATCTGGTCGCCACTGACTATATTACTGAAAAGAAATCTAAGGGCGAGATCCTGGTGTTTCCCCGCGGACATGGGGCACTCAAGAGCGGTAAGCCTGACGATTTCGAAGAGGGCAGTGACCGCAGTGCTTTTCAAGAGAAGTCTAAGTCCGACCTCAATGACCTTGTGATGATCGAAAGCCAAACTGCAATCTTCCAGTGGAAGGATGTTTGTTTCGATATCAAGATCGGGAAGGAGAATCGCAGGATTCTTGACCACGTTGACGGATGGGTCAAGCCAGGGACCTTAACTGCTCTGATGGGAGTCTCTGGGGCTGGGAAGACGACACTGCTGGATGTTTTAGCTACACGTACCACGTTGGGTGTGATCAGTGGAGAAATGCTTGTCGACGGTAAACCGCGGGATGAATCTTTTCAACGCAAGACTGGCTATGCCCAGCAACAGGATCTGCATTTAAGCACTGCCACGGTGCGCGAGGCGCTGGAGTTCTCCGCTCTTCTTCGCCAACCTGCGCATGTTCCTCGCCGAGAAAAGATCAATTATGCGACCGAAGTCATTAAGCTTCTTGATATGACAGACTATGCTGACGCTGTTATCGGCGTCCCGGGAGAAGGCCTCAATGTTGAGCAACAGAAACGTCTCACAATCGGCGTAGAGCTTGCGGCGCGACCGGCCCTGCTTCTTTTCTTGGATGAGCCCACGTCGGGGCTCGATTCCCAGACATCCTGGGCTATCCTTGATCTCCTCAATAAACTGAAGAACAACGGCCAAGGGATTTGTAAGTTTGGAGATTCCTGCATCCATCAATCTTCACTAACTCTATCCCAGTGTGTACCATCCACCAGCCGTCTGCTATGCTGTTCCAACGCTTTGACTGTCTCCTGTTCCTCCAAGCCGGTGGCCAGACCGTATACTTCGGAGACATTGGCCAGAACTCGCAGATTCTGATTGATTACTTTGTGCGCAACGGGGGCCCTCTCTGTCCCTCAGCAGCGAATCCCGCGGAATGGATGCTTGATGTGATCGGTGCCGCTCCTGGCTCCCACACGGACATCGATTGGTTCGAGACATGGCGCAATTCCCCTGAATACGCACAAGTTCAAGCGCACCTCAGCTCACTGAAGCTCGAACGCTCCCAGCAAAGCCCACTAGCCCGCGTCGGCTCCAGCATCGAGCGCGAGGACCGAGCCAGCTATCGCGAATTTGCTGCCCCTTTCTGCACTCAGCTCCGCGAAGTGCAGATCCGAATCTTCCAGCAGTTCTGGCGCTCGCCCATCTACATCTACTCCAAGGCAATTCTCTGCGTCTTGCCCGCTCTCTTCGTCGGCTTCTCGCTCTTCAACACCCCCAACACAATCCAGGGCTTGCAGAACCAAATGTTTAGTATCTTCCTGCTACTCATCCAGTTCGGGCAGCTTATCCAACAGATCATGCCGCATTTCGTCACGCAGCGGGCACTATACGAAGTGCGCGAGCGGCCGTCGAAGACCTACTCGTGGAAGGTCTTCATGCTCAGCAACATCGGCGTGGAACTGTTCTGGAACTCGCTCATGTCCGTCCTCATGTTCCTGTGCTGGTACTACCCGATCGGGATGTACCGTAACGCGGAACCCACCGACACCGTGCACCTGCGGGGCGCGCAGATGTGGCTGCTGATCTGGACCTTCCTACTCTTCTCGTCGACCTTCGCCCACTTCATGATCGCGGCGCTCGACGCCGCGGAGAACGCCGGCAACCTGGGCAGCTTTCTCCTGCTACTCTGCCTGCTCTTCTGCGGGGTGCTTGCGACCCCCGCCCAGCTGCCCGGGTTCTGGATCTTCATGTACCGCGTCTCCCCGTTCACCTACCTGGTGAGCGGGATGCTGTCCGTGGGCATCGCGGACACGACCGTCACCTGCGCCGCCAACGAATACCTGCGCTTCGACCCCGTCAACGCCACCTGCGGCCAATACCTGGCGCCGTACATCGCGCAGGCGGGCGGGTATCTGCTGGAGGAGGCCGCGACGGCGAACTGCCGGTTCTGCCCCGTCGCGGACACGAATGCGTATCTGCGCGGGGTCGGGGCGAGCTACGCGGACGTCTGGCGGAACTTCGGGCTCATGTGGGTGTTCATCGTCACGAATATTGTGGCTGCATGTCTGCTGTACTGGTGGACCAGGGTGCCGAGGGTGAAGAAGCCTGTTGTGGCTGGCTCTTGAACCCGTTGCAGTCGTCATGGTGGAGTTGTTGTGCTTTGCTTCGGCTCGTTACTTGTATCAATATCGTCTGGGTAGAATCGGGACTTTTCATAGCGTTGTTGTATCAGTGCTCATAGTAGGAACAGGACTAATTCTAGAGATAGCATTTCAAAAGTAGTTTTTTTGTCTTGATAGAGAATATATACACTACTCCCCGGCCCAGATCCGTGATTACTTTCATACATGCAATGAAAGGTGGTGTAACTGTTGCGCAACCGGGGTGACTGCTTACCCTTCGCTGAAGCGCACTTGCCCTAAACTCACGTCCAGCTGTGCAGTAAAAAAGCAGCCTTATCTACGAGCTTACCCGCGCTACACTTGGCACACCAGGATTCAAGATACAAGGACGACGTCAGGGGTCCGGTTATAGCTTACAGTATCCAAGGTAGGCAGGGCAATTGTGCAATGATCTGTATAGCATGAATCATGGCATATTCTGCTGCTTTTGTTCCGGCTGAGAATAAGGAGTGTCTTGAATAACCAACACAGCCTTCTCCTAAATCTTTATAACCATTGATAGTAGCCATTGCTTGTGGCCCTGCGGGAGGAGGGCTACTACCATGGAGAGGGCCGAACAAATATGCACTGGTGTTCGTAGGTTATTATAAAAGCCGATTAGTGTGACTAGCAATAGTGAGCACGCCAGTATCATGATAGGATAGAATAGGTGTTCGTGGCGCCGCTCAGCTCAGGGCTGTTTGAGACCGACACCTGCGAGGGGGTATGTGGTAAGCGGCCAATCACCCAAGGTTCTCATAAATCCGCGGCGTTTGTGGTTTGTGCTTATAAGGTTGCAGCGGATGTGGAGTACGGAATTGAGGTGCGGCACAATGTGCGCTGTCAGCGTGGGGCCCAAATAAAAATCCAGGAGTCGAGTCTTAGTATCCGTTTTGATTCCTTGACCAAGCTTTTGCCCCTGATGCTAATAATTCTACTAGTAAATCCTGTTTCCGGGGCTTCCCGAAGGTCTGCGAATGTTCTGCCACAACGGTCTCTATTACTCCCGGAGGCGCCCCTCCCGCTTTTGTTTTTCCCTGGGGTTGTGCTAAACATTTTCTGTACAGATCTCATTCAAAGATTCTGTTTAGAATTCTGTCTAGTAATTCATCCAGCAAATCTACTGATAATACCGTCAGTTGTATACGGGGCCTAAGGGGGTTCTTTTTGGGGTTCTTTGGGGCCCTTGAGGACTTGGGAGGGCACTAGGTGGGGTTGCTGGTAGGAATTCAAGCGTTAGGGCAAGAGCAAAGACAAAGCAATTACCGACAGATGGCTCGTTTGTTTAATCTCCGCTCTAGTCCCAACTATCAGGAGTGCTGGGATCTACTTTCGACGTGAAGCGAAACGATTGCAGTTTGAGCGGCAAGTGGTGATCGAAATCTCTGACGCATCGAACTAGCCGATGGTTCTCGCCATAGGATCCCAAGCCCTGTCAACCTGCTTACAGAATTATATGACTGGCTACTGCTATTACCTGTGGAAGTTTAGCTTATGGCATTAGTGGGTCTAGAGTGCGGCAGTGCCGCTAATATAGGTTAGTAGCAAGGTACGATGACCGAAAAGAAAGTTACTGTTAAGGCTGTGGACCGTGGACCCGCTCCACCTCAAGGCACAATCTCCTAAGCACAGACAACCGATCCGTGTCAAACTGCTGGATTCACAACCCACAACCTGTTCACTCCGTAGTCTGTGCTGGATCGGCCGGGAGGAGCCCCGAGTACCCATCGGTTAGATGCATGGGGCCAAAAGGCGTATTATTAAAGTCCACAGGAGTAAAATTCATGGGGTCAAGTAAAGGCCGTGATTGTTGGGAGCGGCAGGATAGTCTAGGCGTTAGCATAAGGCTGGGATTCTGGGAATGCATGTGACTGTGTGAACATAAGGCTGACAACAACTAAACAAGACTTTCAGTGGATTAATTGAAAGGTCTTGTAAGCTTACTTTCGGGCGGCACAACTCCCAATTTTCATTAGCTCACAAATGAACAAAGATTCCAATATTACAAGGCTCTAACTGCCACCCGATAAGCAAAGCTTTTCCAATAGAATGCCTGCAATCAGCATCAACATCTCGCCGCCGGTATTTCAGGTCACCTTCACACTGATAACAAGTTATCACGTCATTAGCCTTGTAAGTCTTTGTATTACAACCTAAAGTCCTATACTCTCAAGGCGAAAATGAGCTTTTTTGGAGGGACTTTTGAGGTCTTTTTTCATTATTCCTCTAACGTCCCTTTTCCCTAAGTTATAAGTACTCTGCGGTTAAGCCTACCTATACTATAATACAGTCCTCTATTCTCGCGTTTCGAGGTTATCCTCTAGTACTGATATGGTAATATATCTATAGTAAAGCCTGCAATCATTACTTTCAGACTTCGGTTTCATGTTACGTAACTAGCGGTTAAATCTTATAAGTTAGTGGGGCAGAAGCCGATGATTTGAAATGGAAACGTACCATAGAAGCTGTAGACATGCTAAATTGCATTGAGAGGCCGGCCGATCTAGTACTTTTGGGCGGGGTAGAGCTGAAATTTGTGGGGCTGATTATAGTGTTTCTAAGTAGTATCCTGTTAGGCGATGGTATTGATAAAATCTATTTCTCTATTCACTGTTATGATACTAGCATGTCATTTAGTGCTTATCTATGAATCCCCCGTCTCCAAGTATTCCTTTGCTTTTCAAAGAGCTACTACTTGCTAGGCTCGCGGTTCTTTTCTTTCCGTACTCTCGTCCAATCTTTGTCTAAGTCTGCACACAGTTCAGAATGGCTACTGCATATGACTTTGTCGTTGTTGGCGGCGGTACAGCTGGCCTGGTGGTTGCTTCTCGACTCAGCGAGGACCCCAGCATATCTGTCCTGGTTCTTGAAGCAGGCGCCGACATGACAGCCGATCCGCGCGTGAACATCCCCGTCTTTTATGCCGCACTCCTTGGATCTGATGCTGATTGGAAATTCCAATCTTCCCCTCAGGTAAGAAAAGTTTCTGTCTCCATAAAAGGGGTGTGTGGGGGCTTATCTATTATTTTTACAGCCGGGCCTCAATGGCAGAGTGCTTGGTCTGAACCAGGGCAAAGCACTTGGAGGATCCAGTTCCCTAAATGCACACGTGTTTGTTCCTCCTTTCAAGGGAGCTGTTGACGCATGGGAGGAACTCGGTAACCCTGGATGGAATTGGGCTATGTTAAAGGACTATTTCGCCAAGGCCTATACCAATCCGACTGTAGCACAGGGTGCTAGAGGAAATCTGGCAATTGAGGAGTGGCCTGGAATGAACGAAACGAAAGGTCCAATCCAAGCATCTTTCGGTAACGAAACACACCCTATTCGCAGGGCATGGGCCGATCTGTTCCGCAGCAGTGGGCAATGCAATGCCGGTGATCCGTTCATCCACAGCTCTGTGGGCTCATTCAGTTGCCTTGCTAGTATTGACTCGCAGGGTAAGAGAAGCAACTCTGCCTCGGCTTATTATAAGCCTGCTGAGCTTCGACAAAATATTGATATTCTCACGAACTCACTTGTTGAGAGAGTTCTGTTTGATGAAAGCAAGCCTCCCAGAGCCATTGGAGTCCAATACAAACTCGATGGTGTCTCAAAGACTGTGCAGGCAAAGAGTGAAGTTATACTTGCTGCTGGTGCTTTTCAATCTCCTAAAATCCTCCAACTCTCAGGAGTTGGTAAAGCAGAACTTCTTGCGCAGCATGGCATCGTTGTAGTCATGGACCTTCCTGGAGTTGGGCAGAATCTTCAGGGTATGTGAGCAGCTTCCACGCACTAAATAACTTGAAACCATCTCTCTTTTTGTTGCATGCACGCTTTGGGATGAGAACTAACATCTACTATTTCTAGATCATATGATATCGTACACCGCATTCCAAGCAAAGCCTGAACTTGAGACCAAGGACTCTCTGGTCAGACAAGAGCCTGAAGCCATTGGTCAAGCAATGCAGGAATACGCCACCACGCACTCTGGGCCCCTAGCTTCACTCGGAGTTCATACATACGCCTATTTGCCTCTTCCCGAACCGGACCAAAAAGCTCTTCAGGTATTAATTACGAACGACGTCCCTGAGAACTCACAGCACAGGGCGACACAAGCCTATTATGACATCGCCAAGGTCACTCTTCTTGATCCCAAGCAACCATCGGCTGCGTACCTGTCCGCATTAGGGCAGACAAATTATTCCAAAGACCTCAAGGACGGGACTATTCCAGCCGCTTCGCCTGGAAAGTTCGTCACGCTTGGAGTAATGCTCTCCCAACCGCTTTCCCGTGGAAGCGTTCAGATGTAAGTGATTTTCTTTTCCTGCTCTCTTCCCCCCTGCTAGAGTTTGGGAGGCATTCTTTACTCCTGATTCTTCAAGTTTTACATGTCACCTTTCCATACCTCCCAGCCTCTCCACAAGCCGTATATCCATCAAATCTGACGAAAAGAACCCAAGTACCTGCAACAACCCTGAAACGCCTCCAATCATTGATCCTGGCTACCTGTCGAATCCTCTCGATCTAGAAGTCATGGCACGGCACTTGCTCTGCATCAAGAAATTGGCCCAGTCACCCCAGCTCGGGGAGCTGCTCGAACAGCCACTGAAGTTCCGAGATCCCGATGCAGACTTCCAGGGAAACTTGGATGCCGCAAAGAAGTATGCTCGGGACAATCTAGTCTCCATGTGGCACTTTGCGGGGACCTGTTCCATGCTGCCGCGCGAGAAGGACGGCGTGGTGGATTCCCATTTGAAGGTCCATGGGATCGACGGCCTGAGGGTTGTGGATGCGAGTGCTATCCCGCTTATAAGCACGGCGAATCTGCAAGCCACGGTGTACGCATTCGCGGAAAGAGCAGCCGATCTCATCAAGCAAGACCGAAAGAGCCAGTAAACCAGACGTGAGAGTATGTCGACACTTACCACTGACTTCTTAGTATGGCGAGGTGTTGTATTAATTCTGGGGCCGCTGCAGTGTCCTGGAGGCCGCCACAGTCACAGCAGAGTCCCTTATGTTTTAGCTGTTTTATCAGCTGTTAGAGACAAGCATCTCGAGACTTTTAGTTAGGTTATACCAGCAAGCAAGAGTGCCCCAACCAAGCACGTACAACAATTGAAACAAATCCTCAACCGGATTCCATAACAAGCTGCGAATTCCTCGTGTTGTACTCCGCTATTGTTAAATTTTTCATCGCTTTTGAAATCAAGCACAAGGATACGTAGTCGAGGGACGGAGGGAAACAAAATGTGGACCGACGCTAGTCCCGGTCTGGTGAGCGGGAACGATGGCGGGGCGGGGCCCAGCCAGACCCACTGATAACGTGAGTAGTACCTGGTATCGCATGGTAAGGGCCAGTATAAAAGGAAGCGGCCATGTCCCCAATCGCCCTTTTCACAGCGAAGTCATGTTGACTACCCAGTCCCTTTAATGAGCCTAGATGTAACGAGACCACGCGATGACCAGCATCGACTTGTCACCCATTCCCGTTCCGCCCCCCACCCTCCTTCAACAAATCCGCACCTCCAAGCTCCGCCCTTTTGGTCCCGTTCTCTCCGGGATCGACAAGCAACCCCACCGTGGTCAACTCTACGTCTCGAGGATTGGCCTGGAGGATGACGAGCATGATCTGACCTTCCACGGGGGTATCGACAAAGCCGTCCACCAGTACTGCGTGGATCACTACGCCTACTGGGCAGACAGGTTCCCCGCGCGCGACGTGCGCGCGCGCTTCGTGCCCGGGGGCTTCGGCGAGAACCTCGTCGCGGAGGGTTGGGATGAGCGCACCGTGTGTATTGGGGACCGGGTGCGCATTGGCCCTCCGGGCTCGTCGTGTACTGGGGGACGCAATGGCTGCCTTCTGGAGGTCAGTCTGCCGCGCCAGCCGTGCTTCAAGCTGAATCAGCGCTTCGGGATCAAGAACTTCGCGCCGCGCACGCACCAGGAGGCCAAGACCGGATGGTACTACCGGGTCCTGGAGGAAGGATGGATCGAAGAAGGAATGGAGATCCGGATCATTCGGCGGAGCCACCCGCGGTGGTCGATCGCCCGGCTGCACCACTACGTGCACCGGGACAAGACGGACATGCTGGTGACACAGGAGCTCATGGCCATCGAGGTGATCGGCGACGAGTGCAGGGACGTGTTCATCGACCGCTGGCGAACCCAGCAGGCGAAGGAGGCGGCGGCCCGGCGTCCGCCGGAACCATGGAGAAAGTTCCGGGTCGCCAGCCATACTGCGGAAACGCCCCGCATCGTCCGCCTGGAGCTGGAAGCAGTATCCCCGAGGTCCCCGAGGTCTGACCCCTCCGCCATCCTGCCCGGCAGCCAGGCCCTGATCAAGCTTCCGAACGGGGTGCGCCGCCCCTACTCCATCGTCCACGGCCACATGGATTCCTTTGTGCTGGGCGTGGCCCTCGACGCAAGCAGCCGCGGCGGATCCAGCTATATCCACCAGTCTCTTCGACGCGGGGACACAGTCGAGGTGGCGGAGATCACCCACGGCTTGCCCATCGACAAGATGGCCTCGCATCATATCTTCATCGCCGGCGGCATTGGCATCACCGCCCTCCTGGCCATGATGAAACGGCTTCACGACACCAACCAGGACTACCATTTGCATTATGCTGTCCGCACGGCCACGGACGTCGCCTTCGCCGCCCTGCTGGCCGACCTCGAGCCCCGGGTCACCGTGTACGACAAATCCCAGGGCCAACGCGTGGACATTGCCGCCATTCTGCGCCAACGGATCTGGAACAGCCACGTCTACGTGTGTGGGCCCCAGCGCATGATCGATGCCGTGGTTCAGACGGCCGCGGCGGTTGACATGGCCCCGGAGGAGGTGCACTATGAGCTCTTCCAAGGGGATACCACCCCCGGCGACCCCTTTACCGTGCAGGTCATCTCGCCCGACCGGACGGCGGAGCTGCAGGTTGGTGCCGAGCAGTCGCTACTCGAGGTCGTGCGAGACGCGGGGTTCGAGATCGGTGGTTCCTGTGAGGTCGGCAGCTGTGGCGCTTGCAGGATCCCCGTCCGCTGCGGACGGGTGCAGCACCGAGGCACCGCCTTGACGGAATCGGAACAGCGGTCCGAGATGTTGGCGTGTGTTTCGCGCGGCATCGGCCACATTGTCGTTGAGGTCAGCGATGAATGAGGGAGCCAGCAATGATTCTCACGTGAAAATCAAGTCAAGAGCGGAACCGGGGGCGCTCTGGTGTTTGATGGGGCGCATGGAGCGGGAGACGATTCACAATCATCTCTCCCTCTGCTTTCCCCTGTAAGCCTTAAGATTTTGACTGTAAACCAAAATCTTACTGGGTTAGTGCACAGTCAAATAGGTCAATGACAGATGTAATTTAAGAGTTTTTGAAAACAAAAGTTAATACATTATCTGAATTCAACATAAAAAAATTAATATAAGAATAACTATTATGTAATATCGCTCTTTCTTCGATAGATGTAATTCTTTATGAAAGCTACTCTGATCTTAGCCAACTACAAGAGATACGGATCATAGTCTATATCTATTCTACTTGGGAGGAAGAGGGAGATTGTGATTACTGAAGAGCACCGGTACGCGTGCGGATTGACAAAAAGGTTTATTAGGGGTTGATGACAGTGCGCCACCTTCTCCTCACAAAGTACTACTACATATATGATCTCAACTATGTCCCACAATTCCTGCAATGATCCGAAAGAAAAGGAGTCGGAGCGAGAAATAAAAAAGAAAAACATACAACAGAAGGGATTCGCTGGTGGTCACCCACCCAACTACTAACCTCCCGGCGTGTGGCTTAAGTACGGCTGAGCGGACGGGAAGCCCTGTTTTCCACACCCTGTGGTCGTATGTATTAACTTCAAGAAGAGAAAGAATTATATTCAGTGAATGTGAGAGGGGAAGAGTCAGGAATCTGCGGAATAACTCTGTTTTCGAGGCAATCGGTCGGTCGTCCCAGGGCTCGCCCCCACCCCGCCAACGGAAATTTTCTTGAATGATGAAGTTTTTAGGCAACTGGTTCTATCCAACTACTGCCCTCGGCTCTGGGTCAAACAAAAATATGCGTATCCGGTGGGTAAAGGTCCTGACTTAATCGTAAGATAAGGAATTTGGGCGCCGGTGCGATGGCGTCTCTTACATCTCAACCTAAAATCTGACCCCGCAGATGAGAAAATCGACAAGACACAATGCACGTCACACAATAAAACTATTACAGTAGTAGTGGAACGACTGGTGAATGATATCGGTCCCTGCAAACTAAGAAGCGCATCTCTAAAATGTCTATTGTGTGAACGGAAGCATATGCAGATTGTGGGTCGGAATTATATATCTCTTGTCACATAGTGCTCATATAATAGATACCTTCCAGGCTGACTATATGCTATAGGGCTTTCAGTGAGAGATTGTCTTTATTCCTGGGTATGAATACTGCTGCTCTTATACCACTTGGGTTACCCTGATAAATCTTTGCCTACCCACAAGCTGCAACTACGTCCCGCAGGATGGTAGTGCCTGTTTTTGGTATCTTGCTGCTGGTATACATCTCTGGGGTCAACAGTCCTACTGTCAGGCTTAAATCAGGCTTCAAGAGACTGTTCCATGTGGTTTTGATCTAATTCAAGCCGATGTTCACTTGCTTGTAGATACGAGGTGCTGTAGCGAGTTAGGGTTACCTGTGCCCAGAGAAAGCCACGGGCGCTGGTACGGAAAGTAAGGTTTTCTCATCCTCACTATTCCGACTCGCCAGCAAGACCAGTCACCGGCATCGTATGCACAAACTACGACTAAACAACACAAGGCAACCTTTATGCAGTAAGGACTGTGCCATTGAAAGAGAAAAAACTCGCGACTCTGCAGAGCAAAAGACATAATGCGACAAAACATAAGACTGTCATTGAAACAAGGGCCAAGAATAACACTCGGACACGACCGATCGCAACTCAAATAAAACAAAGCCCCCTTGCAAACACCTCATCCATCTCCTCTACCAGACCTTTACCCATCATATTGCCCGCTCAGCGGCATCAAACCACCCATGCGCAGCCTCTAAAAGTCCTTAAGGTAGTCACCGATGAAGTGCTTGAGGATATCCTCGACCTTGGAGACGTCGGAGTATCCGAGGCTGATGACGAAGTCGGCGCCCTTGGAGCCGAGGGAGGTCAGGGTGTTTTCCATGAAGCGGTGCTGTGAGTGGGTGAGCATGTGTGGAGAGCAGAGGCCTGCTTCTTGGGACAAGGCCGAGGTTAAGTGGCACTCACCTGATAGGGCTTGTTGGACTTGTCGTGGTAGACCAGGAAGCGGTTGGTCTGGTCCTTCTTCTGACCGTACTGGAACTCGTCGCTGACGATGACGGTGAGGTCGTCGCCGTCGACCTTGCGCGACTTCAGCTGCTCGAGCTTGCTGGCCTGCACGAAGATGACGCCCTGGTCGCCGGCTGGAGGGACAGAGGAATAGTCAGTCACGTGCTTTGGGTGGCATGGAGCAATGGGTTGGGACCGGGTTCAAGATTGAGACATACGGTTGGTCTTGTTGGTCCACTTGCAGATCCAGTAGTCCTCGTGGCGGTCGCGGAAGGTCTGCTGCCACCGGACGGTGACCTTCTTGCCCTCCGCGCCGCCGAGGAACCGAGTGGGGATGGTGATGGTGTTTCCCTTAGAGACAGGCATGATGAAGATGTTAGGATTGTGGTAGACAACGGTGTCTGAAGAGTGTAGAAGTGGGTAGTTGAGAAGTGAGTTAGAAGTTGCTGCTGTTGATGAAAAGCTATCTCAGTGCCGGGGGAGTTCCCCATTTTATAGACCCAGCATACTGCTGATTGAGAGGATCGCGTGCTGGGCAGTCGGCGATGCCGAATCGCACCGTGCGTTCTTCGTCGTCAACGTGGAGCTGCAGGCAAGTCAATCCGAAAAATTTGGTCTGGAAGGGAGATGGAGATAGCGGGCGCAGCTGAGGTTCAGCCGCAGCTCAGCTGCCCAGCGTCGTGAAGCTATTGCGGGGACTGCAGACAAGGAGTGTATAGACGAGATGGGATCTTGGATGGAGGATCGGTGGTTACTGCCCGGGCCGGTGCCAAGCGTCGGGGGGCGAACCCCAGCGATCGGAAGCAATCTCAAGCGAGCAGCACCCCGGACACCTTACCCTAACCGGGGCACCGCCGCGCGAACTGGTGATCCACTTTTCCGGCCGGACGATCGAGACGAGGTTTCCCCCGATAGAAGACTGTACCGCCACTGTGGCTGGTCATATGGACGGCCATTCTTCAGGCAAGCCCCCAAGCCAGAAGCGGTCACACATGCCGACACTCCCACAATCGACTGTGCTATTCGTCGGGACCTGCCTCGGACCTGACTTGCCTCCCTGGGGGGTACAGCTGCAGGAACCATTGGGGTAGAAAGTGCCGACTCGCGCCTTGGCGCTGGCCAAGGGTCAGCTGCACGGATCTAGCGTCGGTGCATGCAGTGATGCACCAACATGCGTGGATATTGGGACGAGCCCATGTGGTCGTGCTCTTACTGAGAAAGCCGATGTTCACACCTGCAAATTAATTGTTTCGCCCCTCGAGCGTCGGTGCTGTTTAGTGAAACGCGTCCGGCAAGCAAACACCCTCCGATTCCCCTTAGCGAGACAGAACTTGCAGCAGGACGGAGGCATTCGGCCGATGTCGCCGTGTTATAAACCACAGCACCAACCTGACCAGAATTCACGGCAGACTGAGAAGTCCTCGAGCCCCAGGCAAGCCCCGACAGCGTGATGGCGGGAGACGATATCTGGCAGGATGACATCTTCACATCCGTGGCTCGTGACCGATCCAACCCTACCTCCCGCTCTTCTTCGACCGTATCCCCCGCCGACCAGGCGACCCCTTTCTTCCAGTCCGTCGGCGACGTCAGTCTCAGCGACGCTCACCTCGCCGCGGCCGGAGACGAGGGCGAGCCCAAATTCACCGGCTGGGTCGGGTTCTGGTCGGATCCTCTCTTTGAGAATGTCGCCGGTCGGCGCGAACGCGCCGCAGGGCAGCAGGATCGTGAATTTTGGAAATCCGAGTTGGACGAGGCGATCCCGCTGTCGAGCCTCTTTCCTTCCCTCGACTCTGATGCGTGGAGCGAGCTGCGTTTCCGCAAGTCGGCCATTGAGTTCTGGTCACGGCCAATTGGGACGGAGCCTGCCGGGCTCTACCTGCGCACCGAGATTGAACTCAATGGAGCGCTCGACGGCGTGTTCCAGGTCTTCCGGACGGTTCTTGGGGAGGCGGTGCAGCCCGTCCTGCGGCTGTCGGCCTATCTCGGGCTGACCATGGAGCAGGACCAGACCATGGCTATCGACGGGGTCTCTCTGTCCGGCAGCTTGATCGGATTGCGGACGCCCATGCCCCCGGTATTGGAGCTGGTCACTATTCTGTCGGTCGGCTTGCGCCTTAACGTGGGCAGCACGGCTAATCTGGTCGGAGAGAGTAGCGCGGTGCAGGCCGGCGTCTTTGGCGATCTGCAGATCCAGTTACCGGGCCTGACGGGGTCGTTGCAATTAGAGTATGAAGCGGACCTCTCTGACGAATGGCTGGAGCTCAGCATGACCATCCCGGGCAACAAGAAATGGGAGAACGCGCTGGGAGCGGACTCGTTTCATGTGAGATGACACCATCATCTGCCCCCTGCGAGAGCTTTTAAAGCTAATACCCACCAGCTGGACGAGGTCCGATTTCTCGCCAAAATCCCGCTTGACACACCTGCCTCCGCAGACACAACCACCTCCCGGGATATCAGCTCCGATGCTGTCGCTCTCCCCAATCTACAGCCACTGCTTTCCGTTGCCGCGACGGCCAGATGGAAAGGCTCCAACGGGGCTGACATTAGCCTGACAGGACTGATCGTCAAAGGACGACCTGGTGAGTTCATATCAATAGAAACCTTATCCACAAAAGTTAACATATAGTCAGATCTCTCGTTCCTGGAAGGACACATGGAAAAGGTCACCTGGTCCGACATCAAGCGTCTCTTCAGCGATGTGCACGGCCGGGATCTCGACGACACCGAGCATGAGATTACCTGCGAGAATCTCACGGTCCGCATCTCGCAGGCCCAATTCCTGCTTCAAGGATCCTTGACGATCAACGGTCGACCGCTGGCCAAGGCGACGATCGCGATCACGCGGGCGGGCATTGCCGTCACGGCCGAGGTGGACAAGTGGGAGGTCGGCGACGGCCTCGTGGTCATCGAGCATGCCGCGCTGACCTTGCTGGTGGGCAGTCGCGGCGACAATGACAGCAATGCTCCGCGTCAACCGGAGGATGAGCCGCCCACTAAGAAACGACGGACCGCCAGCAGCCCGGAGAAAGAAAAGAAGGGATGGAGTGGGTCCTTGGAGGTGACTGGCCGCGTGCTCATCCACACCGATGGACAGCAGGGCAAGAGCGGGCAGGCCCCCGTGGAGGTGGATGTCACGCTGGCCATGGGCAAACAGAACGAGGAGTGGTTCTGGGTGGTGTGCGGCCACCTGAAGGCTGATCTCTCCTTGAGTCGGTTTGTGTCGGCCATCGACGAGAACTCGGACATCGATTTGCGTCTCAAGGAGATTTCGTTGATTGCTTCGAGCACGAATAGTCCGACCTGTAATTTGGACACCAATGGCTATACCATTCAGCAAGGCAGGTCTTCCCTCCTCAGACATCCTCCGTCTAGCTACGTAGAAACTAACATAAGGCCGTGATAACAGGGTTCTTTCTTTGTGCCAGGTTAGAGCAAGTGCCGCTGCTGCAGATGGGCAATATGGTGAAGCAGCCCGCGGCCGGGGATCAATCGTATCTCAGCCTGGGCTGGGCCAAGGGGTCTAGCATTCCCTCCGTATCCATCTATTTACCTGAGTCATTGAAGGTAAAGCGTTCCACGTTGCTGCTTTGGCCTATCAATGAATCCGAGGTGCACTAAGGCTAACACGCCAGTTGCGCGGCTAGATCGAGCTGGGCCCTCGATTCCGATCCCGCCGCTTCCAGCTTTCCCTGGGCAGCTCCGCGACCGGCGGGGTGGCGTTCGCATTCCGAGGGATTTTTGACGTCAAGGTGGGCGACGAGCACAGCTGGTATAAGTTTGACCTGAAGATGGCCGTGGATCCGGTCGGCGCGGATGGTGAACTGTAAGCAAGAGAACCTGGAGGCACCAGTGCCCTCGCTGACCCTCATCCTTTTGCTATGCTAGCTTTTTCGACGGCAACATCAACAATCCATTCGGCCTGAGCAAGCGATTGACGATTGGTAAGCTCACATAGTTCCTATGGCACTGAAATGTGATAAATCAACCAGCTCACAAACCGTCTGTATTTCCAGGACCACGACTGGGCATTGGACTGAAGTTCAACTGGGCCCAACTGGCCGCCTCGGGTCTGCCAATCGGAGCCGGCATCAAGGGAAGCCTCTACCTCGACAACAAAGCTGACAAACCCTATGACCTAGTGCTTTACATCTGCGAGGATCCGCGGGACATGATCATCGAGGCCAAAGCCCCGTCGATGGACTACACTGAGATCATCCAGTTCGTGGCCGCGGCGATGGACACGCAGATCCGGACAACCGACGTGACGCTCTTCCGCTTCCAGGACGTGCTCATCTACGCCAGCATGGGGGCCACCTTTGGCGGAGAACACTACCCGGCCGGCTTCCGTCTCAAAGGCGGGCTGACCATCTGCGACCACGAGGCCGCCATGGACGGGTCCCTGACCACGGAGGGTCTGCGGCTCAAGGCGTGGCTGCAGACCTTCCGACTGGGGCCGCTCAGCGTCGGCGGAGACGTGGTCTTGCCGGGCACGCCGGGGACCTTCGCGTTGCTGGACCTGGAGCTGACCCGCGAGCGGCAGGCGTTTGTGCTGAACGGATTCGTGGAGCTCTTCGACCTGCGGGCCGCGGTGGACGTGCATATCCAGCTGCTGCCCGCTCCGATATTCTACTTCAATTTCGAGATGCAGTGGAGCACGTTGCTGGCCATCAAGGCCAAGGCCGAAATGGTCGGCGGCGCCCATTTCATGCGCAACCCCCGCGAGGCCAGCTGGCAGGTGAGTGCCGATGTCGAACAGACGATTGTCCAGGAGATGGCCCGCAGTCTGGAGCGAGCGCTCAAAGCCGTGCATGAGAAGGTCGAGGCGAAGATCAACGGTGCCAAGCAGGCGGTTGCGGACGCGGAGCGCGTCTACAAGGAGAAGATTGCCGGAGCGCAAGCAGAATTGGAGAAGGCGCGGGCCCAGTACCAGGCTGAGAATGACCGACTAGATCAGGAACTTGATCGTCTCGAGCGGGAAACGCAGGCCCAGTCCGCCGTCCATCGCGACGCTGTCCTCGAGAAGAAAAAGGAGGAGTCTTCCGCCATGGCGGAGGCCGAGACCGTCCGCGACCACACAATCCACGAGGCTAATGCAGAAGTCCAAGAGAAGGAACGGGCCTTGAACAACGAGGAATCTCGAGGAACAAGGCAGCACAACGACGCCATCTCCGACCGTGAACGGAGGAGACAACAATTCATGGCCAAGTTCGGAGATGCCGAGGCCGCCGTGCAACGCGCGCGGGACAACGTGGCCAACGCCAAACGTAAGTGAGATGCTCCCGGTCTCGGCTCAATTGCCTTGGGCTCTAACGTGGTCTGATCATTCCTCAGGGTCGGTCGAAAGCCTCCGAGGTCAACTTGACAGCCTGGAAAACAGACTCAGCGGCCTGCGATGGTTCCAAAAGGCTCTCGCCTTGGACACAGTGCGTCTTGCCCTAGCCTCCCCCTTGTATGCCCTCGTGCATTCAACTGACTCTTTTCTTGCTCTCAACAGCACCTACAGATTGCCGCGCTCGGGATCCAGTATGGCGCGGCCAAGGTAGGTCTCGGGGTGGCGGACGGAGCGCTCGAGCTGGCGCAGAAGATCATGCAATCTCAACTGTTCCACGACCTGACCCAGGCCATGAACCATGCCTGCGAAGCGGTCGAAACGATCAAGCGGCAAGTGGACAACGCCATCAACGCCGCGCGGGACCACCTCCACAACGCGCAGAAACTGCTGGACGTGGCCAAATCCGCCGCGCAGGGCAAGTTCGACGAGGCCCGGCGCCAGGCGCGCGAGATGGTCGACACCGCGCAGAAGATCCACGACGAGTACGTGCAGAAGCAGGAAGTGGAGTCGAAGAAACTCCGCATTCAGCTGCAGCAGCTGAAGAACAGTAGCCTGAGCGCGGGGGTGTCGTTGGCCGAGGGGGTGCTGGAGGCGGCGAAGAACAACAACGCGGCCTTCCTCGCGGCGCAGGCTGGGCTCGATGCCGTCAAGGTCGTCGAGGGCGCCATCTACGACACCCTGCGCACGATGATCGAGGCGGCAGCGACCCTGTGCGATATCCGCGTCGTCAAGCTCCGGGGCACCATCACTGCCAGACCGGAGGAGCAGTCCGCCTTCCAGATCTACTTGGAGGGAACGCTGGTCGGCCAAGATTTCGAGTTCGATCTCGTATATTACCCGGGCAAGACAATCGAGTTCTTGGAAGGGCTGGCCAAGGAGGCGATGGGGCACCTGAAGCTGACTTAGGGCTGGGCCGGAAGCGGGGGCTGCGCAGAACCTGTTTTGTGAGTATCATGTACAGCAATTTGTAGATCAGTACGGCAATAGGATGTATTATCACCTTATATCAAGGTTTCTCAGGAACTGTTATATAATGAAGGTTAGCAAGTGATTCCAGTTAGAATATAAATACTTAACCTGACACTGGTCGTGAAAGGGTAGAGCATCATTGTCTGCAAGTCGCACGGATGGTATCGACCCGCCTTCCGGCTGGATTAAAGCTCTACCCCGGAAGGCCAGTGGATGAGTGAATAACACAGGTAAATCCCTTCTATTGTATCCTTTCTTTTCCCTGAACACTGTCGATTGTTCTCTTCCAGCATCATCATCTGATACTTGATTACGTGTTGCGCCGCAGGATACAAAATCCGACCTTGTGATTGAATCGTGGAAAAAGTCCCTCAGCCACGTATGCACCACCAGATTAGATACTTTGGGGTATTTTCTAACACATAAAAAACCAGCAGTCTACGTCGTCCGTGTCTCCTGCTTCTCGGCCCATGCCAGATCAATCTCACGCTCGGCCTCGTAGCCATAACACCACATCTGCGTGGCCGGATCACTCCATTGATTAGGGCTGTGACTGAAAGGCAGACCATCCACTTCCGCTGCCATGGCCCGATCGCGTGCCTCCTGCAAAGGCCCATCGGCAAAATGCCACAGCTTGCCGTTCAACAAGCTGGCTTCTTGCATCTGGCCCGTCCGTATCATCCGCACTTTCTCGAAAAGGGCCAATGCCTCAGTTAGATTGTCTGGAGACCGCATGTAGGACAAGGAGCGTGCCAACGCCACGCCATCCTCGACGGCCATCGCGGCACCTTGAGTTACAAGTCAATGCGATTCACTTCCATTGGCGAGTGCACACTTACCCTGCGACATGTACGGAAGCATTGCATGAGCCGCATCACCCAGCAAGACCAACCTGCCCTTCGTCCAGCGATTGAGCGGAGTACCGCTTACTAGCGGCCATTTGATGGTTTTCTCCACCATGCCGATGATCTTCGTGAGCCTAGAAAGATTGTATTGATGAGGAGGGGAAAGGCCTGCATAATTATGAGAGGACTCACGTGGGGTCCCATCCCTGAAACTCAGTCCGCATGCTCTGCAGGGCCGTTGCCGCGTCCCACGTAGCCGGGTCGGAGGTATCTGGATGCGACAGCACCATATTAAATGCTTTGCCCGCCCCGATCGTATAGGTCATGACGTGCCGCGAATCGCCAATCCTGCAAAAGGGGGTTAGCAAGGGGGTATTTCAAGTTACGGGTAGAGATCTCTGGGGTAGATCACCGTACCAGATATTCAATGCGGGCCTTTCCAGGATCCATGATAACGCGGGATCATCGCGCATGCGGTCCACGTCCAAGACCGCCCGATACGCAGCGAAGCCGGGCTTGCGGAAGGCCATCTCCTCGCCGTCGAGAAGCACCTTGCGAGCTACTGACTTTATCCCTGCCAGTCGATAAGCTTTGTGCCTCAGGTGGCTCAGTGACGAGGAGAGAGAGGTACAAACCATCCGCCGCGACGACCAGGTCGCCCGTGTGTCTCGTGCCATCTTTCAGGGTAATGCTTCCCAGCTCGGGATCGTAATCGACGACGACAGCTCCAAGGTTGATTTCAATCCCTAGGTCCTTTGCCCTCTGGCACAGGGCAGAGTGGAAGTCCGCGCGATGGATCACGTAATAGGACGCTCCGAAGTTGTCAATGAAGTCCGGAAGCAGCCGCGTCTTTCCGATCACCTTCCCGGTCTGCCATCGACGGAACGCGATATTTTCGGGGGTTGTGACATATGGCTTCAGGTAGGGTTCCAGCCCGAGCTTGAACAGGATGCGAGAGGAGTTTGACGGGATCTGGATCCCCGCACCGACTTCCCCGAGCATGGGCGTCTGCTCGTACACGGTGACCCGGTGGCCGGCCTGCGTGAGCGCAATCGCGGTGGCCAGCCCTCCTAGACCCGCCCCGACCAGTAAAATGTTCAGTTTCGGCGGCGCGCGCTGGGCTGTGGACAGAGTGGGAACTGAGCCTTCCAGCGCCTTCGCGAAATAGAGACAGTTACTGGGGTATGTTGGCATCTGTTCATCGGTCAGTGTCACTTTACCTTCGAGTTCGATGGGGTGCTTGCACGGACCATGAGGGTTTGATGGGGGAGCGCTGCTCCGGGTCCCTCTTGCGAGACCATTGTCCGGGTTCCAAAGAAGCCGTGGTGATGAGTCTATATCAGTGTTCCTCAAAACAATAATCCCTGTGCTAGAGTGCCAATCGAGTCTTGCCTTATATGATGGTTGCAGTCATTGGTCGAAGGCAGCCGGGCTCGATTCCGACCCGTCGTTTCCCCGACAATGCCACGACCCGGCGTATACCCGGACACTCCGTTCTCATGCACCTGACCATAAAGTCTGGGTTGAGCACAGCAACTCTGTAGACTTGCTATCATACATAAGCACGTCACCTGCGAGACGCCCAGCAGCTGTTCATGAGCACAGGTTGACTGTCTGATTTTGGTCGAGTTCATCTACCTTCTTGCCTTGTAGCACTATCGCAATGGCGCCTTCCGTCAGCGACATGCCCTCTCCAAGCGCGGATAGCGCTGCACAACTGCTGCAGGATCTCGAAACCAGCAAGACGCTGCTGCCCCTTTGGACGCAGATGACAAGACTCAACCCACCGGAGCCGAACCCCACTGCCGTTCCCTATCTATGGAAATATGACACCATCCGCCCCAGTCTGCTGCGAGCCGGGCATCTGGTCACAGAGAAGCAGGCGGAGCGAAGAGTGCTGATGCTAGTCAACCCCGCTCGAGGTGGGTCTCCCTATGATGTCCCCATGGCCTTCATTGAGCGCATTAACACGCTTCACTAGATGCACCCTACACAACCGATACCCTCTACGCAGGCCTGCAGCTGGTCATGCCGAACGAGACGGCCCCCGCCCACCGCCACACCGCCTTCGCAATGCGCTACATCATCGAGGGCAGCGGCGGCTTTACCGCGGTGCACGGCCGGCGCATCCGCATGCAGAAGGGCGACGTGATCCTGACGCCGACGTGGAACTACCACGACCACGGCAAGGATGGCAGCGGCCCGATGATCTGGCTGGACGGGCTGGATCTGCCGAACTTCCGACACTTCCCCGTCCACTTCGTCGAGCACTTCCGCGAGCCGCGGTATCCCGCCGAGGATGTGGACACGTCGGCCTCGCCCATCGTCTTCCCCTGGAGCCAGATGAAGGCCCGGTTGGACGGTTTGGAGGGCAGCTGGGCCACGCAGCGCTATTTGAAAGCTGACGGTCGAGAAGGTAAGTCCCCACCTGGTGTTAGGGTCCGTTTGTGTTTCATAGTGAACTAACTGGGGATGATCAGTGAGTCGGGTCTTGGGCGGGTGTGCGGAGAGGCTGGATGCAGAGGCGGCGTCCCCGCGCCGGCAAGACACCTTATCCGCCGTGTACCATGTGATTTCCGGCAAGGGTCGCTCGGAGATTGGCAGCCAGACGCTGGAGTGGCAGGCTGGAGACACCTTCTGCGTCCCTTCGTGGTATCCGTACCGGCATTTTGCGGATGCGGGGGAGACCGTCTACCTTTACCGGTTCGACGATAAGCCAATGATCACGGCGCTGGGATTTTATCGGTCGGCGTCTGATGATACAGAGACGTTGATCTCGGACTGAGATTTAGCCTCGAGGGTGATTATCACTTGCAGAAGGAATCTGAATATGGCTTGATTAATGTTGCCATATACTTTTGTCGCAGCTGTGTACATATCATGTGAACCAATGAATGTGTCTGATTTCATATTTATAGAGTCGAATAGTGAATCGCAATTTGACTTGGTCCATGATAATTTACGAACTGCTATAAACTAGGGTCCTGGACTTTGAACCTCCTCCAAAGGTATTCTTGTGGGCTTTCACGACATAATTGGGCATAGATATATCGTTTGACATTAGGGCTGTATGTACGAAAGCGGGAACAGTCAAAGCCTCAGGCACCCATAGATCTACGTAGAGACTGAGTAGAGTCACCTGACTCAAATGTATTCCGGACTTTCCCCGCGTGCCGGGTAACTACCCGGAGAACCCGCGAATCCCCCGCCCAGGCGACTTCCCCGCGACTTCCCCCTTCTTGCCTCAATCCCCTATCCCCTATCCCCTATCCCCTGTGTCCCGCTCCCCCGTATCAATCTCCATCCGCAGCAAGTCACGACAGAGACGGTTGCAGCAATACGAAGTCACTGGGCCCCGGATATCATTGGTCACTTATGGAGCTGCCGGTCGATAAGCCCACCGCCCACGGGCCCGCGAGCAAGCGTCGCCGCGTAGCTCTGGCCTGCGATGTTTGTCGCACCCGAAAGTCTAGGGTATGCATTTGATGACCATGACGGCCACGCATCCCCAGTCGAGCCGTTTCACTAAACAACCACGGGCCTAGTGCGACGGCATGCGGCCCCACTGTAGCATGTGTAAGGATCTCGGCTTCGAATGTGTCTATACTCCGTCAGTCACTACCACCAATATCATCGTGCAAAAAGAGTAAGCAGGGCCACCCATATTCATGTCATACCCGCCTATGTTGATCGATTCCAAGCTACCTTCAAGATCTTGAGGCGCGGATCAAGTCCCTCGAGAACAGCCATCACAGGATGCAGTCAGACCTGTCCGGATTGGTGGCGCACAGGACCACGAGGAAGAGAAGCCCCCCGAGCGACAGTGAGCCCGAGTCTGGTCATGAGCCGCTGGCGGATCTGACCGGGCCCGAGGATCCGATTGACGCCATGGGCGCAGTGACCTTCGCCGATGAGGAGGAGTGCGGGTACTTCGGTGCAGCGAGCCGTCTCCTCTGTCTCCACCCAGAGAACGGGCTAACGAAAGCCGATTGCAGGTCCCTCGTCGAACATCGCATTCCTGCGGCACCTGTCCCGGGCAGTGTCTCATAGTAGAGGCGACCGTCAAGCAGAGATCAACTCGCCTGCGATGCATGGAACAGGTGACAACGGCGGGTTCGTCAGTGCCACCCGGCAGCCATCCCCGATGACCGGCAGCCCCACGGCGACGCCAATGCGATCTCCGCCTACGACAAATCCCCTCTTACTACCATCCGACGAGATCATACCTCTGATCCGTCGATACTTCGCCGACACCGGACTGTTGTTTCCCTACATCTATCCGCCGGCCTTCCTCGAGACCTATCACCAATTCAAGAGCAAGGCCAAGAAGCCCCGCCGCACCTGGCTCGGCTTGTTAAACATCGTGCTGGCCATGGCCACGCTCACGGCGGTCTTCCCTGGGTACTCGGCCGAGACTCGCATCCAAGAGTCTACGGTCTACTATCAGCAGGCTCTTCGGTTGTGCCAAGGCGAGATCATGCGGGGGACGACTTTGGAGGCCGGTACGTCGTCGCGCGTGTGATTCCCCAAACGCTAGTATTGATCTTGTCCGCAGTACAGTTCCTCCTGCTCATGGGGCAATACCTGCAAGGAACGCAAAAGTCCGTCCAGGCGTGGACGCTGCACGGACTCGCCGTCAAGGCTGCGCTGCAACTCGGCCTGCATTCGAAAGAAGCCTCCAAGGTGTTCCCCCCCCTCGAGCGCGACACCCGACAGAGGACGTGGTTTGGGTGTGTGGTGTTGGACCGGTGGGCAGCTCTTTCTTGCTTGGAACCCTCGACGTTTGTGACGGTTGACTGACCCCCAGCCAGAACATTAAGTATGACCTTTGGACGGCCGCCGGCGATCCCCGATAAGTATGTCCAGCTGGACCTTCCTCAACTTGATATCCTCGGCGACTGCCAAGCGTTCGTCGATGATGAGACTCTCCGCTGCAGTACCGGGTTCTTCAACCACACGATGTAGGCTACCCCCCCCTTCCCCCTTGTCCGACGGTTCGCATCGCTAACTGACTAGCACGTTGTACAAGCATATGGGCACCATCATCGACCAGATTTACGGCGCCAACCTGGGCTGTGAGCCCAGCCTGCCCGTAGTGGAGACGGTGGGCCGGGTGCTGTCGATCGAGAACCAGCTGCTCTCGTGGGTCGCCACCCTGCCGGACTGCCTTCGTCAGGTGACGTTCCAGGCCCTGTGCGGGGAGATTGCGCGAGTGCAACCGCAGCCACCGCTGTACCCCCTGAAATTTCGCGTGATTCTCACCCTACGGTACCTGCACGTCCAGATCCTGCTGCATCGGCCGATTCTGGTCCGATTCCTCGACGCCACCCACACGGCTGGTCTGGAGCCCGGCGAGGAGCGGATCCTGAACGAGATCGGCTACAGTAGCATGAAGAAGTGCGTCGAGTCGGGGATGGAGATCATCAACATCATCCATGAGGTGGTCACGGCGACTGGGTGGCCCCTCGACCTGCTGGGGGCGTGGTGGTACTCTCTCTATTACAGTAAGACGTCCTCCCTCGCGGAATCTGCAGCTTGGTGGTGTCTCACGTTGTCTCTTGTGTATGAACAGCGTTCAATGCGGCACTCGTGATTACAGGGGCTATCTGGATCCAGCGCGCGCGCGAGTCCGCCCACACATTCCAAATGTATCGGCTGGCGCATATCGAGGACCTCGAGCTTTACCCCGCCCGTGCCGTTGCGATCCTGCGACATTTGGACACGGGCAATCGGATGGTGGACCGCTGCCGGTATTACCTCGAGCAGTTGATCTCGATTCTTGGTATACAGTGTAAGACTTACTTCTTCTTCTGTCTTCCGTTCTTTTCTTTCCTTTCCTTTTTCTTCTCTTCCCTTCCTATTCTCGGACCGCATATGAACGGTGATACTGATAAGATGCTACAGCGGACGATCCCGCTCGCACAGTCCCCGCTGACCATAATCTGTCCGGGATGAGCAGCGCCAACAATGTCCTTGACTACTCGTCGCTGGGCATCGAGTGTGGCGAATACATGTTGGATGAGTTGTTTGTGACCATGGCCCGGCAGACACCATCGGAGGGTTGGTAGTTTGCAGCTTCCGTCTGTATCTCCATCATCATCGACATTAAAAGTAAGTAGATACAACAATCAGGGTGCCATGCAGTCCGCCCCCACGCTTCGCAGATCCAACACATGTGTGCAATGAGCTACGTGATATATACATATGTGCGGACCATCCGACGTCTCTGCACTCCACATCAGGAATCGCATATGCGCCCGTGAAATCTGTAAAGCTACACAGCCAGTGGGCCAAGCTCCCTTCGATCCACCCAGCTCCCATGTAAACCCTGGCGTAAGCGGACCGGCAGCAGGATCTTGGCCCGCGCACGCGTGAAATCCCGGGTATCCAACAGATGGAGCTCGCTGGCCATGGTCTCGTAGTTATTCACAAGGGCCAGAAGATATCCGTCGCCTTCGGGGGCCGCGTCCCCGCGCGGGATGAAGACCGGCTCCTGGACCAGGTGCGTCCGGCCCGGAAAGTAGATCTCCGTCTGCCCGGCCACGAGATCGAAGTGCGCCAGCGCATTGTAGAGGGGGAAACCGCCGCCCAGCTTCGGCGCGATGGACGCGAAATCCGTCCCCAGCTGCGGGTCCATCAGGTCGAAGTAGCAGTGGCGATAGGGCCGGGTCGCGAACCGCTCGTCGATGCGGTAGAACTCCGAGTTGCCCGGGTGCAGGATCCGGGGTTCCGGGAGGCTGAGGTCTTCTTCTGCGTGGGGGTCGATGGTGAACCGGACCAGTCGGGAGACGATGGAGCTGGGTTCCGGGGCGCGACCCTGCGCGTCGGGCCACCAGAAGAACACATTTGTCTCGCTCAGGCCCAAGTCGATGACGAGATGGCCTCGGTCGTCCTCGTACGCGTTGGCCGTGTGGCCGGGGAAGGAGTTCTTGTACCGGAACCACTGTCGCAGGCTTAGCATTCCCCAGCACATCGATAGAGGCAGTGTTGGGGGGGGGGGGGAGACAAGGAGAGACTGTCCGCCATACCTTCACGTCACTGGGCCGGGCCCCTCGCCGCGGCAACACGCCCAAATACAGCGGAGTCTCCAGGCTCCACTGCCAGTGCTCGCCTCCCTGCTTCATCCGCTCGAGATCGCAAACCTGCGGAATCAGCGGGAACACGACCTGCACAAACCATCAGATTCGATCCCACCACACCCTCTTTTTCCCCACCGGCAGAAAACTACTCACCCAGTTGTCGGTTACCGCAAAGTCGTGGATCATCGCCACGACCGGTGCCACCAACCAGACCACCTCGGTGAATTCGCCGGTCGGCGCGACGCGGTAGTAGCAGACATCCGGCGTCCCGTCGCCGCGCGCCTCGTACCCAAAGCCGAGCATCTCGCCCGTGACGGGGTCGAATTTCGGATGGGCCGTGAAGGTCAGGCTGGGCAGCTGGCCGTCAAAGTCGTAGAGGCCTTGCGTCTCCAGCGTGCACGGGTCCATCGCGTACGGCGGGGAGTCCTCCTTTTGGGCTAGCAGCCGCCCGTTGAAGAAGACCACATTGGTGTTGGCTGTGCTGCGCACACGGAACTCGACGGCGTCGGTGAATCGGTTGCGGTATTTACCTGGAGAGAGAGGGTGTGTGTGTGTGTCAATCGGGCCCTGTCGTCGATTTACTTTGGGTCCATGTACAGTACTGACCGATCAAAGCGCGTTGCGCCTCGCGCTCGCGCTCAAACTTCTCCGTCCGCACGTAGCGTTGCTGGAACGATGCGCGGCCGTGTTGGATGCGGAAGGCGCTCACGTTTCCGTCGCCGTTGAACCACTGCAGTTTCTGTTCTTCAGCTCTTCGCCTTACCAGCACTACGAGGGAGCAGCTGGGGGGTGGGGAGGGTTGTCCTTACGGGATCATCCTCGACGAAGGGAGGCAGTTGCGGATCCGGCATGACCCGATAGAAGACTCCGTCGATCTCCGGGGGGATCGTGCCGTACACTTCCAATTGGGAGACCTCGCCTTCCACCCGGCAGGGCTTCATGAAGCCTGAGAATTGGGGGCGTTCGGGGAAATGTTGTTTGATGTCGGACATGGTGAGATACAGCGAAAGAGATGAATGATTTGTCCCTGCGATTGTTCGTTGCTCCTGGTAAAAAAAACATGGAAAGACAGTCTAGCGACTGACCTTCGTTTTGTCTCTCGATTCGCAAGACGCGATCGTTTTCCGGGTTCCCCAGGCCGCTTCCGCTCTCTCCCCGGTGTATCCCCAGCCACCCGCCTATACATAGATAGGTACAGTAGTTACCTACCTGCACACATTCCCCAGCTTGGAACCCTTTTTTTCTACCACCTTCATCCATTTTTGAAAGAGACACTTCATCATTCCACTCGCTCCCTCTCTCCCTGTGCTCAGATTTCAACATGTCACTTCCTTGGAAACGCCTGATCCGCTTCCGCGCTGGCGACGGCCGCATTCTGCGCGGCGAGCCCATCCTTCCCGCCGAGCGCCAAATCGACCTGGGACAAATCACCGAAGCCGATCAGCTGCAAGCCCGGGTCCTCGAGGGCCAGGACATCTACGATACCACGGGGGCGACCAAGGTGACGGACGAGATCGTCACGGTCCAAAAGATCCTCTCGCCGCTGGCCCCCAGCGACGTCCCGATTCTCCGGTGCGTGGGCCTCAACTACGCCAAGCACAGTACGTTGCTCACTTCCCATCATCGTCCGGTTGCCCCTTTACGCTGTCAGAAGATAACATGGAGCCATTTCTGGTCGACAGTCAAAGAAGCAGGACGCAAGCCCCCACCCTTCCCCTTCATCTTCTTCAAGCCGAACACGTGTGTACACGACCACGGCGAGCCGGTCGTGATCCCGCCTATCGCGCAGAATGACCAAGCAGACTACGAGGGCGAGCTGGTTTGTATTGATCAGTCCCAAGCGTTGTTTGCATCCTCAGGTTGTGTAGTGTAATGGTTAGCACCCAGGATTCTGATTCCTGTAATCCCGGTTCGATCCCGGGCACGACCTTTTTTTTTTCGTCTTTCTCAGACCGCGGCCGAGTCTAACCACCGCACCGCAGTGTCTAATCATCGGCAAAGACGCAAAGAACGTGCCTCGCGAGCGCGCTCTTGAGTATGTCGCCGCATACACCGCAGGGAACGACATCTCGTCGCGGAAGCTGCAGCGCGATCCGGCGTACGCTGGCGTCGTGCCGCAGTGGGGATTCTCGAAGGGGTTCGACACGTTTGCGCCGCTGGGCCCGGTGCTGGTCGCGGCGTCGGAGATCCCCGACCCGGCGCGGCTGCATCTGAAGACGATTGTCGATGGGGAGGTGCGCCAGGAGGAGACTGTCGGCGATTTACTCTTTGACTGCGCGTACTTGGTCTCGTATCTGTCGCAGGGCACGACGCTGCAGAAGGGCAGCGTGATTATGACGGGGACGCCGGGTGGTGAGTCTTCGCTTTTTTTTTTTGCTCTTGGCTGTTGGGTTTGGCGTAGATGCGATCGCTGACCACGAGATCTCTAGGTGTGGGCGCCGGGCTCAATCCGCCGAAGTGGCTGGTGCCGGGGACGCAGATGGAGGTGCAGATTTCGCAGATTGGGACTTTGCGGAATACCGTTGTTTTCGAATAGGGTTGACAGAAACTGCGCATTGTAAATCTTGTAAATTTCGATAGAGTACCATGATATGGTATGGTGGACGGATACACTGCGTTACTATAGTTGCAACTCCCGCAGAGACCGACTATAAACGGCAATGCAACCAGCTCCGTGTCTGGCGTCGAAATCTCCTCTTCTAATACATACACGAACAATACATACTCTCCCCCAAGTTCATCTCACAACACCTCGAAAACATCAATCTCAACATATCCCTGTCGGGTCGGCGGCTTCAGCACCCCCAGAAACACCGTCGCAGTCAGCCACCGGTACTCCGCGCGGTCTTCCCCAACCTCAAACTTGGGCAGCGTGCGCGTGTACCACTCCCGGCCGCCGTTGGTCATAGACGCGGCGGTGGGGTCCTCGTCCTCGAAGACTGACTTCATGGTGGCCGCGCTAGCCCGGCCGTAGCCCTCGTTGGTGATGCCGACGAGCGTCCCGTCCGCGAGTCGGATCGAGTAGCGCGCGTAGACGTGGACGACCTCGTCTGCCCGCACGGCGTTCCAATCCCCACCGCTGTGGGGGACGATGGTACCCTGCAGTTTGGGGCCTGTGACCGTGCCTCCTGTGATGGGGATGAAGCGGCGGTGGCCTACGGCGGAGGATCCGTAATCGAGTGCCGGAGCGAGGTCGACATGGAGTGTGAAGGCGTATTCCAAAGCGGGAGGGTTGGGCATGGTGGGTATTGGGAACAAGAGTTGTTTCTAGGATGGAGGACGTGCACGGACCTGATGAAGATATAGGGGAAGTTAACAAGGACGGTGTCTCTAAGCGAGAAAACGGGGTGCCTTTCTTTCTATATCCGCGGCTCGGGGATGCGTAGGGATTGCCCCGTCATCACACTACCTCACTAGGCGATTGGCTGTCCTTCTTCAGAGATGTGGCATACCCCACTCTCACCATAAGGTAGAATGTGTCTGGGGAAGCGTCGGGAATCGAGCTTTCCCCGGCTTTGGGGCCAGCTTTGTTGCGGGGCAAAGGTGACTCCTGACTCCTCTTTCGTATCTGTTGTCGCCTCCCACTGACATTTCATACTCACCTGCATCTACTCTACTCTACCACCCTTCATGTTATGTCTGGTTCCAGACCCATTGTATCAGGTTCCTGTTCATCCCCATCAACGTGCATCCTCTTCTCCCTGTGCCGACCCAGGATCCGCACGATCCCTAACGCTGGCCCGTTTGGCTGAAGCGCTGCGCCGTGCTCACGGCCTCACTCACCAATTTGGTGACCAACATGGCCGGATCGGGCCTCTCAGTCGCAGTTCCCAACCTAATGATAGAGTACCGCCGACCCGAGTCGAGTGTCGTGCAGCTGCTTACTGTACGTATCTCTTCGGGCGTGTTCACGGGCTTGTTGCTGACGGTCTGACTGACGCCCTCGCCAGTATAGCTTCCTATTCTTGAGCATCGGCAACCTCTTCTGGGTGCCTCTCGCGGCAAAATTCGGCAAACGCGCTGCTCTGCTTGTGTCAATGGCGCTCCAAGCGGGTGCACTGGTGTGGTGCGCGACTGCCACCAGCTTCTCCATCACGGTCGCGGGCGCGCTGCCGCTTTATCTCTGTGGGAGGCGGCGGGTGGAGTAGGAAGCGAAGCTTGGGAAGTCGTGATTTTCTTTTCGTGGTTTAATTTTCGCTATTTGAGAGAAGGGTGAGTCTTTGGTCAGCTTTGGCAAGCACAAGCTCTACGCCCAGCAACAGGTTTATCTCCAGGCCGATTTTGCTGCCACGGCGGTCAGTCAGGGCTGTTGCATTCAGACTCCATATGATTGGTGGGGTGCTGCCGGATCCCGCATAGAGCCAGGACGCTTAGTCTTAAGGACATGCCATTCACCTTCTAGGATCTCATGCTTCTCTGCTGTCTCGCATCTGCATTATGTCAACTCTACGAAATAAATCGTGTACTTCTAGAATAGCATTGGATGGGCGATCAGGTGGATGGGTCGGCGAGCTATATCAAATTTGTTAACTATGCAGCACAGCTGACATGAGACTGCGGCGGGCGCTTATCGATAACGAGGCGTGGGTACAGTACATACATACACTATCCCGCTTGGCAGAGGATTTCAGCATTTCAGCCTCGAAGTGTGGGATAGAGATGCTATGCCTCTGATATAGAACACATCGTCAGAAGCTCCACTGTCGACTTGCCGCGTCATTACAGTGCGTTATTATCTCTGTGATTGGTGCGTTTGACCTGTAGCACGAAGACTGCATGTACTTGTGATGACCTCGGAGATTGCGTGGTACCCCACTCTTGGTGGAACACCACCAACCACAAATATATATCGAGGGCGCAAGCCACGACTTATCTTAATCTCAATACCGCACAGTGCATTGCGCACATGAGATAGCCGTCAGTCCAGGCTCGAGCGATTGTCTGAACACCAGTTTGAATTGAAGATCAATTTCAGGTACCATTCAAATATGGATAAAGGCTACCCCGGAACGGTCAACTGATTCAATCATGAAACATTGAATGCAAGGTAAGCTTAGAGCAATGTATTTGTCTGATTTTCCTATGCAAAAGCAAAACTGTACGCGCCGAGGCATCACCAACCCACACCAGCCAATCAAAGAGCCAAGCCAGTAGGGCATGCAAGGTTATCTCCGTGCAACCTCCGTGCAGAATCCCGCGTCGCCGTCAACTGCCGGCGAGGGAGTGATACCCCGCTTTTCGCCCTCGATTCCTTTTTTTCGCAGATGAATACAAGCGACTACAGCCTACGAGCATACCCTTTCCCCCAGCATACTCCACCCACAGAGACAACAGCACGAAAGACATCCACTGTGAAAATGACCCTCCCGGAACCGATCACGACCGCCGCCCTCGTCCTCCACGAGCTCCACGGCCCGCTCGTCTGGGAAACGCTGCAGATCCCCACCCTCGCGCCCGACGAGATCGCCGTCGACATCCACGCGACGGGCATCTGCCACACGGATCTGATGCTCATGAGCGGCGAGCTGCCCACTCGCCAGCCGGGCGTCTTCGGACACGAAGGTATCGCCCCACCCCCCGGTTCGAATGAATGAACCTATCCTTCCCCCTTCCCCCTCCCCCAAACCCACCACTAACCCCTCCACCCGTTTGGAAAACCGCAGGAGCAGGAAACGTCCGCCAAACCGGCGCCGCCATCACGCACGTCCGCGCCGGCGACCGCGTGCTCCTCTCCTTCGACTTCTGCGCGCACTGCGCAAACTGCACCGCCCGGCACCCGGCCTACTGCGCCGCGTTCCCGCTGCTCAACACAGCCGGCCACCGCGCCGACGGCTCCTCGCCCCTGCAGACCGCCGGCGGCGGGGCGGTCTACTCCAAGTTCTTCGGGCAGTCGTGCTTCAGCCGCGTGGCGGTGGTGGGGGGCCGCTGCGCGATTCCGGTGTCCCACGACGTGGATCTGAGGGTGTTGGCGCCGCTGGGGTGCGGGATGCAGACTGGGGCGGGGGCGGTGGTGAATGTGCTCGGCTTGCAGCGGGGGCAGAGCGTGGCGGTGTTTGGGACGGGGGCTGTGGGGCTCGCGGCGGTTATGGCGGCGAGGATTGTGGGCGCCGAGGTGATTGTTGCGGTGGATGTGAGGGAGGAGCGGTTGCGGTTGGCCAGGGAGCTGGGGGCAACGCATACCGTTGATGCTGCGCTGGGGGAGGGGGTGGTCGCGGCGATTCAGGCGGTGACCGGCGGGCTGGGCGTGCAGTTCGCGGTCGAGTGCTCGGGCGTGCCGGCGGTGGTGCCGCTGATGCTGGCGGCGCTGCGGGCGCGCGGCCGCGCGGTCTCCGTGGGCGCGGCGGGCATCGCGGAGGAGGTGCGCTTCAATCTGTTTGCGCATCTGATGGGCGGGAAGGAGTATGTCGGTTGTGTGGAGGGGGATGTCTATCCGCCGGAGGTAGGTGCTCTGTTGCGGTGCAAAAAGGGATCAGGCTGACGGTGTAGTTTGTGCCATGGCTGGTGGAGCGGTATTCCCGCGGCGAATTCCCCGTCGATAAGCTGGTCAGGGTGTACAAGGTCCGGGATCATGAGGAGGCGTTTGCAGATGTCCGTGAGGGGAAGGTGATCAAGGCGGTGCTGGATTGGACGGAGTAGGCTTGTGTATCGCGAGGAGGGTCATTTGCGTTGAGTCGAGTAATCGATCCCCCAGTGAAGGGAAGGGGTAAATGTTGGCAAGTGTTGCAGTGTGACAGTTGAGTCGGGATTCTGCGCCGGTGGCATGATTCGGATGACACCCACGGGATTTGATGATGACACGAGGGGAGGTCTGACAGACACGGCGGTGATTAGTGATTATGTATGCTGCTACTGCCAGTACGATAGTCAGTTTACCTACTCCGCAGCTTACAGCCCAGCCCAGCCCAGCCCAGCCCTAAGTCCAGGAATAATACTTCCGTGAATTCCCGGCCGGGCACAACGGCCCCCGTTGCCTCACTGCAGGCCGGGATTTGAGTCTAATCAGTTGAAGAACCCAGGAAACCGCCGCAATGGAGTCAACTGCGGGGCCATCCTCACTCTGCAGATCGTCACATCATGTCTTGGTTGAAGACGACTAATCAGTCCCCTTCGAAAACCCGTCGATGCGCCGCGCCCGACGGGCTCGTTTCATCCACTCACGCCCCCACTGCTTCTCCGCACTACCAAACCCCGGGTCATGGCACGATATCGCGATTGACACTGACACCGCGTTGTATACTCCTTACGCATTCTGCCATCAGCAGAACCCGATTCCGCGTGAGCCGGATGGAGTGAGGATGGCGGACGTTGTCGCGTTGAGTCGGTCGGACTGAGATGCAGGTGCCCTGCGAGGGTATAAGAAGGCCGTTGTGCCACTCTGTATCCCCATCATCACCAGCATCAAGCATCTCAACAATCCAAGCAAAGCATCAGCTCTCGCATCAACCCCTTTACCATCGCCATGGCCCCCGTTCTCAAGAAGTACAAGGCTGCCGCCGTCAACGCCGAGCCCGGCTGGTTCAACCTGGAGGAGTCCACGCGCCGGACCATCCACTGGATCAACGAGGCCGGCAAGGCCGGCTGCAAGTTCATCGCCTTCCCCGAGCTCTGTCCGTCCTCCCTCCCCAGCATCACCACATCTCACTAACCACTGCTGCAAAAATCAGGGATCCCCGGCTACCCCTACTGGATGTGGAAGGTGACCTACCAGGAGAGCCTGCCGCTGCTGAAGAAGTACCGGGAGAACAGCCTGGCGTCGGACTCGGAGGAGATGCGGCGGATCCGCGAGGCGGCGCGGGCCAACAAGATCTTCGTCTCGCTGGGCTACTCGGAGCTGGACCTGGCCAGCCTGTACACGACGCAGGTGATGATCTCGCCCGCGGGCGAGATCATCAACCACCGCCGCAAGATCCGCGCCACCCACGTCGAGCGCCTGGTCTTCGGCGACGGCACCGGCGACACCACCGAGTCGGTCATGCAGACCGAGATCGGCCGCCTCGGCCACCTCAACTGCTGGGAGAACATGAACCCCTTCATGAAGGCCTACGCCGCCTCCCTCGGCGAGCAGGTCCACGTCGCCGCCTGGCCGCTCTACCCCGGCCGCGAGACCCTCAAGTACCCCGACCCGGCCACCAACATCGCCGAGTCCAACTGTGATGTACGTCCCTTGTCAACTTTGTCCCAGGACAGTCTCAAGGTCCGGTACAAGTGGTGGGATATTCATGCTGATCAGATGGCCCAGATCGTCACCCCGGCCTACGCCATCGAGACCGGCACCTACACGCTCGCCCCCTGGCAGACCATCACCGCCGAGGGCGTCAAGCTCAACACGCCCCCGGGCAAGGAGCTCGACGACCCCAAGATCTACAACGGCCACGGCCGCATCTTCGGCCCCGACGGCCAGAACCTGGTGCCGCACCCGAGCACCGACTTCGAGGGTCTGCTGTTCGTCGATGTGCGTATCGCCTACCCCGGTTACAAACAGAGTTCCAGACTGACTGCAGATGCAGATCGACCTCGACGAGTGCCACCTGTCCAAGTCCCTGGCTGACTTTGTAAGTTTCGATTGCCCCTGATTAAGAGACCCCGGTGCGCGGGCTAATCGATTTGCTAGGGCGGCCATTACATGCGCCCTGACCTGATCCGCCTGCTGGTGGACACCAACCGCAAGGACCTGGTCGTGCGCGAGGACCGTGTCAACGGTGGGGTCGAGTACACCCGCACCGTCGATCGCGTGGGACTGTCCACCCCGCTGGATGCCCCGGCTCCTGCTGAGGAGAACTAGAGGAGAGCTAAGCCGGCTTAGACGCATCTCCACTCTGTAGTATACTGATTAGAAATTGATTTTTGTTGTTGTTCCATTGATCTGTCGATTTTGATTATGGCTTTTTGTGATTGACCCTCTTGACTGCAAGGGGGGTACAGTACCTACCGCTGGACTACAGACAGCTGAGGCATCAAGACATGAGAATAATAAAACCTACCCCTCTAACACGACACACTCCTCAAAAACACCCCCTTTCTGTCGACAGTACCCATGAAACACAAGACAACTGATTGACTGACTGTTATACGCCGTGACCTTGGGCGACCCTCCGCCATCGTCCACCGGCTGCGTCACGGCAAACACATCCCGCCCGACCGCCCTCTGCCGGTTGATCGCTTGCACCACGCTGAGGGTCTGGTACACAGGGAACGCGCCTTCCTCGGTCGGCTGCAGATCCAGTAGCGTCTGCAGCCATTGCTCGATCGCCAGCCCGACCGACAGGGTTCGACATCGCAGGATCCCCGCCAGCAGCAGGCCCGTGAATCCGATGGTGTAGCTGTTGCGCGTGAGGGAGGTCTGCATGTCGGTGCCTTGGGCGATGCGGACGAGGGCTTGGACCCATACGTCTTCCTCGTGGGGATGGTGATCAAGCGAGGTTGAGTGTGGGGTATGCAGGAGGGTAAGAAAACCACTGCATTGCATGATGCGCGCTACGACGTAGTATGCGTAGTTCAGTGCTGCACTGTGCGAGGAGAAGTGGATGGTCGGGCTGCCGGCCGGGTCGATAGGGCCGTAGATGGGCTGCTCGGCGGGCGGGAGGTGCGCGAGCCACTCGTCTAGTTTTGCAGCCTGTTGGCGGAGTCGGGAGATACACGTCGCTGGATCATCTCCGGTTCCCAGGGGGCTCATCTGACCCCGGCAATACTGAAGCACAGTCCTGAAATTCAGGCGATGGGACTCGCACATGATGCTCAAGACCAGGACCCGGCGCCCGTGCGGGGTGTGTGGTAAATCCCCGACCAGCGAGACGGGCAACGGGACGGACGGCAACTGCTGATGAATCTCTACTGAGCTGAAGTAGGCGCGAGCCCACCAGACCACATAACGGATCTGCATCCACGAGGTGAGGAGCGATTTGATCGTGGGGTCTGCGACACCCTGCCGCCACTCCAGGAGATTCATAATCCCCTGCACGTGACAGCAGAAGCCTGCAAAGTTGCCCATGGCGGATTCCAGGTGGGCGAACAACACCAGCGTCGTGAGGATGACCGTGTTATTGTGGTGAAGGTCGACCGAGGTCAAGGTAGCGAGTCTCCGAATGGCGGAGGAGTAATACAAATGGCTCGCGGTCTGGTGGGCTAGACTCGGACTCCACGGGCCCATCACTGCGGTCGTCGATACTTTGCGCTCCCCACGGAGACGGCTAATATTGCAAGAAGACAGGGCAAGCACCGCGTCTCTAATGATCGATATGTCGGGGACCAGGAGTGTGGTAGAGTGGAAGACGGGGTGTAAGGCGGGTAGACAGCGGTCCTCCCAATAGGTGGTGTAGAAGATGTCCCGCTCCGTCGTCTGCAGAGATTTGACCAGACTGCCGGTTTCGATCCGGAGTCTCTGCCCAGTTTGAGTGCTGGAGCCTTGGTCACCAGCCAGCTCCTGTGCCGTCGCATTGGACGATGTTTCACTTGACGACGGGGATCTCGACCTCTGCCCGGTTACAACCTGAAACCTGAGGCCAGGTTTCACATATTCGCATTCCTTCCCCAATCTGACGCAAGTCCCACATGCTGGCTTCTGCTCATCACACTGGATTCTCGATTAGTGCTGTCGTTCTAGACTGCGGTGGTAGGGCAAATCAACCTTTGTTCTGCGCTTGCGACAGCTGGTACAGCCATCGCGCGAGCGGATGATATCGGTCTTCTTCGGCCTAGGCGGTGCAGGCTTGTACATGGGTCATCTGCACGGCGTATTCTTGATGATGCGATGATTCTGTGATAGTCGGAGATGCTGTGACGGGTGAGTCAAGAGTGCGTTTGGCAGAAGTGGCAAGGACCAATCACGTGCCTTTCCAATGTGCTCAACCGAGCCAGATCGCAGTCGGTTGAAGCTAAGCCTAAAATGGAAGCTATAGTTCTAGTACACGGGCTCATGACGGATGTCCATGGTCCAGCACTGGGCACATAAGCGGCTCGAGACTGCTCTTCAAAATCATTAATCAATATGTATTGCTTATGAGAACAGACACAACTGTCGTGTATAGCCTTCGAACAATTGTGCCTGCTATGAGGCCGCAAAAACTGATCCAAAGAAGCTTGCCGCAAGGACATTACACATCAAGCATATACACAGTATATCGCGTGAACCTGACTCCTCAATAAAATCACACAAATATTTTCTCGACCATCAACAAATCCTACACTACAGCCCCTTCTTCCTCTCCGCCATCTCCCCCCTCTCACGCACCAACTCCGCAATCGCCGTCCCCGTCTCGCCCCCCAACCCCGCAAAACCCCGGACGACCCCCTCGCGATCCCCCTTCCGCATCTCCTGACTCATCTTGACCTTCCCCTCCACCTTACAGACTTCAATCTCCACCCCGACAATATTCCGCTGCATGAGCTCAATATACCGCTCGGGCGCATCCTCAACCGTCCACGGGCCCTGCCGCCCCTGTTCACCGGTAAACCCCATAATCCCGCGCTCGCACCGCGCCGACAGATCGCGCATCTGCTTCGCGAGAAACTGGCCTGACTTCGCGCAGCGGGAATCGTAGTACACCGAGAGCTTGCCGTAGACCTGGACGGCGGCGTAGTTCCAGGTGGGCACGACCTTGCCGGTGTCCGGTTTGGTCTGGGTGTAGAATTTCGGGGTGACGTAGTGGTGGTGGCTTCCTGTGAACACAACGAGGACTTCTTGTGCATGCGTGAGGATCTCCGGCGTTGGGTTGTTGTCGTTCTGTGGGGCTGTCTCGAGGAGGGCCTTGACTTGCGGGTTTTGTTTGGCGATATGCGCGCGTAGCCGGGCGGGCTCGGTTTGGGTGGGCGGGTCGAGGACGAAGGGGACGTGGGTGCATTGCAGGAAGTCATGGACCGAGGAGGGGATGCCGGTGATGAGGAGGCCCAGGGGGTTGTCGTGGATGAATTGGAGGAGGGCCTCTGTGTCGGTTTCGGCGTGGACGCTGGGGATGAACATGTTGGCTTTTAGGGGATGGTTCGTTTTGGTGGGCAGTGAGCGAAGGGTTTGGCATTAATGCTTGAGGAGGATGTGACCTTCTTATAGGGGTATCCTTATCCATACTCAACTTTCTCCAATGATGACAATGCCAATGGAAGGAATTGGGGCCCGGGATCGTTCTGGTACACCCGATCGGGTAGTTTGTGGGTCTACCTTGCGCTAGCATCGCTCTCGCTCACCCGATTAGGTTTAGCGTTTCCAGATCCCTTCAATTTGCCATAGATGCAGCATGTAATCGAAAATCCATCGCTCTGGAGTCGACCATAATCTCCTGGAGGAACTGAGTCACCGGTGATGCACCGGAGATTCTCTCCCGGTAGCTGACGCACAAAGCCCATCACGCACGAACCGCTCTAACCGCAATCGGTGCGCAGGTGCGATGGTGCCCCAACAAGGGGAAAATCAGTACCTCAGGAGGACCATATAGCACCAGCAAACAGGTATATAACCCTCTCAAATTCGTGTCTTGTAACCTGGTAAAGAATCTCAGCAAGCTTCAACTCAAAGTTCCAGCCAAGTCAAACCACCAATTAAAATGAGCACGAGTACCCCGACCCCCCTCCGCATCGCCATCCTGGTCAACACACCCCCCGACACCGCCTTCTGGCACGACGTGCGCAAATGCTACCAGGAATCCTTCCTTGCCGTCGCGCCGACGGCTCAGATCGACATGTACGATCCGGTCTTCGAGCGCCGCTTCCCGCGCCCGGCAGACTATGATCTGGTCGTCCTGACGGGGGGCAAAGCGGATGCGTCTTCCTCCGAGCCGTGGGTGCTGGGGGTGTTGGAGTTTGTGCGCGCCGCAGCGAAGGAGGCACCCCAGACAAAGATCCTGGGGATCTGCTGGGGTCATCAGGCTCTCGCGCGGGCGTTTGGGGGTGTCGTGCGCGCTGTGCCTTCGGGGCCGATTGTATGTATACTTGTCCCTCTTGACTCTTTGTCTGGGGCTGAGAAGTGAGGGCTAATGTTGCGGGTATGCTAGGCTGGTCTTGAAGACGTGCGCTTGACGGAAGCGGGCCGGAAGTTCTTCGCGTGTGACGAGAACACTACCAGCTACGTATGTTGCCTGTGCACCGTTCCTTCCACTTGAAGTAAACTGACGAGCCGGGCAGCGTTTACCCGAGTTCCACGTGCGGGAGGTGGCCCAGCCCGGCGACGGGTTCATCCACCTCGCGGAGAACCATGAGATGTTCGTGAACCAGCAGAACACGGTGCTCTCCTTCCAATCGCATCCGGAGATCGAGGCCGAGATGGCGAAGAAGCTGTTGTTGGAGGAGGATGATGTGTACAACGGGGGTCTTTCGCAGCAGGAGCTGGAGGGCCATCTGGCTCGCCTGGAGCGGCCGACGGATGGGTTGACGGTGTTGAAACGGGTTGTGGAGTGGGCGAGGGAGTAGATACAGCCTATTGTTCACCCCGTAAGAAAACACCAGAATCATTTGCGGAATAATGCCCCGACATCACAATGACCAACACCCCCAAATCAAGGCGAATAAGTATTCATCTCGAACCCCCTCCCCCCCGTAAACGGCAACGTGACATTCCGAAACCCATTCCCCGGATCCCGCAAGAACGCCAAAAGCTCCTTATACCCCTCCGCCGCGGGGATCGTATTTATCCGTCGACACGCAGCCGCGGCAGAACCGTCTTGAGCGTGGGCAGCTCCAGCGCACACCATGCTGCACACCTAGGGTCAGCCACAATCCCTTGCCACAAAAGCCAGACAGCGAAATCACTATCAAGAAGCAACACATCCACTTCCGATACCCCCTCCTGCAGGGTAACCAGCAAATCCCCCTCCCGCAGAACAATCACCCGCTCCACCCCCGGCCCGCACTCGGCCCAGAACCCGCGCGCGATCGCGGCCTTGCTCGGCTCCTTCTCGGTGGCGATCACCGTGCCGGACGTGCCCGTGCGGGCGGCGGTCTTGCCCACGGCGAGGGCGAGGTAGATGGCGCTCACGCCGAAGCTGGTGTCCGCCTCGATGACGGTGGTGGCGCCCATGGCGGTGAGGAGCTGGTAGACGAACTGGCATTTGTCCGCGTCCAGGGCGATGAACTTGTCCAGCATGAGGCGGTCAAATTCATCCTGCTTGAGGACAGGAGTTTGGCTGTCGGCGAGGCTGTCTAAAATGTCGGAGGAGACGACCCTTGCCTTTCTCCTTTCGCTCCTTTCGGGAGATGGCTGCTTCTTGGTCGAGGGACTTTTTGTGGAGGGTGGAGAGGAGCTGGAGGATGTGGGGTGGGGCGACGAGGGGGGTGGAGGAAGACATCTTGGAATGGGGTGCTGTTTGAGTGGTTGAGGCAGCTGTTAGTCTAGCAGCATTAAGGGACGGTCAGAAAGCTTGTTAGTATGATAGAGCTTGTTGATGAAATAGTAGTTTGGGTTTGAGGATTTGGGGCTCGACGGAAGTAACGGGAGTGATGGGCCGGGGTCTCTTGGGATTTGGGGACAGGTAGGCTCAATCTTCCGTAGTGGCAGTAAACATCGCTTGGACTAATGTTACTCGCAAGAAGGCCGTTCTAGCAAGGCAGTATTGAATCTCAGATTGGTAGGCACAATAAAGCAATATGAGGTCGCAAATCTCTGTATATAAATTGTGCTTAGTTCATGGGGAAATGAAATAAAAGGCTCTGCTTTCATGCCTCACTTCAAAGGTCCAAGAATCTCACTACCCAGTCAAAGGCTCATGAAAGAAGGCTCGTTGCCTTTAAGTAAAGAAATATAACTTAGTACCGCTGTTCTCCCTATGTTTGACCTAGACTTATAATCAAGAGGTTGAAGCTGACTAAATGAATGATAGTTGCATACTAATGGCTACTAGCCATATTCAAAAGCCACGACTGGATGGACTGAAGCATAGTCGCATGAGAAGAATGTGCCATCGCGCTTTCATCGACGTTGACGTACTGTAAATTTGGAGCATCCATATCCACCTTTCTCCCCAAACTGCTGCCTCAGGCACAAAATACTCTCGGGCGCATCCGGAACCGGGATGTCACGAATCGTTAAAGTTTTGCGTCTTCCATTCCGGAGATTACTAGTATCTTGGAAATAAATCCCGAATAGGACAAAGCTTGATTGGCATGGTCTGGATCATACTCGGTCACGGGTCGAACGCCTGCCTTCCACAAAACTGCTTACAAGTTCCCTTGCCCATTCCGACACAGGGAGTGTAATCACCTGCAATATCATCCTGCTTTCTCGAAGAGATAAGAAACAATGCCGCGTCAGTGGCAGCCAACCCACGCAACCCACCCAATGATTCATGCAAGCAACGGGTCTCCGTTCCATCTCCTCGGGGTTTGCTCTTGCCCCACCTCGACCACTCGCATCCAATCACCCCTCAAAATTCTCCGATCATACCACCCGCGATCTCGGTAAGGATCCCGAGAATCTCAGAAGTCTTGCAGGTTCCAGTTGTTGCGGGCCCGGGTGGCACGCAAGTCAAACCCCGACCTAGAGCCACCGCCCCGTCTCACCTTCGTCGTCCGGGATTTGATGCACCGTCCCTGCGGGATCTCTCTTTATGCTTGGGGTTTGGTTATATCCCAATCCTTGCCCTTAGCCATGGCGATCTCCGTTTCAACTCTGCCGCTGCTTGTCGCAACACTCAACACGATTTGATTTGCGCATGAACGAATAACCCAGCCATCAGTCAGAATGGAGGATCCCAAAACAATACCAGACGCCACTCGTCCGGGACATCGGAAATTTAGTAAGCCGCCAGTCAAGCTCGCTTGTCTTGCTTGGTATGCTTCCCTTACTCATGAACACACCTCTTGAACCGAGAGAGGCAAATCACTGATGCTGTCGCAAAGTCGCACCCTCCGCATCCGCTGCGACGGACTCGAACGATGCGGCAACTGCGTCGCCAGAGAGACACCATGCTCCTATGTGCCCAGTAAGCGCGGGGGGCCACGGATCCGCAAGCGGAAGCGGCCGTTGACACCGGTGTCCGGGTCGATGGATACGTCGCTGAATTCGATCTCCAACGACGAGGTGGAGGTGGATGGGTTGGGGCTCGGATTACCAGGGTCAAGTTCGGGGTCAGGACCCTCATCGCAGATCTCGCTATCGCAGGAGGAGGATGAGGGTACGTATTTGGGTGTATGGTGGTGTGGTGTAGGTACGTAGGCTAACAGGAGTAGTCTGGCTGGACCAGCTCTTCACTCTGGGCGCTCCAGGAGCAGGACTTCGAAGTATCGAGAGCTCAGTGTCAGAAATCGAACAAATCTTCGATGAGATTTTCGCGGAGGACAGTGTGCGGATACCATCTGAGGCAGAGGATGAGCCTGCTGTGGAGCCGGATCTCCTGCAGACGTATGCGTCGGATGAGGATATGTATGTGCAGTTTCAAGATGTGGCGGAGGCGAGCTGACAAAAAGACTAGACTGGACGCATACTACGTCTTCATCCATCTATACTGCCCCCTTCTCCCTCCGCCCGAGCGACTCCCCGCGCGCAACAAACCCGTGTACGGCCCCCCAACATACCGACCGTCCAGCCCGTTGGCACTTGCAGTGTGCGCCATCCTCTCCTTAATACCCCATCCGGAGGTGCGACAACCCTCGAAGCCGGAATGCATCAAGCTCCGACGGGAAATGGCGCATTCGTATGCACAGTCAGCCTTGGAGGCTGTGGAGGCGGATCTGGAACTGCTGGATTCGGCGTCGGACCCTTCGCGCGCGCTGTCGGAGGGAGTGGCGCAGTGCACTCGCGAGCCGTTTCACGTGAAAGTGCCGGTTGGGCTGGAGGCGGTGATGGCATTGGTGTTGCTCAGTAGCTATGAGTATGCGCAGCGGGGGAATATCCAGAAGATGTGTAATCGGGCGGGACAAGCTTTGACGGCAGCGATGAGTGTGTCTTTACACGAGACGGTTGAAGAGGATGGATTTGCGGAGGCGCGACGGAGGGCGTGGTGGATGACCGTATGTTTCTTGCTTGAGGACTGGAGATCTGTGCTAACGAGTACAGTATATGACGGTATGTCAGGGTTCGATTGTGAGCGGGATGGTACGTGCCACTCACCTTTTGGTTAAATGCTGCCACTGACCCTTTTAGCCTCCTGTAATCAATCTTTATGATCCTCGCTTCGTCACCCCATATCCCAAGGTAAGTTTCCTCTCAGAGTAGTTTACCCAGAGTGTCGAACCTTGAACTAACATCTCAGGGCTGGAAACTCCTCATCGAAGCCCAACAGACTATCCTCGAAGCCACGACCTTCGTCCACGACCTCAACCTCACCATCAAATCGCAGTACAATGCACCCTGGATCTCGAAGCGTATGATGGATCTCGACAGCCAGATCACTTACCTTTTACATCCGTGTCGGGCGACATCGCCCTCGATCCCGCGGTTCCCACCCACACCCACCGACTCACCCGAAATCATAGCACTGCAGAGCATGAAATACATCGCCGAGATTAAGCTCCACAGGTGAGACATGACTCCGTCCTCATTCCCCCCTCACCCCATCCTAACACAAAGTAGCGCCCGGATCAAAACGCACCGGTTCTGCGCCTTCCAAGACGCCGCCATCTTCCGCCGGCGCCACTGCGACCTCCACGCGACGACCCCGTCATCCACAACGTCAGCCCCAAGCTGCTGCAGCATGCCTGGCCCCCAGCCCCAGAACCCACCCCCAAGTCAGTCTCGGAACTCGCGCATCTCCTTCCCCTTCTCCAGCCACGCCTCCTCGAAGATCTGCCTCCACGCCGCCCTCAACATCACCAACCTCCTCGACAACCTCCCGTACCCGAACCCGACTAATGAGATCCCGCTCACGCGGCCGCCGTACCTCGCCCGGCATTCACGGGTGGAAATCCCCCGCACGATGCCCTCGTTTGCCTGCTGCGCGATGCAGGCGAGCTATGCGATGATGATGCTGGGGATGAAGGCGCGGGGGAGTGTCAGTTCGAGCAGCAGCGGTGGGACTGGTGGTGGGAGCAGCGGGAGTGGCCGGTCGCTGGACGGGTTCGTGGAGGAGCTGCGGCAGAGTCTGCGCGGGGTGTGGAAGGTTCTGGGGAATTATGCGATTGCGTTTGAGGCTGTGGGGGGGATGAGAGGTATGTTGTCGTTGATCTTGGGTGGTCTGGGTATGGGTATGGGTGCTGACTTGAGGCGTCTAGATGAGATTGGACTGTCCATGGGCTGGCTGGAGTAGATGATCCTCTGGCGGTCTTTCGATAGAAGGTGGATGGAGATGAAGACGTGTCCTTGCAGACCTAGGGAGAGGAGATCTTCTCTCAAATCGCATTTACTCCTTTCACCTGGCCGCGCAGTGTGAAGATGAAAGAGTTGCCCCCCCCAGTGTCCACAACTGAGTCGGGAAATCCCGAAGCGGAAGGCGCGACAGTGAATCGCAACAGGAGATGACCGGCAACCGTCGGTGCCTGCTCGCTGCCTCGGTGAAGCCACACACCCAAACAACACCGAACTATTCACACAGTTGATCGAGTCCTTGAGTCTCAGTTGTAACCTAGCCGACCTCACGATCCTTACGCAGTGAATAGGCACCGGAGCTCATCTTTAGCCTCTAGCTTCCCCACATATTTAAGCGTCACTTCTTACCTTGTTCTCAACCACACCTTCAGAAAGCATCTTCCAAGATACCAAGCTTCCTCATCAACAAATCAAACTTCCCCTAGCAACCACCATCAAAAGAAAAACCCTACTCGAGCATCCACCATGACGGAGCCAACTACCCCGGAAATCAACATCAAGCTCGAAACTCCACCCTACATGCAGCACGACTACTTCCACCAGCTGCCCGACCACCAGCAGCTGAGTCCCCTGCCGCATGAGCAGCCGCAGCAGGTGCAGGTGCAGCCGATCCCGTCCGCGGCGCTGGACCCACTGCTTCTCGGCCCCGCCGCGCAGCCGCTCAGCCCGCCCGCCCAGGAACCCCACCGCGTCCCGCTGAGCTACTGCCAGCTCCACGACCGCGTGCGCTGCACCGTCACCACCGACGGCAAGCGCTGCAATCGCCAGTTCGACAACGAGGGCCGGCTGCGCGCGCACCACCGCCGGTTGCACGATAAACTGATGGACCCGTGCCCGTTCTGCGGACAGCGGTTCCAGGGCCGGTTCTCCTGGGGATTGCATATGGAGAAGGAACATGGGGTGTTTGTGGCGGATTGCAAGGTTGAGGAGGGCGACGAGGTGAAGATCATACAGTTAGGAGGGGTTGGAGGGGTTCTTCAGTAGGGGGTTGGGGTGTTCCCCGGTAGAAAACGTTGAGGTATTTCACAGGGCGGCGTTCGAGGCGTTCTCCAGCAGGAGACTAATGCATGATGCATCCAGGATTGGTAGATAGATACACACCCTGCAGAGGATTCTATGGATGATGGATATCGTTATGCGATGTACTCGAACAATGCGAGACTTGACTTCGTGTCAAAGAGGAGATGGAGATAGCATCTATCTAGCGGTGTTCTAATGGAACCCGGCCGGTCTTTGAACGCAGTTTAATCGCTTCTTTATCCGTCCATATAGCAAGGGGGGTATAAAACAGTCAGCTTGACTAAATCAGCACAGATCCAGCTTATGAAAACAAGCTCGTAGCACCGCGGCAACATGGCCTCCAAGTCAAGCGCACCAAAGCGCACCTCGTCGCCCAGCGAGCAGCAGGCACCCGCTGCAGCGCCAGCTACAGCTCCCGCTACCCCCGCTCTCATCCCCACGCCTTCCACCCCCATCAACCTCCGGCCCACTAGGCCAACAACGCCCCCCTCCCAACGCCTCCCATCAACCCCACCAACCCCCTCCGCCCCGCCCCGACCCCGGTACAGGCTCCCCCGCACCCTCCCAGGCCAACCTTACCGAACCCCAACCCCAACCCCGACCCCAACCCCAACCGCAGGAGCCCCCCTAACCCATCCCTCACCTTCAACCTC